AAGGAGGGAAGGAAGGAAGGAAGGAAGGAGGGAAGGAGGGAAGGAAGTAGAAAGAAAAAGAGAGACAGAGAAAGAAAAGAAAAGAAAAGAAGGGAGGAGAAATTTTGGCCATTATTTCTTTAAATATTTTTTCTCTCTTTTCCCTCCTTGAGGACTACAATTTTAGGGCATTGGAGTTGTTGCATAATTGATGCTCTGTTCCTTTAAAAAATTGTAGTAAAATATATATAACATAAATTTTTGATTTCAATCATTTTTAAATATACAACCCAGTGGCATTAATTACATTCACAATTTTGTGCAACCATTCCAAATATCTATTTTCAAAACCTTTCATCACTCCAAACATTATTAAGCAATAACTCCTCTTTCCTCCTCTCCTCAGACCCTGGTGTAGTAGTACATTCTCATGCTGCTATAAAGAAATACCTGAGACTGGGTAATTTGTAAAGGAAAGAGGTTTAATTGACTCACAGTTCTGCAGGGCTGAGGAAGCCTCAGGAAACTTACAATCATGGCAGAAGGTGAAGCAAACAGCAAACATGTCCTTCTTCACATGGTGGCAGGAGAGAGAATGAGAGCCAAGCGAAGGGGGAAGCCCTTTATAAAACCATCAGATCTCTTGAGAACTTACTCACTATAGTGAGAATAGTATGGGGGAAAATCGCCCTCCCATGATTCAGTTACCTTCCACTGGGTTCCTCCACCACACATGGGGACTATGGGAACTACAATTCAAGATGAGATTTGGGTGGGGACACAGCCAAACCATATCACCCTGATAAGCTCTAATATACTTTCTATCTCTGTGAATTTGCCTCTTTGAGACATTTCTTTTAATATTTGTACTTTGTGTCTGGCTTTCTTTCACTTAGCATAATATTTTCAAGAATCATTCATGTTGTAGCATGGATCAGAACCTCATTCCTTTTTTCAGCTGATATACTGCATTATACTATGGCTAATAATCCATTTATCTGTTGATGAGCACTTGGGTTGTTTTCATCTTTTGGCTATTGTTAATGTTGTAGTGAACATTGGTACACAGGTATCTGTGTCCCCATTTTAAATTCTTTTGGTTATATACCTGAGAATGGAATTGCTGGGTCACTTGCTAAGTCAAATCTATGCTTACCTTTCTGAGGAATTGGCACACTGATTTTCACCATGGCTGCACCATTTTATATTTTTGCTAGCAATGTGCAAGTGTTCCAATTTCACCACATCCTAGCCAACTCTTACTGTTTTCTCTCTCTCTCTCTCTCTGTCTCTCTGTGTGTGTGTGTGTGTGTGTTGATTATAACCATCCTAATAGGTGTGCATAGCATCTCATTATTGTCTTGATTCATTTCCCTAATGACTAGTGATGCTGAGCATCTTTTTATGTGCTTATTGGTCATTTGTATATCTTGTCTGGGGACTTGTCTATTCAAGTCCTGGCCATCTTTTTACTAAGTTGTTTATCTTTTTGATGTTGAGTTGTAGTTCTTTATATATTCTGTATATCAAATCCTTATCTGATATATGATTTGCAAATGCTTTCTTATTCTGTAGGTTTTCTTTTCACTTTCTTGATAATGTCCTTTAATACATAAAAGTTTTAAATTTTGAGGAAGTCCAAATTTTGCTTGTGCTTTTGATGTCATGAAGTTTTTCAGTCTGGCTGGTGAGAACAGGCACTATCCTGGCGCTGTGTGACTTGCAGACATGTTTACCTCTAATCTTTTGAAGTGGTTCTTTCCTACACAACCCTGCTGGTCAGCACTCAGCTGAAGACTCAGGGGAACCGTCTACAGATATCTGTCTCCCAGAACTCTCTGTGTAGCTCCCTCCTCTCCACTACTATCTCCTGTGAATTCTAGCTGTCTTTGTCTTCCCAGAGTCTCAGTTCTGTCTCCTCAACTCAGGCAAACTGCAGGGCTCTGCCTGGGTTTCCCCTGCCTGTACTGCATTCTGCATTAAGGTAGGGAAATTGTGGGGCTCACCTTGTTTGTTTCCTGTCCTTCAGTGATCATTGTCCTCTGCTGCCTGAAGTCCAGTGTCTTGAAAGCATTTGTTTTATATATTTTGTCTGGTTTTTGTTTCAGGGGGAAGTGTAAATATAGTGCGTGTTTTATTTTCATGTGCTCTTCATATATTCAGGATACCAATTTTCTGTTTGTTTTACTTTGGTCTTCATTTCTAAAATGATTTTTTTCTTGTATTTCTAATTTTTTTCCTGAGTTATCTAACCTGTCATCAAATCTTTCTTTTCTTTAATCACTTCCTTTTTTAGTTTTTCAAATTCTGATTTATAGATTATTTGTTCATAGATGCTATCATTTTCTTAATTTTTTTAGCTTATATTGAAATATTAGATTACAGTTTCCATCTGTCTTACAGGCCTCTTTCTGGAGTGGTTTTGTGATCTCTAGTGATATTTTTCTGCTCCTTATCCTTTTTTTAAATAATAACTTTGAATTTTTTTTTTTTTTTGAGATGGAGCGTTACTCTGTTTCCTAGGCTGGAGTGCAGTGGCATGATCTCAGCTCACTGCAACCTCTGCCTCCCAGGTTCAAGCGATTTTCCTGCCTCAGTCCCCCAATAGCTGGGACTACAGGTACCCATCAGTGCCACATTTTTAAGTGAAATAAGTTTTCTTGTAAATTCAAAAAGGAAGACTGGGTCAGACATTATTTCTTGTTTTATGGCTTTAGAGTTTCCTTTTTTGTTTTCATAATGTAACTATATCTCTGTCTTTATCTATCTATCTATCTATTTATCTATCTATCTCATTATCATTATTAGTTGTCTATCATCTACCTAATATCTATCATCCATCCATCTACTATCATCTATCTACTACATACCTATCTATCTATCTATCCATCCATCTCCTCATACTTTCTGAGTCTGCCTATCTTTTCCACCCTTGTCCACACACCTTATTTCCCAGCTACTCCTCATTTTGGATTCCACTGCCATCAATTTATGCTCAGTAAAGGGCTTTGTCCTGGGAGGGGCCTTAGGTTATTAGTATAGGAATCTCCTGGGGCTCAGACAACTGCAGCATCTTCAGATCCTACTAAGGTCTGCTTACACTTACCTATGAATCGTGGCCCTCAGCTGAATTTTCTCATTAGTATCTGCGCAAATTTTGAGTTCTTCAGCTCTTGGGCCTTCAGAACCCCTCTTGCCTTTCTTCTGCTTCCTCTTACTCAGACATTGACATCAAATGGGTCTTGTCACCTAGATTTGTTGCAGATGTTGTCTGTGAGTCTTTAGTTTTGTCTTTCTAGCTGCTCTGATTCTATGGGGAGAACTCAGGGAGATTAGAATGTTTTGCTGCTGCAACTGCTATCCTCACCACAATTATTGTTTTTGTATTGATCTTTCCCGCCAGCCCTCCAACACTCACATTCATATATGCACCGACCAGCCAATTATCTCCATCCTTTGATGTCCTTCCTTCCCTACTTCTCTCCATTGTACAGTCTCCTGCTTATGTTGCATTGCCTCCAGGAAGCCTTCCCTGATACCCCAAGTGAGGTCAGTGGCTTCATCTTTTGCGTCCTTGCAGTAGGCTGAATGCCCCTTACAGGTCATTTCATGCCACTGACTTTCCCACCTGTCTTCCCTGTTGTGTTGTCAGCATCTCAAAGCAAGAACCTTGTCCATTCCTCCTGTCCTGAGTTCCTGGCCCAGGAGTCAGCTCAGAGTAGACACTTTGAAAGTATCTAATCATCATGCCTGATTAGATTATACTGGATGCTGTTAGTCCATCTCAGAGCTAGTTAGTGGCAGGATTAATGTGACTGTTCCCTTATACGTAAAGTGTGCTGTAGTTAACAAGCAGCTTTGCACATACCATAGCCCCTCTCTCGGAGTCTGGTGCACTTGCAGTCACTATTTTTGATTGTTCATTTGTCTGTTTGTTTATGTAGTCTGTCTGCATGTATCACACTGTGAGCTTACCAAGTACAGGGACCAAGTCTCCTTCATGTCAATAGTAAGCCCAGTGCCTGGCTCCAAATAGGGACCAGGAAGGGCCTGTTGTGTGAAGGAATGAAAGGCATTCCTGCTGGCCCTAAGCTGGGGCTATTCCTGACTGGAGGTCAGCATGAGGTACCACAGCTTCCCTGGGACTCCCCTGAACCCAGTGGTAAGAGAAGCTCACAGCATCTCTGGCCCTGTCTTCCCAGCCTTTGAGCTTCTGATTGGAGGCATTGAAGTCGGCCTGTCCCACTTCCCCTTCTTTGCCTGCCTCTCGTCGGAGTTCCAGCTGGTCAGCTCCATCCTGGGCTTCTGCTACTCTCTGATCTGGTAAGATGGTCTCTGCCTGCCCCCACTCCCCCGACTTCTTGTGTGTGACTGAACTCTGGGCACAGGGCTGGAGGTAATCTGAGAGCTCCTCTTGGGGGACACCTTTGCCCAAAACTGAGGCCCAGGGAGGGCAAGAGTGACTTGTCCAAGTTCCCATTGTGGGGACTGCATTGGAGGCTTCAGAAGGCCAGGCTGGCATTCTATCTGCTTCACACAAGGCTACTTGTGATTAGAATGTTTCTAGAAGTCAGGGATTTAGGAAAACTCATTTCTTTTTTTTTTTCAAATAAATTATAATTTTATTTTATTTATTTCTATTTCAATAGCTTTTGGGGTACAAGTGGTTTTTGATTACGAGGATGAATTGTATCATGGTGAAGTCTGAGATTTTAGTGCACCCGTCAGCCTAGTAGTGGACACTATACCTGATCTGTGGCTTTTTATCCTTCTCCCTGCTCCCACCCTTCCCCCTTCTGAGTCTCCAGAGTCCCTGATACCACTCTGTATGCCTTTGCGCACCCACAGCTTAGCTCCTACTTAGAAGTAAGACGATGGTATTTGGTTTTCCATTCCGGAGGAAAACTCATTTCTGTTAGCTGCTGGGGGCCCCACTGGAAGACTCAGGAGCCCTTTTCAAGGCTTCTCATCAATACTGCCATGGCTTCTCTCGGGAGCCTTGGAGGAAGTTCCCGTGCCTTAGCTGGGCATTCAGGGCTATCACAGTCTGGCCTCTCCTTTTCCCTCCATCCCCCAACAGTGTCTAGCACACACCTCCAGCCATACAAGACTCCTACATTCCTTCATCCATCCACTTATTCATTCAACAACCATTACATCCCTACTACGAGCCAGGAAATAACTGAAGAACAAGACAGATTTGCGTGAACCAGGTGTTCTGGCCTCTTTGTCTGTGTGTCCCCATTCCCTGTGTGGGTCATGTCTAGGGATAAGTGTACACTCCTGCTTTGAGGACAATCACTCCCACCAGATGGAAGTTTCTTGACCTTCATGTAGAGCTCTGTGCCCTCAGTGCTGGGAACCAGACTTGGCACAGAGCTGGCACCAGAGAACAGTTGTTGACTGAAAATGCCTCCAACAATTCTACTCTCCAGCTGTGGAGACTCATTTCCTTGTTCCCAACTCCTTTGCTGGGCTCTTTCCCCCATCCAGCATTTTCTATGAGGCTGGGATTCTCCCACTTAGAGATGACAGGCAGGGGCCTCACAAGCAACTGACACACCAATGGCTACAATAATAAAGTTTGTAAGTGATTTGCTTTATAGAAATTTAAATGGAGGGTATCCAGGGTTAGATGTGGCATAATACCATCTCATCAGCCTCTGACAGACATTTGCCCAGGAGAGAACAGGGTGGTGGGAATCGCTCAGCAGCTTGGGCACCATGGGAGTACGGCCCAAGCTGGAATAGAACCAGGAATGTATGTGGGGGCGGGAGTGGGGTAAAGCGTCAAGGCTCATGACTTTGGAGCAGTCTACAAACAGATCACATAGAGATAGGAAGAGCCTTGGCCATGGAGTCAGGAGACCTGGGTCTGCCCATGCCCGTGTGTGACTTTGGATAAATCCCTTGCCAACCCTGGACTTCCAGGTCCCACCTGAATGATGAGGGAAGGGAGGATAAACTCTCTAAGGGCCTCCTGCTCTGTGATCACGGATTCCAAGACTATGTCCTCCATGAGGGCAGGTGAATGAATGAATTTAGTGTGCACCTACTTTAGCACAAGCAGGGTGGCTGATCGGGGAGAGATGTCCGTGGAGGCCTGGGCATTAGCTCTCCCAAGGGGGACAGGTAGGTGTGGGTAGGTGGGATCTGAGCCATTTTCATAGGGGCTGCTCCTGGGGCTGTGCTGGGAGGGAACCCTAGGACCCCCAACTCTGTTTCTGTTCTGCAGGTTTGCTGTCACTGTTCTTCAAGTTTCACAGTGTCCCCATGGGCAGGTGAGTCTCCGTTGGCCTTTTTGGGGGTTTTCAGTCCTATCACCATGGTCAACTTGCTGTGTGATCTTGAACAAGCCTCTGTCACTTCTGGGGCTCCACTTCCTCATTTGCATAAAAAGGTAGTTGTTGTTCATGATGCTTCCATTTGTAGAGCACCCCATGTTCATCAAGGTGTGCATTCACAGACAGGTGTTTTCTCCTTTACTCCTCACAGCAGCCCTGCAAGGGTGGGAAGTTCATCAAACCTAGTTCACAGGTGAGGAACTAGTATATTAAGTGAGGCTCAAGTACATTAAGTCACTCATAGGAAGCAGTGGAATTGGGTATTGAGGCCAGGTCTGGCTGACTCCAAAGTCCATTTCTTTTCACTCTCTACAGCTCCAGTCTCTTTTTCTATAAAATGGAAGACTTGGACCAGATGAGCCCCTTCCAACTTTGCCATGCATTGTCCTCAGAGTTGGTGGGAACTGGTTCATCTCCTTATCCCTGGACCCCGGAAAAGGAGCGAGTTGAAAGAGGGATGTCACAGTGCACCTAGAAAGGCTACCAGGCAGGTTGTGGGGAGCCCACGAAAGCCACCTGGGCCAGGAGTGCATATATGCAGACCTTTATGTTTGGTATGACCTCAATTTATAGTACATATAGATATATAGATGAAAGACATAGAAATGTTGACAGTGGTCATATCTAACCATAAGCATATGTTGGAGAGGAGGATCAAGGAAAGACATGAGCCCTGCATCTCAGCATATCTCCATCCTGTACTTTAACATCACAACGTCAAACCCCAGTTTCCCATGGGAGGAAATATGACTCTGGAAATGTAAGAAACATGAAACCAACCAGTAAAGTGTAAGAGATAAGTCACAACATTACTTGTTTTGAGACAGTGGAAAACCATCTTTTTCACCAAAATAAAACTAAAAACACAGAAATCCGATAAGTACCATCTTGAGAGAACTGTTACTCTTTCCCTCAGCTTGTGTTGCTCTCAGCCTTATGGCAATTATGGGTTATTTCTTCTTCTCTACCTCCATCCTTCCATTTCTTCCTCTCTTTGTTTCTCCTTCTCCCTCTCAGTCCCTCTCCCTTTCCGTCTCCTCCTCCCATCTACCTACCCACCTCTGGTTCTCTCACTCATATATTTTCCAAAAGGAGTACTCATTAATAGCTTCCTAATAAGGAAAAAATACCTTGAAAGCTAGTTTTGTTTTGAGACAGGGTCTTGCTCTGTCACCCAGACTGGAAAGCTAGCTTTATAAAATAAAATGGGGGTGCCAAGACTTGAATCCAGGGTTGCTGTGCTCCAAGTTCACTGCCCATTCTGATAACGGGGGTTTTGGGGATCAGGGATTGGCCACTGACTCACAAGCCTGAGAGAGGGGGCCTTGCTGGAGCAAGCTGGGGCAGGCAGAGTCCTGCAGCTTCAGCAGGTGGCTCGGCCCCATCTGCCTGGAGCCACATTGCGGTCTGCTTCTGTTGCAGTTTGTGGGGAAGTATGAGACCCTCATGTTTTACTGGCCCTCGCTGCTGTGCCTCGCCTTCCTGCTGGGCCGCTTCCTGCATATGTTTGTCAAGGCTCTGAGGGTGCACCTCGGCTGGGAGTTCCAGGTGGTGAGTACTAAGTATGAGCACTGCATGTACTGATGGGTTTAATCCCTACAACAGCCAGAGAGGCAGGTACTGTTACTACACCTCATATTCTGAATTCAGAAACTTGGATGCAGACAGGTGAGTTGAGTTGCCTGAGGTCACCCAGCTGTGAACCCTGAAAATCTGAGACAGGTCTCAGTTAATTTAGAAAGTTTATTTTGTCAAAGTTGAAGACACGTGCCTGTGACACAGCCTCATGAGGTCCTGACAACATGTGCTCAGTATGGTCAGAGCACAGTTTGGTTTTATACATTTTAGGGAGACATGAGACATCAATCAACATATGTAAGATGAACGTTGGTTCAGTCTGGAAAGGTGGGACAACTGGAAGAGGCTTCCAGGTCATAGGTAGATGAGACAAATGGTTACATTCTTTTGAGTTTCTGATTAACCCTTCCGAAGGAGTCGATCAGATATGCATTTGTCTCAGTGAGCAGAGGGGTGGCTTTGAATAGAATGGAAGGCAGATTTGCCCTAAGCAGTTCCCAGTTTGACTTTTCCCTTTAGCTTAGTAATTTTGGGGGCCCAAGATATTTTCCTTTCACATGGCTAACCTGTGGCAGAGCCAGAGGTGGAATCTAGACAGTTCAGTTGTGGGGGCTCTTCCTTAACCACTGTCAAATACAACTTCTTTGACAGGGGGCAAATTCAACAGTGGGGTGTAGGGGATAGGAAAAGACCTATCTTGACCACAGCATGGCTAAATCCAAAAAAGCAACTCCTACCCCAAATCCTGCCCTCTGTGGCCATTGCCCCGCCTTAACAAGATCAAAACCCTAACAAGAATTTGTGAGCCAAAGTGTAAGCCTGTCTGCTGTCTTACAGGAAGAAAAGTCTGTCCTGGAAACGCACCAGGCAGAGCACGTCAAGCAGCTCCTGAGGACACCCCGCCCTCAGTAAGCCACAGTTCTGTTCATTCGCCTGCAAGTTTGCACCCACTCTGATGAGCCCTGATGATGCAGCAGAGCTTGGGATGGCCAGAAAGGCACTATAGTGGTCAAGACTCTCATTTGCTAAAAACAGAAACCCCACTCAAACCGGATTAAAGCAAGAAAGGAAATTAATGGGCTCCCATCACTAAAATGTCTAGAGGTAGTCAGTTTCAGGCAAGCTGGATCCAGAGGCTTAATTGATATCATCAGAACTAGGTCTCTCTCCCTCAATCTCCCCTCAGCTCTGCTTTTATGTGTGGGCCTCACAGTTAGGTGGGATTCCTCCACATGGTGGCGCCCAGACTCTCTAAATTTATACCCTCCTGGTTTAAGCCCAGAAGACGAATGCTCCTTTCCAGTTATTCAAACAAAAGTCCCACAAATGTGTTTCACTGGATCAAATTGGATCACACGCCACTCCAGAACCACTTACTGTGGCAGTGATTGAAGTGCACTGATTGGCTAAGCCTGAGTCACATGTCCCTCCCCTTCCCCCTGAGCCAGGAAGTGGGATCAGCATTGCTTACCCGCTAAGATCCAGGGTCAGAGAGTGGTGGTTCCCCAAATTAAAACTGAAGTGTTAGGCCGGGCATGGCGACTCATGCCTGTAATCCCGCCCCCGGTTCCCCAAATTAAAACTGAGGTGTTAGGCCGGGCATGGCGACTCATGACTGTAATCCCAGTACTTTGGGAGGCTGAGGCAGGAGAATCACTTGAGCTCACGAGTTCAAGACCAGCCTGGGCAACATGGTGAGACCCCGTCTCTACAAAAAATGAACAGTTTAGTCGGGTGTGGTGGTGCACATCTGTGGTCCCAGCTACCTGAGAGGCTGAGGTGGGAGGATCACTTGAGTTGAGAGGTCGAGGCTGCTTAAGCAGTGACCATGCTACTGCACTCCAGCTTGGGCAACAGAGTGAAACCATGTATCAAAACAAAAACAAAAGAAACAAACAAAACAAAACTGAGGTGCTGTTACCAGTAGATGAGGATATAGATGTTGCCAGGCAAAAGTACCAGATCTCAGAATCGTATAAGCCACCACCACATCTGCTCCTTTCACTATGCATGTGGGCATATGCCCCAGTGAAAGGACATGTCTGGTCCATGGTCACACAGTAGCAAAGCTAGTAATTTGGTTAGAACTCAGTTTGGCTACATGTAGTAGAAAATCCAAAACAATAGTGACACAACCAAGAGAAAGATGTATTATTTTCTCTTATAAAATAACTCTGAAGGTGAGCAGTCCATCCTGACCCTGGATCAGTTCACCAATCACCTGTCTTTCTGTTCTAGCATCATGTATATGCTTTCTATCCTCAATGCTGTCTCATGGTCCAATGTGGCTGCTGGAGCTCCAGCTTGGACCAGCCACCACATCTGCATTTCAGGCAGCAGGCAAGGCAAGGCAAGGCAAAGAAGCTTTCCCAGCTGTGTTAGTTCCATCTGAGCAGCCTCTCCAAAGTTCCATACGACACTTGTGGTCACGTGTCATTGGCCTGGATTTAGTCTGGTCACTCTTAGCTGCAAGACAGGTTGGGAACTTTAACCTTTTAGGTTGGTGATTTTCTGCCCAAAATAAAATCCAGTTTTTGTCCTTAAGAATAAGGGGAGAATGAAAACCATGGAAGCTAACAGTGGTCTCTTTCTATAATATAATCTAAGATAAAAAGAAGGTGGGGTTATTTTCAGATGAATCAGGCATTTGTTTTCCTACCAGCCTCTCATCTCTTGATATTTATTTCTCATCCACAGAGAGAAAAAAAAGTCTTGGTTCCAAACCAGGATATATGAGTGGGATCCCTGCTTTCAATTTCCAAGCAGAATGATTGGAACCATTGTGTTGGCATTCATTTGCCTGTATCTTGTAAGTAGCTCTAAGGAAACCTTTTTATATTTTATAAATGGGGCAGGGTTGGGGCTAGGGTTATGGAGTATTTGAGGTAAGCAGCATGTTCCTAAAGAGCTGGGTCAAAATTGAATCTTGGTAAATCAAAGAAGTACAGTGCTTCAAACCCACCATTTTGATTCCAAGGACACTTTTACCCACATGGTGAATATGACTAGTAAAAATAATCTACAAAAAAAGACTCATAATGGTTAAAATGCCACATGGTGAAATTTATTATCAGCTAAAACCTGATAGAAGAAGAATATATTTAAGAATATTTCGATACGCAAACTTTGAGCCAGGAAAGTTTACTTGGTAGAAATAGTGATCCCTAAAGAAAACTTAACAATAGTAGAATCTGTGATCAATAAATTCTTCCGTGAGCAAAAATCAAATCATTTAAATGTAAAATAATTGATTCTGATCAAAATAATTTCAATTTTTTCAATAATTGAATTTAAAATTATTGAACTTATAAATTAATAATTGAATTCATTTTAATTTAAAAATAAAAGCAGATAACTAGAATTGGTTTACTATACTATATTTTTAAGCGGATTAAGCATTCTTTTTTAAGTTTGCTTTCTCAACAAGACATTTTAAGTGCTGGCATAATTCTGACTTCAATGTTTTATTAAGCATAGAATCAAAACATTTTGTGTGGTCAAAATTATCTAAGATAAACTGGCTGAGTCAAAAGTAGGGTCAAAATGGATGCATAAAAATGGCAAGGCTAAATTGTCTCCTGTTCATTTTAAACGTAGTAGGAGAATACCTATTAAAGTAAATCCTGTGATTAAGATTTTAGGTGAGTGTATTAGGTAGGTTATGCTGAAGTACCAGATAACCTCCTAAATTCCTGTGGCTTAACAGTATATGTTTTTTACCTCCACCAGAGTGGTGAGTTGTGTGTTCAGGTAGGGGAAGCTGTAGTCCTCTGTGCGGTCATTCAGGAACCCAGAATTCTTCCATCATGTGCCTTCACCATCCTAGAGGACCTCATCACAATCTGCACATAGTCAACAAAAGGGGGCAAAGCAAGGAGAGGTGCTTGTGAAGGGTTTCAATGGACTAGGTGTGGAAGTATCATATATTCCTTCCACTCCTCTTCCACTGGCAAGAACCTAGTCATGTAGCCATACCCAATATAAGGGAGGCTGGGAAATGTAGTCTAGCTCTGTACCCAAAGAAAGGAGAATGGATTTTAAGGGACAACTACAGTTGTGTGCAACAATGAATAACAAATTTGGAATTACATTGTTTCTTAAGTATTTATGGAATATCTACTCTATGCCAAACACTGGACTAAGAGTTGGAAGAGGACAGAGAGCTGATTCAGCTCAGTCCTGGGCTGGGAGAAGCTCATGGTCTATGAGAAGGAGATAAGACATAGTATGAGGGACCTGCCATCTTAAGAGAGAGAAAGGATAAAGTGAAATGCTCTGGAAATTTAGCAAATCATTCAATATTGAGCAGTTGCATGAACATGATAGTGTATGAACTCCACTTTCAGAGATAAACACGATTGGGTTTGTGGAGTGAACTGGCGGCAGGAACTGTAAAAACAATGGCATGACAACAGGATGATAAGATGTTGGGCAACCATGACATTTGTACAAGAAACATTTGTACATTTCTCCAGCGTAGCTCCTGCAAAGGTCAGTGCAGGGGATCAGTGTGAGATAGGGCTGCAATTGTCCCCCAGATGACACCTTACTCAAAGTTAGTCATTCTTTTTTCACTGGTTCTATGAATGTTTGTAGAGTTTCTTGAACCCTTGTGGGCCCTTGTCTTGTTTGCTGAAGGGCAAAGAACAGACCATGAAGTGATTCCTGTCTCCCAAGAACTCAAAATGCCATTCATCTTAGAATAGCCAGTGTCTAGAATCATTTTCAGTAGAGTTTTGAATGGCTGGAAGACACTGGCCTTGACCCCAAGGGAAAAACCATATGTTATTCCCATGCTGAGTTGGACTCATCTGAGACCTGGAAACCTTTGCTCTGTGTCCCCAGTTCATTGTTATCGAGTTCTGCGTGTTTGTGTATGTGAGAGATGAGTTGGAGGTGTTTGAAAACAAGCTGGAGAGCTACATCACCTTCACGAACCATTCAGGGGTCCTGACCCCAGTCATCCTGCAGGTGAAAGAGCTGATCAGCATCACCAAAGGTAAATCCATAAGCCACCTATTCTCACACATGTGTGGGAAACTGAGCAAGGGGCTTGTAACTGATGGCAGGTGGACACATGTAGTATTTGTGGCTGCTAGCATTGATATACCTGGCTGAGATGAGCACACTTGGAGAAAAATGTGTTAGAGCTGATTTACCTCCCTGGATTGACTAGAAAAACAGAGGGGTCAAGATACAGTCCTTTCTTTAATGAAGCTGGGGCTGAAATGAACATGCCCTGAAAAATTTCTCATCTTAAATTGCCCATTTTGTCTCAATGACAATGGCAAGTACTAAAATGATTCTATATTTTACATTTGGAAAAAAATAGAACACCAAACAATGACCTTTCTTTGTGAAATGTATATTTATATCTTTCAAATTTTACTTGAAAGTCACTTAAAAAATAGATCTCTTTAACTTAATCTCTTGTCTAACTGAAATTCTGTATCCTTTGATCCACATCTCCCCAGTCCCACCCCTCTACACACACCCCTGCTTGCCCCTGATAACCACCATTCTACTCTGCTTTCATGAGTTCACCTCTTTTACATTTCACACATAAGTGAGATCATGCAGTATTTGTCTTTCTGTGCCTGACTTATTTTACTTAATGTGATGTTTTCCAGGTTCATCCCTGTTGTCACAAATGGCAGGATTTCCTTGTTTTTAAAGGCTCAGTGGTATTCCATTGTATATAATGTATAATACATTTTCTCTATTCATTCATCTGTTGTTGGTCACTTAGGTTAATTCCATCTGTTGGCTATTGTGAACAGTGCTGCAATGAAAATGGTAGTGCAGATATCTCTTCAATATACTGATTTCATTTCCTTTGGATATATACCCAGTAGTGAGATTGATGGATCACATGGTAATTGTATTTTTAATTTTTTGAGGAACCTCCATACTATTTTACAAAAGGTTATACTAATTTACATTCACACTAACAGTATCCTAGAGTTCCTTTTTCTTCACATCCTTGCCAACACTTATCTCTTGTCTTTTTGATAGTATCCATTCTTACAAGTATAAGATGGTACCTCGTCATGGTTTTGATTTGTATTTCCCTGATAATCAGTGGTGATTAACATTTTTTCATATACCTGTTGGCCATTGGTATGTCTTCTTTGAAAATGACATATTCCAGTGATATGTCTATTGCCTGTGGAGGGATGAGAATTGTTCATTATTCCTAGATGAGAAAGGACCCTAGACAAGATGCCTGGATACATTCACTCTGTGTCATAAGACAAGTCAGGACCCCTCTCTTGGCCCCAGTTTCCTCATCTGTGAAATCACATATTTGTGTCATGGAAAATTACCTTTTACATGAGCACTGAACAGATACTGCCCCTTCCACAGTACCATAGTTTCCTATTGCCCTTCAACAATTTTATTCTTCTTCAGTGGAGATTTATGTTCAACATAATGATTCCCTGAGTATAACACTGAGAGAGTATATTCTAATCTTTAATTTCAGTGATACCCATTCTAAATCTTACTTTTAGAAATACACATGTTCGTCTCTGTTTTCAGAAAAAATTTTAAAGGAAACCTCACTTTCTTGGTCTCTGTGCTTTATGGTGAATATATCACCATGTTCACTCATGTTTTGATGTATTTATCACACATATAGACATTTTGACAATCAAAACATTAAATGTTTCTTTATCCTGGTCTCTTCCAGCTTTAAAACAGCTACCCACTTGCCACGAGAAACTTTCAAGCTGACCATACTTCACCTTTGTCTGGGAAGATAAAGGCGTTAAATTAAATGCATAAGGTGTTCGTGCTGTTAGCTGGAGCAACTCTACACTCACCCTTCTTGTAGCCAGACTCGTCTCATCCTTCCCTTCCAAACACGTTTTCCTCTGCATCCTCTGGGGTGGGCTTTATGGCAGTTTTGGGATTGGTTAAGATTTGGAATATAGCAATTGCCTAGTCCTAGTGATCCTGGTACAAGGACAAGGACACATTTGGAACTTGAAAGGAAAGGAAATCTGCTTTCATTTTCTTTCTTTTTAAGAAACTTCCCCCCCCCCCGCCCCGAGAGGGTATCACTGTGTCATTCAGGCTTAGACGCATGATTATGGCTCACTGCAGCCTCAACCTCCCAGGCTCAGGCAATCCTCCCACTCTGCTTGCCAAGTGGCTGGGACCACGAGCACATGCCACCACACCCAGCTAATTTGCTGATTTTTTTGGTAGAGACAGGGTCTTGCTATGTTGCCCAGGCTGGTCTCAAACTCCTGCAATCCAGCAGTCCTCCCACTTCGGCCTCCCAGAGTGCTAGTGAGCTACTGCACCTGGCCTTGAAACACCTTTATGGAGACATAATTCATATTCCATACATTCATCCATTTAAGGGTACCATTCAATGGTTTTTAGTATTTTCTCAAGATTGTGCAACCATTTAGAACATTTTTCGTCACCTCCCCAAAGCATCGTGACCCATTTCCCTCTAACCTTTCCTGTCCTAAACAACTACAAATCTATTTTATATCCTTATGGATTTGCCTATTCCAGACCTATCATAGAAATGGAATAATATGATAATGTCATCTCTTTTTCAAATGTATTTATTTTTTAAACTGACATAAAATTGCATGTATTTATTCTGTACAACATAATGTTTTGAAGTATATATCATTTTAAAATGGTTAAATCTAGCTCATTGACAAATACATTACCTCAAATAGTTACCATTTTTGTGATGGAATACTTAACATTCATTAAGCATTTTTGTAGAATATAATATATCATTATGAACTACAGTCACCATGTTGTACAATAGATCTCTTGAACTTATTCCTCCTATTTACAATATGTCACCCTTTGTAACAGGCTTCTTTCACATAGCACAGTGTTTACAGGGTTCATCCATATCATATCATGTGTCCAAATTTTTAAATTATTTTTCATTCCTTTTTATTGTCAATTACTGTTTCATCATATGAATATACCACATTTTATTTATCCATTCATCAGTTGATAAAAATTTGGGTTGCTGTAACTTTTTGGCTATTACAAATAATACTGCTAGGAACATTCATGTACAAGTATTATATATATATTTTTTACATATTTTGGGTATATATCTAGGAGTGGAATAGCCTGTTAAATGTATGACAACTCTATGTTTAACCTTTTGGAGAACTGCTAGACTGTTTTCAAAAGTAGCTGCATCGCTGTTTAGTCTCACCAGCACTGTGGAAATTCCAATTTCTCCACATCCTTGCCAACACTTACTATTATCCATCTTTTTGTTTATAGCCATCTAGTGGAGATGCAGTGGAATCTCACTATTGTTTTTATTTTCATTTCTTTAGTGGCTAATAGTGTCTGGTATCTTTACATGTACTTTTACATGTACTGGCCATTTGTATATATTCTTTTGAGAAATGTCTGTTCAGATTCTTTGATCATGTAAACATTGGATTATTTGTCTGTTTATTTATTGAGCTGTAAGTGTGCTTATACAGTTTGTATACAAATCCCTTATGAGATACATGATTTGAAAATGTTTTCTCCCATTTTGTGTGTTACTTTTTCACTTTTTTTGATGATATCTTTTGAAACACAAATGTTTCCAATTTTGATGAAGCCAAACATATCTGTTTTTTCTTATATCACTTGTGCTTTTGGTGTCATATCTAAGAAACCATTGCCTAACCCAAGGTCACAGGGATTTTTCTTATATTTTCTTCTAAGACTTTTTTAGTTTTAGCTCTTACATGTAGGCCTTTGATCAATTTTGAGCTCATTTTTATGTATGGTGTGAGGTAGGAGTCTAATTTCATTGTTTTGCATGTGAATATCAAGTTGTTCCAGCACCGTTTGTCAAAAAACACATTTTTTGCCCCATTGAATTGTCTTGTCATCTGTGTTGATAATAAATTGACCATAAGTATGAGGGTTTATTTTGGATTCTCAATTCTATTCCATTGATCTATTTGTCTGTCCTTATGTCAGTATCACTGTGCCTTCATTACTATAACTTTGTAGTAAGTTTGAAATTAGAAACAGAAAGTCCTATAATTTTCTTTTTCTTTTTCAGAATTTTATTGCCTGTTCTTGATTCCTTCAATTTTATATTAATATTAGGATTAGCTTGTCAATTAATGCTAAGATGACATTTGAATTATGATAGGGATTGAGTTGAATCTATAGATCCATTTGGGTAGTATTGCTATGTTAACAATGAATATCCTATATGTGAACGTGGGAAGTCTTCCCAGTAATTTATGTCTTCTTTAAATTTTTTCAAAATCTTTTGTGGTTTTCAGTGTACAAGTTGTACATTCTTTTGCTAAATTTAATATTATTTTATTATTTTTGATACTGTTGTAAATGCAATCATTTTCTTTTTTTTTTTTTTTTTTTTTTTTTTTTTTGAGACGGAGTCTCACTCTGTCGCCCAGGCTGGAGTGCAATGGCGCAATCTCGGCTCACTGCAAGCTCCGCCTCCCGGGTTCACGCCATTCTCCTGCCTCAGCCTCCCGAGTAGCTGGGACTACAGGCGCCCGCCACTGCGCCTGGCTAATTTTTTTCTATTTTTAGTAGAGACGGGGTTTCACCATGGTCTCGATCTCCTGACCTTGTGATCCGCCCGCCTCGGCCTCCCAAAGTGCTGGGATTACAGGCGTGAGCCACCGCGCCCGGCGCAATCATTTTCTTATTTCATTTTCATATTGTTCGTTGCTTGTGTATAGAAATACAATTGACTTTTATATATTTCTCTTGTGCCCTGTAAACCTTACTATACTCATTTATTAGTTCTAATACTTTTTTTTGTATATTTCCTGGTTTTTCTAATATATGAGATCATGCATTTATGAATAGAGTTTTATTTTTTCCTTTCCAATCTAGATGCATTTTATTTTCTTTTTCTTGCCTAATTGCACGGGCTCGAACCTCTAGTACAATTTTGGCTAGAATTGGTGAGAGTAGATATTTTTGTTGTTGTTGTTGTTCTTGAGGTTAGGGGGAAAGCATTCAGTCTTTTACCACTAAGTGTGATGTTAGCTGTGGGTTTTTAGCAGTGCTCTTTATCAGGCTAAGGAAATTATTTTGTATTCCTAATAAGTTGAGTAGTGTTTTTTTGTTTTGCTTTGTTTTTAATTGACACATAAAAATTATACATATTTATTAGCTACAATGTGATGTTTAGATACCTATATACATTGACTGATGATTAAATCAGTAAACCCATCCCCTCAAACATTTATCATTTATTTATAGTGAGAACATTCAAAATCCTGTCTTCTGGCTATTTTGAAATATACAACACATTATTGTTAACTCTAGTTTCTGTACTGTGCAACAGAACACCAGATGTTGAATGTTTTTAATTGTAAAGATATGTTGGATTTTGTCAAATACTTTTTTTGCACCTATTGATAATCAACTTCTACAGAAGTTTTTAAACCAACAAATCATCCTACTTCCCTGTTTCTACATCCCTCTTTTATGAACTCACACAGTCTCTCTAAAAGCAAATTAGATTCTCAATATCAAAACTTGCTGAAGGGTGGGTGAGTGAATAGCCAAGACATCTTGATCCCAGCTATCTTTGTACCCGGTTGAGGTGTAACCAATACCCCTCCCAAAAAAGTGGCAATCAATTAGAGGTCAAATACGTTTTTCATGGACAGAGGCTATGTATGATATATGGGAAATACTCCACAGCTTCTCTTCCTTTATTCACTGTAGAGTGAAAATACTAGTACAAAATGAGAGGAGTATGCAGGAAGTATACTAAGGGTGTGTACATCTAAAATAAAACAGAAAATGAGCAAAAGTTTACTTACACAAGAAATGTGTTAAAGTCTACTTGATTTGCTTAGAATTTTCTGGTGCAGGATTCTGCATTTTAAAAAATTCTATTTCATGTTTATTTTTCAAGGATTCTCATATCACTTTTCATATTTCAGGAGTCTGGGTGGCTACCATTTTGCCTGCCTCTCTCACGTGTGTGAGCTATCTGTTCCACATTTTGGTCTGTTACAGGTAAAAGCACTCTCTGAGTCATTTGTGTGTCTTTCACCAGAAATATGTATGACAAGCTTTCCTCAGAATCTCCAATAGTGCCTTCAGTGGGCCTAGGAAGTGAATGCAAGGTCCAGGGCTAACCACATTTTTTAGTAGGAAGAAGAAAAGCATTATTGATTTGAACTTCTACATTGAGCTAACATTATGTGTAGAGTCTTTACTTCAATTTCACAACAACTCTGAGGGATAAGTCCTTTCATCCCTATTTTTACAGTTGAGAAAGCTGAAAATCAACAAAATTAAATAACTTGCCCAAGCAATTAGCAGACGATCAAGTCTTTCTGACCCCAGAGACCTTGTTATTTCTTTTACACTCAGACACCTCTACTGGGTATCAGACCTGCCTTGCTCTACAGGGCTAGTAACACTGGGTCCCCAGCAGGTGAATCTGGCTCAAGGGAACATCAATGAATATTGAATCAAGGGGATAAGGGGCATCAATCTCAAGAATAGCAGTATAGGAAGAGGGAATGGCTTTAAACATGTTGTGAGCATTTGCAAGCAGATATCAGTTGGGTTTTAGGTACCTGCTGGTCATCTCTCTCTCTCTCTCTCACACACACACACACACACACACACACACACACGCATGCACGCGTGCACACACACACGCAGTCTTACAAGAAGTTCAGGCCAATTTCCAGCTCTGAAGAGCATCCTGCCTTTACATCCTCCTCATCTGCCTGCCCAAAGGGCGAGTCTCTTGCAGAGGACACCCACAAGAAGACTCTCCTGGCAGGAAGGGTCCCAGCTCTCTGCCAGCCCTGCCTTGCTCCCTGTCTCTACTTTCTTCTCACTGGACCCCACAGATGGTCTGGATACTGCTACTCCCTCTGCCCTGCTTGATGTGGGCGCATGTCTGCTCCTTCCCTCATTGGTCTGCATGTGGCTGGGAGATATTCACTGAGACATTTGAGCACAACCAGGGACAAGCATGATGCAAAGGGAGCTGCAGGGACATGGATGTGCAGCCGAGGGCACAGGGAGAGGAGGCCTGCATTCCTGTCCAGGCTGTCCCCTGCCCCCACCTGTCACCCAAGAGTGATGATCCCTGTCCTGCTTCCTTATCTGAACCATGAGGCAGAGGACATCAAGGATGAGAATCATACTACAAACTGTAGAGCACCAGCCTTGTGCCAGCGTTTTAGTTTTTATTATTCCAACCTACATACAGGTGCTTTAAAAAATATTACAAAAAATGTTTAGTGTAAAGTAAGTCGTCCTCCTACTCAAACCCCGAATTTTTCACCCCAAGTTAACCACTGTTGTTTTCTGTGCATACTTTCAGAAATTTTCCATGCACAATGTAAATATGAGTGTGTGCACTGTGTGCGTTGTATGTATTGATGGTACCACACTCAACTCCATGCTGCCAAACAGAAACAAAATGAAATTCACATGTTCAATTTTGAAAGTTCTAGTAGCCTCTGTTTAAAAAGTAAAAATAGACAGGTTACATTAGTCTTAATAATGTTTTATTTAACCCAGTATATCTCAAATATTATCATTTCAACATGTAATATATACAAAAATTATTATTGAGATATTTGCATTCTGTATTTGTTCCAAGTCTTTCCAATTTAGTGGTCATGAAAAGTACAAAACAAGCTGAAAACTGCTGGAGATAGAATGTGAAGTAAAAAAGCCGGGACACAAATATGAGTGTAGACTATGAACGTAATGCTATCAACCTCACCTTTATGCACGGGGCCAAGGACTGGACTAGAACACTGAAAGATGAAGCTGTGACTTGTAGGGGGTTGTTTCCCCTTTGTCATTTTCCTTTACATTGTTATAAGGTTAGGCAATCAATGAAATTGGTTTTCTGTTTTCAACTTTATTTATTTATTTATTTATTTATTTATTTATTTGACAGAGTCTTGGTCTGTCGCCCAGGCTGGAGTGCAGTGGCGCGATCTTGGCTCACTGCAACCTCTGCCCCCCAGGTTTAATTAATTCTCCTGCCTCAGCCTCCTGAGTAGCTGGGACTACAGGCACATGCCACCACACCTGGTTATGTTTTCAACTGCTTTTAAATCTTACTACATAGGTAATATATATTCATCATAGAAAAATAAGAAAATATAGAAAGAAAAATAGGCCAGGTACAGTGGCTCACACCTGTAATCCTACCACATTGAGAGGCCTAGGCAGGGGGATGGCTTGAGTCCAGGAGTTTGAGACCAGCCTGGGCAGTATAGTGAGACCCTGTCTTTACAAAAAGTTAAAATAAAAAAAATTAGCTGGGTATGGTGGCGTGTTCCTATAGTCCCAACTACTTGGGAGGCTGAGGTGGGAGGATTGCTTGAGCCCAGGAGGCAGAGGTTGCAGTGAGCCAAAATGGTGCCACTATACTCCAGCCTAGGTGACAGAGTGAAACCCTGTCAAAAAAAAAAAAAAAAAGAGAAGAAAGAAAGAAAGAAAAAAGAAACAAGCCACACATAATCTCTATCAGATTCAGTCACCATTATGACTCAATAAATACATATTATTTTTATAAAATATAATCTAGACTAAAGATCAAGACTTTTAAGGCAACTCGGGGCTACCCGGTGAGAGGCAGTCAGCACAGGGAGGCTACGGTGCCTACTATCAGCCCTGTTGGCCTTCCTGTGCTATCTATGGGACTCTAATTACGCACAAAGAACTTAATGTCCTACATCTTTTCCAGAAAGCACATAAAGAGGCTATGGGCAGGAGATAAACATTTTCTTCCTTTGAAGTTCCATAACCCGGCCTCCTCAGCGAGCGTGGTGAGTCTGCCAAGGTCTCTCTCTGATCTGAGACTAAGCCATATGCCAAAACCTGAGGGTGAGCGTGACACCCGCCTCACTGGGTTGGTGGGTGAACTTCCAATGAGAAAGGGATGCTGGGCACATATGGCAGAGGTAATGAAGTTTTCGTCCTGCTCTGAGACCTCTTTTTTTCCTTTGAAACCTCAGGTGGCCATTGCAAGGTACTCTGGCTGGCAAATAGCCTATATACTATGGGGTAAGTGCCGATATGTGACCCATCCAATTCAACACACATGGCTTCATCACCTAGGGAGTCCTGGCTGTGAGTGGGGAGGAGAGAGGTGGTCAGAAGCAGCCCTAGCCTCTGCCCTTGAGGGACCTTCAGGACAGAAGGGGAAACATAGTCTCTAGGTCCTCCTCACCACCAGTCTTGAACCCAGGGAGTACATATGCTAAGGGTGGTGGTGACCCAGAGGAGAAAATGACTATCCAGCCCCAGGGCAGGGCTCAGATGCCTTCTAGGGGAGTTGACACTCGAACTGCACCTAGCAGGTAGAGTAGGAAGTGAACAGGAAGGAAGGTGAGGCCTTGCCAGGCAGAAGAAACAGATAAGCAAGCGTGCCAGGGCGTCTGGCAGGAGAAGGGTAGAGGGTGGCCTGCAAGGAGGGGTATAGGGGGTGGCTCACGAAGGACCTTGAGTTACCACCGGCTCCCTTCATTTCTAGGCTACCTCATCATTCACGTGGTGCAGAGCCTATGTGGCATGGCAATCATGTACGGCCTGGTGCTGCCCATCGTTCACAACCAGGGCCTGGAGATGCTGCAAGGGCTGGGCATCGGGATGTAAGTGCTGGGCGGGTATCCTGTCATTGCCGTGTTCTGAGAGCTGGTGTGCCCACCAGCTGCTATGTGGACCCATGGTCTTGGCCCTGACCCAGAGTTGGGCCATCATAGCAACTTATGGGGGAGGAAACAGCATTCACAAAAGACTGCCTCTCACACCATTCCATAACACCCTCATAACCGTGTGTGTGTGTGTGGGATACATGTACGTCCATTTTCCAGCTGGGAAAATTGAGGTTTAGGAAGGTAAAATGGGAGGCAAGACAGTATGATGGAAGGAGGCAGGAAATCCTGGCAAAGCTTTTGGGTCTGCTGTGTGACCTGGGGTAAGTTACTCCACTTCTCTGCCTCTCAGTTTACACATCTGGAAGACAAAGTGAATGTTGGCTTCATTGAGCATTTAGTATGCATCTTTTCTCATAACAGCCTATGAATTTGGTGCTTGTGTTACCTTCCATTTTGCAGACCGGGGAACAGAGGCACAGAGAGACTGAGCATTTCCTCCAAGCAGGGGGAGGACTCAGGATTGGGAGCTGGGCAATCTGAAACCAAAGCCTCCTTTTAGCCATTACCTCTCATTGCCACTCAGGGGATGTCAACACAGCATGCAGTGCTCTCTGGGGCCCCTCCCTGCTCTGAACTTCTTGATTCCATACTTGCCACCTGTGAGTTGGAGGCAGAGCCTGTCCTGTCCACTCTCTTGTGGTATTCTCAGGAACTTCTGATAACCCCATTCCATTTTTTAATTCCCAACCTGTTAAACTACTCACCTAGCTGCCACCCCTGGTGAAAGGGACATCCGTGAAATCCTGGAGTAATGGTCTGTGGTCTGGAGCTAGAAGACCTAACCATGTGGTCTTGGGACGGTCACCTCCCCTTTGTGAGCCTTGATTTTCTCTGCATAGTGAGCATGAGAATGCCTTGTAAGCGTAAAGCATGGAATTCACATTATCATTGTTCTGCTGGGTGGTCAACCTGTCTCCTCTCTCTCACTGGGCATCAGAGAAGGGTCTGGCAGAAAGGAAAAGGCTGCCTCAGGATGGCCCCACCTTGTGTTTCAGCCTCACCATATCCATTGTCGTGGGTCTGATGATCCTGCAGATGTGGATTGCTGCCAGCTTCTTCCTACAGCCAAAACTGGGCACAGCTGACAAGCAAAAGCCCCTGGCTCTCAACAACAGGTGACAGTGAAGGAGGGAATGAGGGAATTGTAGGCCTTTGGCTTCAGCCATCTCTGGGTTCTTCCCTGTTCCCCATGCCAGGTTCCTGGGTGGGCCCCACATTCTCTGAGAGGGTGAGGTACAGTGGGTCAGTGGTGGGCTCTGGAGCTGGACTGGCGGGGTCCAGATCCTGGCTCTACCCCTTAGGAGCCATGTGACATGTGGGATCTTACTCAACATCTATGAACCTCAGTTTCCCCATTTACAAATAATTGTGCATACCTCAAAGAGGCGTTGTGAGGATGAAATGTGTCAAAATATGAACTTAGAACAATAGTGCTTGGCACATGGAAATCCTTTCTAATTCATTCATTCAAAGCCATCCATTCACTGGGGGAACAACATGGGCATGAGGGTAAAGAAATAATCCCAGCACAATCTGCCTGTGAGAAGCTCAGCCCACTGGAACAGACAACAGGCACATAAACAAGGACAGAGGACGCCAGGGAGTGCAAAAGGAATACAAGAGAAACCTGGAGGAGGAGAGGCAGGGGTGGTTAACCCCACTGCAGATGGGTCTCTGGAGCTGAGGTCAGCAGAATAGTAGGATTTCTATAGGCAGAGAAGAGGAGAGGGTATGGCTGGTAGCCAACACCACAAGGACAAAGGCAGGAAGCCACAAAAGTGCAGGATGTGTTAGAAGATTGAGAATCACAAATGGTTGCCATGTAGTGGCCTTAGTGAGTGACAGGAAGGGGACACAAAGTGACAAGACCAGAAAACCCCTGGGGGCAGTGAGGGGGCTGAAACTCAGGTTGCAAAGTTTGGGCTTTATTCCAGAGGCAACAGGAAACCACATGATCAGGTGGTCATTTGGGAAATTTCCTTTGGAAGACTTTGGAACAGCTGCAGCTGGGAATAGGTCCCTGGTGCAACAGACAGTGGGGAAGCCCCACCCTCTGCCATAATCAGTGACCCAGCTGCAGCCCCGTGAAATTTCTTGTCATGCAGGAACCCCCCAAGGATCACATGAAACAATGACTGTCCCCACTGACATTCATCCTTCAATGTGCTCAGCAGCCCCCACACTGTATCTGAGCCATTCCTCACACCAGTGCTGTGAGGTGAGGGCAATCAGCTCCCCTTTAAGGCACGAGGTCACAAAGGTTTGAGCCTGAACCTGTAGGTTTGATCCTGGGTCTGGGGGACTCCAGAGCCCACCTGCCCAGCCACCTTGCTCTACTGAAAGGTGATGCCTTGGGCTGGCTTCTGTTTGCAGGAAAGCGTTCCACAACTTCAACTACTTCCTGTTCTTCTACAACGTGCTACTGGGCCTGGGTGCCTGCCTTTCCAGACTGCTCATCAGTTGCCTCCTTGGCACGTGGCTGATTGCCCGCATCGACAGGACTATCATGCAGAATGGCTATGAGGGAGCAGACATGGGTAAGTGACCAGCACCCACCTGGTCACATTCTCTGGAGAGGGCTGGTCTTGCACCTCTGTGGCAGCTGCCTGGGAAGACAAGTATCAGAGGCCCGGAGTTCATGCCTTTCATATATGCTCAGTGTTTATCTTCCAGTGGAGGCTATACAGCTGAGTAGTAAAGACACATTCAGCACCCTGGTCAAAAGAGAATTCAAGGCTATTACATTCCTGCCCATTTGGCAGACCTTTGGGGTATAGAGGAGGAGGAGTCAAAGGTAGTCAAATTCTGTCTGAACACTTGGAAGTTAATTTATGAATGCACAGCTCTGAAAATTTTTAGGAAGAACATATCTCAGAATTATTAGTGTTGTTAGTTGGAAACAGTGCAGAAGATGTTCTGTTCAGTTGAAATGCTCCAAATTCAAAGCCATTTCTGATGAAGCAAAAGTAGTTTTTATTTTATTTTGAGCCCAGTCATTCATTCACTCATCTATTCAATAAATGTACTGATGCTTGCTTGGGATTAGCCACAGCAGCTCCTAACCCTTTGAGCTTTGAGTTCCCCATAAAATGGGCAGATTAGAATATGATCTCTAAGAGTCTTGCAGACCTTTATACCTCATTTTCTAGATTCTCAGAAAAGACTCAGGCACCAATGGAGAGCAAACTGGCTCATAGTTATATCACGAAAAGCACAAATGGAGCCATGTCAGGAGGTACTGCCTGGCCTGACCTGCCTCTGGATTTCAGGGTTCAGTGCGTGGATCGGGATGCTCTATGTGGACCATTATCACACCAACCCTGTGCTCGTCAGCTTTTGCCACATCCTGATCGCAAATCACAAGGAGAAGAAACTGCAGCAGACCACCAAATACTGGTGCCTAAATCAATCGGCAGGTAATGGCTCCTGTTTGAGTCTATGCTGGATTCAGACAGCAGGAAGTAAATACCCCAAGGCTCCCTGGGATCCCTGAGGTGCCCCAGGTTCCATTTTTCCTGCTCCTTTTCTCTATACTCCATGCCCTAGGTGCCCTTGAACTAGGAAGCCCAGGAGGCTTAGCTCCCAGTCAACCTGACGATGGGACCCACTCAGGCCTTGTGTCCTTGTCCTGTTAGGTGGCCTCCTGCCTTGTTCCTGGAAATGAACTCTAGTTCTGCTAGTGGAGTTCTCCATATCCCATTTGATGATTCTGCCCTGTTGCTTACCACAAGATCTCTGAGGCTCTCTGCCTTGCTAGGGCTCAGACAGACTGTGTTAATTGCTATTCCCAACACTGCAGATACTCAATTCTTTTTTTTTTTTTTTTTTTTGAGATGGAGTCTAGCTCTGTCGCCCAGGCTGGAGTGCAGTGGCCGGATCTCAGCTCACTGCAAGCTCCGCCTCCTGGGTTTACGCCATTCTCCTGCCTCAGCCTCCCGAGTAGCTGGGACTACAGGCGCCCGCCACCTCGCCCGGCTAGTTTTTTGTATTTTTTAGTAGAGACGGGGTTTCACCGTGTTAGCCAGGATGGTCTAAGGACAACTTACATCCCTTCAACCTCCCTCATGTCCCCAGGAGTCCCAGTCCAGCTCCTTCTGCCACATCTTACACATTCCAGGCAGCCCTTGCAAACACTTTGGAGAGGGAGTTCCCCTCCCTGAGACCCCTCACTCCTTCAGTCTGTCTGCTGTGATTCTATCCTAGGTCCCCGTGTCTCAGCTAGGTCCAGAATAAGGTGGTTCCTGTTGCAGACCCTAATCAACAACCCAAGACTCATCATACACAGAAAATTAAAATCAGGGCACAGTTCCCAGGAATCCCAAATTCTGATGCCATGCTTGGAGAGCTGACGCTGGCCCCCATCATCTGCTCCAAAGCCAGGCTAGGACATCTGCCACCAAGAGAGGGCTCAATCTAACCAGAAGCTGTCCCCTGCAATGAAATGGGATGGCACAGCACCATCCATGCAGATGGCAGACAATATTGGCCACTCATGGGATGGCCACATGGGCTGAGGAATGAAGTCTCAGGACTATTTCACTCCCTTGGCAAAAAAGATTTAAAAACTAAAGAAAAATCTGTTGAACAAACTGCCCATTAATGACTTCCACTATCCGTTGTGGTTAAGCATCCTTGGAGAGTTACCTGTTAAAAAGCACTTAGTTTACCTACAAAGCAGAATTTTATGTCAATGGAGAAGGTGGTAAAATGTATACATCAGGAGAGTTTAACCATCAGATCCCATTTTTCTCTGGAACAGAATGTGGATTTCAGTATCCTCATTGCTTCCTTCTTGCCAGGCTTTATGGTGGATGCGAGAGAAGGAAATCCATGATCCTGGCCCCAATGTTGTTGGACAAGCAGGTACACAACAGGCTTTCTCTCCCATTGCCACTGGGATGAGGAATGGATCAGAGCTAACTTGGGCCTTAGTCATAAAGCAGATGCACAGATTCTCTCTAATAAGGGTGGGATTACTTGGAAAAGGCACCTGTCTGAAGATACAAAGACAAGGTAGGCAGGTATTCTAGGTGGGGGATCACAAGAGTAAAGTTGTGTGAGCAAGCAAGCCCCAAGCATGTTTGAGGAGGGTGAGTCATGTGACATGTCGTGGTACAGAGCTCTAGGGGCTGGCCAGGACCATCCCAAGAAGGGCCAAACGTTGTGCCAGGAGGCTTGGACATTTGTCCTGTGCAAAGCCCAGTACTTAACCACATTTCATGCTGAAGCACAAAAACCTGGCCCAGGACCTGTGCAAAATCTGTCCATTCAAAATTCCTTATGAAGCTTCTGCAGTTATAATGAGGATCCCACCAACAGGGCAAAGGGAAATCCCCATTCCCCTCATGAGTCCAAGAGCAATTGTAATTCAGTTGTTATTGTTAAGCACCTAGTGTAAACCTAGTCCTGTTGCTAGGTGTTTGCCAGCATTGTCTCTTTTTAGTTTAATCTCTAACTGAGCTTTATCATCTTGCTTTTTAGAAACTGAGAAAACCAAGATTCAAAGTGTTGGGATTCCCATGCCACCACTTTGTAGGTGTCTGATAGCAGCCCAATTACTTTGCCTTTATTCACTTTTCTTATCTATAAAAAGACAGTAATACCCCCTAACACCTAAAATTGTTTTGAGGAAAAAAATGAGTTAATAGAGGCAAACACTCTTAAGATAGTGTCTCACACATCCCAAACTCTCAATAGATATTAGCTATTGTTATTTGTCATATAACACTTTGTGATGATCTGATTAATATCTGCTCACCCTCTCACTAAAATATCAGCTCCATAAAGAAAGAGGCCTTCTCAGGTTTTGCTCACTATCACCAAGCACATACCTATAACATAATAAGATCTTGGAATCAATAAAATAATGAGATCAAGATGAATAAATCTTTTGACTATGAATTCACTTACCAAAATCAATCCTGGCATCATGGTGTGAATGAATAGTGAGTGAATACCCATTGGAAACCTTGCAGTGAATTGAGGAGGCTAATATGTAAACAGCGCTCTGTGATCCAACCCACTGCATGTAATAACATCAGCTTGTATAAGTTCTATGGAGACTTGGAAAAGAAAACTACTAATTCTGCCTGTGAAAAGTTAGTGAAGAATTTCCAGAGGAAGCGACATGGGAGCTGGATGTGACATAGGGCATTCTTATTTGTGTTGGGGAAAAGGCAAGGCATACCTTCCAGCTTTGAAGTTTCCTGGGAGTTTGGAGATCATGCTAGATGAAGACACTCAACATGAAGAAGCTTTATTTGGGACCACTAGGCCTCATTGCTTTCTAGGGATCAGATGAGGTAGACACAGAATGTATTAACAGAAGCATAATATTTAAAAGAACCCAGTGTCAATCTTAGGTAGTAGAGCTTCAGGACTACCTGTTCCCATGCCACCGTCAGGCAGGCTCAGACAAGACACCAAGGGTGTCTGAAGACCCTGGGTAGCCTTCAAGGTCACAGGCATGAACACAACCTGAGGAACTTGTGAGACATATCAAAAGAACCAACATACACATTATAAGAGTCCCATTAGGGGAAGAAAGAGAAAAATGAGAAGAAAAATATTTGAAAAAATTAATGGCTGAAAACTTTCCAAATTAAATGAAAGACATGAATCTACACACCCAAGAAGCTTAATGAAGCTGGATAAACTCAATGAGATATACACTGAAACACATTATAGCCAAGTTGTTGAAAATCAAAGATGAAGAAAAAAATCTGGAAAGATGCAAAGGGGAAAAGACTCATCACAAGTGAATGATCTTCAATAAGATTAACAGTGGATATCTTATCAGAAACCATGAAGGGCAGAAGGTAATGTGATGATATGTTTTAACTGATGAAAGAAAAAACTGTCAATCAAAAATTTTATATTTGGAAAATTGTATCCTTTGAGAGAAGAAGAAATTCAGATATTTCCAGATAAACAAAAGTCAAGGTAGTTTTTCACTAATAGACCTGCCATAAAAATATTTTAAGTGAGTTCTTCATGCGGAAGTAAAAGTATATAGTACCTCAAAGCCATGTGAAGAAATAAAGATCACTGATAAAGGCACCTTCATTAATAAATAGAAAACCCAGTATTATTGTATGTTTCATTTAGAGTGCCTTTATTTCCTCTATGACTAAAAAAGCAAAAGCATAAATCACTTATGATAAATCTATGTTATTGGGCACACAATGTATAAAAATGCAATCTATGACAGTAACTTTATAAAGGGGAAGGGATGAAAATGTATGGGAGCAGGGTTTGTTTATAATTGAAACTAAGTTGGCATCAGTCAAACTAGGTTGTCATAAGTTTAAGATGTTAATTTTAATACCCAAGGTAACAACTAAGAAAATAACTAAAAACATGCAGAAATGGGAAATGAAGATAATCAAAATAGTACACTATAAAAAAATCAACTAAACACAAAAGGACTGAAATGAATGAATTGAAGAACAAATAACATATGAGACATACAGAAAACAAATAGATAAATAGCAGAAGTGTATCCTTTCTCAGTAATTATTTTAAATTTAAATGTATTAGAATCATCCAGTTATAAAGCAGGGGTTGGCAGAGAAGATAAAGAACATAATCCATCTATATACTGTCTACCAGAGACTTATTCTAGATCTGTAAACAAAAAAGATTGAAAGTAAAATGATGGAATAAGATATTCTATGCAAATCATAACCGAAAAAGGGCCAGAGTGGCTAGATATTATCAAAACAAAAAGATTTTCAGAAAAAATGGGTTAAGGAGATAAAGAAGTGCATTATATATTGAAAAAGGGTTTAACCCAGCAGGAATATATAACAATTATAAACATATGCATATATGCATATATAACGTTAGACTCCAAAACATATGAAGCAAAATTGACAAAATTGAAGGGAGAAATAGACAGTTTTACAATAATAGTTAGAGACTTCAAGACCTCATTTTCTTTCTTTTTTCTCTCTCTCTTTTTTTTTTTTTTGTGAGACTGGATCTGACTTCATTGCCCAAGCTGGAGTACAGTGGTGTGATCTCAGCTCACTACAACTTGCACCTCCTGGGCTTAAGCAATCCTCCCACCTCAACCTCTTGAGTAGCTGGGACTACAGGCCTATGCCACCATGCCTGGCTAATTTTTTCTTTTTTCTTGTATTTTTTTGTAAAGATGGGGTTTCACCATGTTGTCCGGGCTGGTCTTGAACTCCTGGCCTCAAGTGATCGACCCACTTTGGCCTCCCAAAGTGCTGTGATTACAGGCATGAGCCACTGTGTCCAGCCAATACCTCACTTTCAATGGATATAAAAACCAGACAGAAGATTTATAAGGAAATGGAGGACTTGAACAACACCATAAATCAATAAGTTCTATCAATACATACAAAACACTCTATTCAATAACAAAAGAACATGTATTCTTCTCAAGTGTATGTGGAACTTTTTCCAGGATAAACCATATGTTAGGCCCCTTAAAAGTCTTAATAAATTTTAAAAGACTGAAATCATATGATCATCAAGAAGTACATGCAGACTGCTCTAAAACAAAACTCATTGGTTTCAGTGACTAATTTCAGGACTTGGTATTAGTTCACCGGGAGAAGATAGCTGTTTCTAGGCAAATGTCCTGGCCCAAGTGTCTTATCTGAAATACTGCAGGTCAGAGAAAATTTCTGTGATAAGTTCTATTCTGTTACTCTGTTAACAAGGTATGAAGGAGATATGCAGGTATTTCAGAATGCAAGCATGAGGGCTTCTGCTTTATGGATCCTCCCTGACACCATTTTGGTTAGAGTTTTGACACAAGTGACTCCATTTTGTATTGTTCACTTCCACATTAGATACTCCCCATGAGACCACAAGGTACAGGCTGGGAGAGAGAAGGCGTCGTAACAAGAGTAGGAACCACAGGCATTTGGACCACTTCTTCTTGTAACTTATTTGTGCCTTCAGGTCCTGTTCAGGCTCAATCATATATATATATACACACACACACACACCACTTCCATTGGATGATGAAGTGTTGCTGTGCATGGCAACTTTATGGGTTGATGGATCAGATAACACCAAGTTCATGATGGGCAGCTCAGGGCACGTAGTAACTTGGTGGCCCATGCATGATCAAGCATTCAGTTTCTCCTAAGTCCCAGTAGCAGGTCAAGAGCCATCTCTTAAAAGAAGATTAGTTATCTGTAGATGATTAGTACCTTTCTCCAAAATCCTAAAGACAGGAGCTGCAATTTACCTATAGGATGTCAAAGGCTCTCAACAGCATCCCTATCTGCTGCTAACACCTCAAGTACCATTAAATCTGCTGGATCAATGGTTCTTGTGGCAGACCAAGTGGCAGACCAGCTTGGACAGCTGCCTGGACCTTTGCAGAACCTTCTCCTATTTTTCTAACCCACTCAAAACTAGCAGCTTTTTGGGCCACTTGGAAAGGCCAGAGTAACATACCTAAATGAAGAATGTGTTGCCTCCAAAATCCAAACAGCCCCACCAGGCATTGTGTCTCTTTCTGGTTGTAGGAAGAGCTAGATGCAACATCTTTCCCTTCACTTTAGAAGGGATAGGTTGACATACCCCATACCACCCAACCCCTAAAAATTTCACTGAGGTAGTAGTCTTATGAATTATAGTTAGATTTATTTCCCACTTTTCTGACATGCAAATGTCTTACCAATAAGTCTAGAGTAGTTGCTACTTCTCATTCATTAGGTCCAATCAGTCTAATGTCATTAACATAATAGACTAGTGTGATATCTTACGGCAAAGAAGGGTGATCAAGATACCACAAGAATGTTTCAGTTCTCCTGAAATCAATGTCAGTTCGGAGCCAGTGTCCAGCAGTCCCTGAAATGTCTGATTATTTCCTTTTCCTCAATACACAGTTACGTTGGTAAAGAGCTGTATGTCCCTTGTAGAAGGCTGAGAGATTAACAGTACTGTCTAAATTTTCAGTTGTGTCCTTCCTTGAGGGGGCCCAACTTCCCCTTCATTCAAAGGGTTCCAAGTGTATAAACAGGCTCAAAACTTGGAATTGATTGAGGAGCCATGATTTTTTGTTTTTAGATTCAAATTAGACTTTTGGTGACTTGACCTGGAATTTTTCTGCTTATATGGATCATATAAGAATTTAGTAGACTTCCTATCTATTTCACTTCTAAAAACACTGTAATTAACTAGTCCTACAATATGCTGTAGTCATGCAAAAGAACCCAGAAAAGTAGTGAAATAATTTAGTCTGAGTCTGAAGACCTGAGAACCTGGGAAGCTGCTGATGTAAATGAGTAGCCAACATTATAGGTCTGTGCAAGTCAGATAATTCTGATTGTTTCTTTGACTCAGCTATTCATTATGGTAATTTAGCCCACCTTGTCTGGGCTGTTGAGCCTCCACTTGACCCCTGCCAGTCCAAAATCCAAATACTCCCCTTGCATTTAGGTTTTCCAGTTGAGTGACTGCTGTTTCCACTGTAAGGTCTGGCCTACAGAGAAGAGAGATTGCAGAGCCCTTTAAGGATACTGGAGCTCCTCTCACAAATTTATTTCTCAAAGTATTGGAGAAAAACTTGTCTTCTGGACCCTTCAGTGTGGGTGATTGGGTTTTAAATGACAAATTCACATTAACATTCCAATATCCTTGAGCCTTTAAGTCCCTTCTACTTTAAACCAAGAAAGATCAGTCTTTTCCAATTTGCTCATCTTTTGATCCATGACTCAGCAAACGGTTCAAACAAATTGTTAGAGCTCTTTCTAACTTCTCAGGCTGCAAAATCTCTGCTTAGTGAGCCCATTTAATAAATTCAGTCTGGTTCAGCTTTATGCTCTTTCACCATTATCCCATACCTTTAATATCCATTCCCACACATGTTCTCTGGATCCCTGCTTGTATAAATTAGTAAACTCAAGCAGATCTTCTGGAGTGTAGTGTACCTCCTCATGCGTCACACTTTGTACCTAACCTTAGGGGCCTGCTGGGACTTGAGTCTAGTTAGAGGTCTAGAGAGGGGTGGTGGGGGTAGATCTTGAGAAGAATCATCATTATTATCTTTCATGGTAATTAACTCATATAATGCTGTTATTTCTTCAGACAATGCAGGGTTGATGCCCTCAGATAGAGGGTGAATGGCTGATACCACTGTGGGTGGGAAGCTATTTCTGTTGGGAGTGGGAAAGCCCCTTTTTCTGGGAGTGGGGATACCTCTTCCATTGGCAAAGAAGACTTCAAAATTTAGAAGCTCTATGTCCCCAGCTTCATCAAAATTTTCTCACACATCCCCATTCCAACGTATAGAACCCTGTTTCCCAATGAAGGCCTGAACTTTAACAGTGGACACCCTGGGAGGCTTGGAGTTCAACTTGCTTGTAATTCATCCAATTGCTGGGATAAGATCCTGTGTCTGATTTTCAGTAATTTCAGTCGTGCAACTACAGGAGATAAGTCTCTCCCTCAGGGCGCACCTAGACACTCTGAATTAAGTCATTTATGTAGCTCTTGAGCTTGGAATTCAAATATTTGACTCAAATAGCTTTTCTTTCACCCCTTTATCCAGTAGTGAAAGCAATCAACCAACATTATTATATTTCTGAGTTTTCAAAAAATGTTTGGAAGTGTCATACACAGACTTACTTACTTCTTTCCTTCTTATAAGTGGTTAATTAGAAGTACCCAATCCAGATATTTTGCACATCTCTATAAATAGTTCACTACATGGACTATCAGTGCTCTCTCTACTACTGGAAATAAAGTCATTAGCATCTTTATATCTAAACAGATTAGAGAGCCGTTTTCAGAAACCCCAAAACCAGTTCAGAAAACTAATCCTTAAAATTCTTTTCCTCTATTCTTAGTGTCAAAATCTGTGTTCGTACTTTTACACTGTTGGTGGGATTGTAAACTAGTTCAACCATTATGGAAAACAGTATGGCGATTCCTCAAGGATCTAGAACTAGATGTACCATATGACCCAGCCATCCCATTACTGGGTATATACCCAAAGGATTATAAATTATGCTGCTATAAAGACACATGCACACGTATGTTTATTGCAGCACTATTCACAATAGCAAAGACTTGGAATCAACCCAAATGTCCATCAGTGACAGATTGGATTAAGAAAATGTGGCACATATACACCATGGAATACTATGCAGCCATAAAAAAGGATGAGTTTGTGTCCTTTGTAGGGACATGGATGCAGCTGGAAACCATCATTCTTAGCAAACTATCACAAGAACAGAAAACCAAACACCGCATGTTCTCACTCATAGGCGGGAACTGAACAATGAGATCACTTGGACTCGGGAAGGGGAACATCACACACCGGGGCCTATCATGGGGAGGGGGGAGGGGGGAGGGATTGCATTGGGAGTTATACCTGATGTAAATGATGAGTTGATGGGTGCAGCACACCAACATGGCACAAGTATACATATGTAGCAAACCTGCACGTTGTGCACATGTACCCTACAACTTAAAGTTTAATAATAATAAATAAATTTTTAAAAAAAATCTGTGTTCATTAGGGTTCTCCAGAGAAACAGAACCAATACGATAAATAGAGAGATATACATATATAGATATAGATAGCTAAGAGAAGATTTGTTATGATTACAGAGGCTGTGAAGTCCTACACTATGTTATAGTCAAGCAATAGAACCAGTAAAAGTAGTGATGTAATTCAGTCTAAGTCTGAAGACCTGGGAACCTGGGGAGCCACTGGTGTAAATTCCATAGTCAGAAGGCATGAGAACTAGGATCTCCGATGCCCAAAAGCAGGAGAAGTTGGATGTCCCAGTTCAGAGAGAGAGAGAGAGAGAATTCACCCTTCTTTCACCTTATTGTTATACTTAGGCCTTCAAAGGATTGGATGATCTCCACTCACATTATATAGGTCATTTTTTAAATTATTCAGCCTACTGATTCACATGCTTATCTCTTCTGAAAATAGCCTCACAGGTACACCCAGAAATGTTTTCTTAGCTATCTGGGCATCCCTTAGCCTAGTCAAGTTGACACATAAAAATAACCATCACACAAATACTTGGGCAGGGCTGGCTTCCTCTGGTCTTTCTGGTCACAGCAAAAAATGTCACCTCAATGAGAACATTTCTGAACCCCCCACCCAATGACTTTCCTGCCCCACTCTCAGCACCCTACTAGAAAGTGGAGGACTTACACTACCAGATATTGGGACTTAGTTTAAAACTATAGTAATGAAGGCTGTGTGTGCTACTAGTGCAAGGATAGAAATGAAGAGAAATAGAATACAGAGCCCAACTCAGACCCACACATTTGGACATTTTATGTATGATGAAAGAGGTGTGCAGAACAGTAGGGAGAAGATAGTCTTTTCAGTAAGTGGCCCAGGTCAGCTGGTTCTCCATATGGGAAAGAAATGAATCTTGACTCCTAACTCATACACTATAAACAAAAACCAATTCCAGGTGGATTGTAAATTTAAATGTGAAAGTTTAAAACAATATTTACAGTAGATAATATCAGAGAATATTTTCATGACCTTGAGGCAGGCAAGGATTTCTTAGGTAGGACACAAAGTGTACTGGCCATAAAGAAAAAAAAGGATAAATTGGGACCTATTAAAATTGTAACATCACTTCATTAAAAGACACCTTCAAGAGAGTAAAAAGGCAAGAACAGAATGGGAATACATATTTGCCAGATTTATGTGAAAAAGCCTCATATTTATGGTATGTAACTAACTCCCATAAATGAATGAGAAAAAAGACAGACAATATGCCAGGAAAATTGGGCAAAAGATTTAACTAGACATTCCACAAAAAGACATTCCACATCCAAATGTCCAACAAGTATATGAAATGTGTCCACGTCGTTACTAATCAGGAAAATGCAAATTAAAACCATAATATGATACTACCGTGTAGTGGCTAAAATAAAAACAGGAGACAATATCAAGTGTTGGTGAGGATGTAGAGCAACTGGAACTCTCATACGCTGTTGTGTGTAAACTGATACAACCATTTGCAAATTCTTTGGTAGTATCTCTTAAAGATGAACATACACATATTCTATGACTTAGCAATTCCACTCTTAAGTATACACCCAATAAAAATGCCTACATATGTTCACCATGCAAAAGAATGGTCAGAACAGCATTATTATTGGTAGTCTCCAAATTGAAAAAATCCAAATGTGTTTCAATAATAGAAAGGATTAACAAAATGGGGTATATATTTTTTAATAATGGGATACTATACAGAAATAAACTATAGACACATTAAAATATATATATGGGCTTAGCCTGGTGGCTCAAGCCTGTAATCCCAGCACTTTAGGAGGTTGAGGCAGGAGGATTACTTAAACCTAGGAGTTCAAGGCCAGTGTGGGCTATCTCAACGAAAAAATAAATAAAAATTAGCCAGGTATAGTGGTATATGCCTGTAGTTCTAGCTACTTGGGAGGCTGAAGTGGGAGGATTGCTTGAGCCCAGGAGTTTGAGGTTACAGTGTGAGCTGTGATTGTGCCACTGCACTCTAGCCTGGGTGACAGAGCAAGACACTGTCTCAAAAAAAAAAAGTATGAAACTTACAAACACAATGAAATAAGCCCAACATAAAAGTGTCCCCATTTAAATAAAATTTTTAAAGAAGCAAAACTAATTCAGAAGTTAGAATATTTGTTATCCTGCGGGAAGAGAGGGCAGTGACATGACAGGTACACAAAAGGGGCTTCGGGAGAGTTGGTAATGCTCTATTTCTTATGGGTGCTGGTTACTAGGCACGTTCCTTTCAGATAATTCATTGAGCTATCCACTTATGATTTCCATACTTTTAGATATGTATGCTATGCTTCAACATGCACATCCAATCAGTTGATTAAATAACTTTTTTCCTTGTTAGTCACAGATCAGGTGGTTCAAGACTCGAATTACAGGGTCTAGATTCATATCCTAGATCTTCCTGTCTTGGAGATCTTGGCCAAGTCACTGACTCTGAATTTCAGTTTCTTAATCTATAAAATGGGTTAGTTAAGGCACCCTTCTCATAGTTATTGCAGGCATTAAATCTTCTCATTAAATATTTGCTCTTGTGGTGGTCCTCATTGCTCTGCTTTGTCTGGACTATGCAGAAGACAGACAATAGTCTGGGATAGGGAAGGAAAAGATGGGGTCAAGAGACATTTTCAAAGTTAAGAGTGAGAGGGAAAATATCAAAAGTGATGCTGAGCTACAAGAAAAAGATCCAGAGGCCCTGGTGTCATTCTTTCCATTCCCTGTTTGCCCAAATCTAAACACAGGAGGTGGACTAACCAGATGATCTCTAACTGGTTAGTCTTTCCAACTATGATATTATCAGGTTGGGAGGAGAATGGAAATGCCATCCAAAAGGCAAACACAAATTTCCACGTTTGATCCAAACTCAAACACACAGTCTCAAAAACTTGGAAGTTAAGGGAGGTAAATTCTCAGTGGCAGGATTATGGGTTATTTTACTTTCTCCATTGAAGTTTTTCTGTTTTCTAATTTTCTGCAATAAATGTGGAGTTCAATTTAAAAAAATGCCATACTTGACATGTCCATGCCTACTATTTATAGCCATATAGTTTTTAAAAAGAAAGAAACCCCTAAATTACAGATGTGCCTGGAACCAGAACCCAGAAAGCATCTGGGTAGGGAAAATAGTTTCTAACGCTCAAGGCCAAAGCCAGTAGGGCCTCCTTGGATGGGAAAGAGATATGAGACTGCAAATAATTCCTGGACATTACCTATTTGTTACTGTGTTTTCATCCCTTCCCTCAGTCACCTACACGTTTTCTTTTTCCAGCTAAAGTGAATCTAATCTTTGTTACAGTACTTCACCTTGTTAATAAAACCCAGGACCGAAGAACGAGCATTTGTTAGCAATCGTAACATATCACTGCCAAAGGCAGGCATTCTGTAAGAAGGCGCTGGGTGTCTCATATATATGGGAAACCCTAGGCCACGTTCAGTGCCAACCACAAGCATTTTCATCTCTGGCCAGGCAAGCCTTGATCCCTGAATTTTGAGCTCTCAACCTCTTTTAAACTGAGAAACAGATGGTCTCTTCCAGAGTCTTTCAGCTTCTAACTTACAGGCAAACACTACCATATGCTGTCTCCCAGCAGAGATTGGTTTTAACCAAGGCAAATAAGATAGGATGGACTTTGTTGACCATGATGGCTCAGTGCTACATCTCACATATCCTACCACCTTTCAGAACATTTAATCGTGCTGCTCCTGGCGGCCCTGGGATTGTAGTCCTTGTAGAGAGGAGAAACTGCCATTGAAGGAAGTAGTTGAGTTTTACTACTCCACGTGGAGCGCTCCCATTACTAAGAGCAACCTCCCCTCCCTGGGAAGAAAAGCGTGGGCGGGGCCAGGGCAGTCCCTCCCCTCCGCGTTGCCTTGGAGACCATGGGCGTCCAGCGGCAGTTGTAGCTGGACCGTCCCTGGCTGCCTTGAGAGGTGCTTTCTGCAGGCGGGGACGCGTCCAGGCTGGGCGCAAGGCCTGTCTCCAATCTGCCGGGCTCAGGGGGATGTCCAGCGGCTGTTCAGTCTATTTGGGGGGCTAGGGAGGGGGATGGGAGGGGCTGGTTGGGTCTTCTCAGCACACAGTAGGCGCCTAATTAGCGTGACCTGAATCAGGTTACTCTCTCCCTCCAATTCTCCTTCCCTGTGTCCCATGGAGGGTGGGTTAGGGTCCCGGATGAAAGTTCAGCGCCGCGTTGGAGTTCCAGTCCCAACCGACATCTTGAGCGCTGTTAACTTTTCCCAGAAGAGCCTGGCAGAGTGAAGCACAAACAATAATCCTGTATTATTCGCGTTCCCAAAGTCCCTTCGGATTTGCGCCCTGCGCGGCGGGGAGAACCGGCCTCCTGCTCGAGTTCGGAGCTCATCTGAGGTTAGTTTCATCCGTTCGTTGAAAGTTAAGACCCTGAGTCGACGTTCCCCAGGCCCCTATCCCCCAGCAGAGAGTCCTTCCGCGGGAGTCCTGCCCTGGGGTGCCGCCTCGAGGCCAGATGTCGTCCCGCCTGGACCTGAACCTGAGCTTGGGACGGGCGGTTTCCCAACCTCAGGAATTGGAATTGAGACACCAAAGCCCAGACGCGTTTCCTGGACGACGGCTTCCCGGCAGGGGCATACAGCCAGCGGCCAAGATGTCGTCAGTGGGGAAGGTGACCCAGGTTCCCAGTGGGAACGCCTACCAGCAGATCTTCCAGGCTGAGGTAGGAGCCGCCCTCTGTCCCCCTTTTCTCCATTCCTCTTCCCTTGCTTTCTTCCAAACTTCCCTCCCTCCCAGGGCTTCCCTACTGGAAATTGAATAAAACAAGGGTTTTGAAATTACTTTGATTTTAAAAGTAATTCTTACTAGTTCTTAAATTGTACCAATACAAAATTAGAATGTCGTTTCTTGAAAATTAGAAAACTTAAATTAAAATTTTAAATGTAAATTACTCAGAAAGAGCCTGGATGGAACCACTGGGTGACCTCTCTTTTTCCCATGCATCAGAACATGTCTAATTTTTGTATTTAAAAAATAGGCTTCATTCTGTGCTAGTGTTTTGAAATTTGCTTTTTCTCCGTGACAGTATCTCACAGACCCTTTTCTATGCCCGTGGGCACTCATGTATTTCACCGTGCTGAGTGGCTGCCCGCTTGTTGATCTAGGACTCCCATAACTGTATTAAAGTGAAGCCCTCTTGACAGTAGTGTAGGTTATTGCAATTGCCTTGTCTTCTCTGAAGCACTGTATAGACAAAACAAGATCTTAAAAAACACGCAGACCCGAATCCTTCCTTTGAAGTTCTGTACTGCTTATTTAAAAGGGATCTGCATTCCTAATTTGAGCCCTAAATAATTCTCTGTAAAACCTCTGGAAATTATAAAAGTATAAAGAAACCAAAAAACAATTACATCACTCACACCATCCTGCTCTCTCTAAGGCCATTCTTAGCTCTTGGCATATTTCCTCCAGGGCCTTTTCCTATGCATTTTAAATTTTGAGATCATACTGTATAATTTTGGTTATAATTTTTAATTTGTGTGTTTAAGTGATATGTTTAACAATATATCGTCTCCTAAGCATTTCCTGAGGTTATAAAAAATTCTTTGTGGGTCTCATCTTTAACAAATGCCTAACATTCCATCAAACGGACATACCATGTTTACTCAGCCAATCCCTATTATTTGTCAGTTCTGTTTTTCCAATTTCTTGTGATTATAAAAAAGGCTGAGATGTTCATCTTAATCTTCATTTAAGGTTCTTAAAAAGAGGCCTTCCTTGAAGTGGCTGGGTGACTGTTACTGGGAGGAGAGCTCTCCTGTAGGGATATGCCCTGGGGTTGAAGGCCTCCCTGAACAGTGCCTTTCTATACAGCTCTCTGGATGTCTTTCTAGACAGCCACCATCAGCCTGAGAGTGCTGGGGAGTCAGCAGCTCTGACCACTCCCCCATCCCTGGTCCTCCCTGGATTCAGGTGCAGCTGGTCCACTCCCTGGCGGCCACCAGGAAGCGGGCTGCAGAGCATTCTGTGACCCTGAAGAGTGGCAGGATACCCATGATGAAGAAGGTGGAGACTCCTGAAGGGGAGGTGATGTCTCCTCGACAGCAGAAGTGGATGCACAGCCTCCCCAACAACTGGATCATGGAAAACCCTGTTCTCCACAGGTAGGTCCTGCTGTCCATGCCGCACCCCCATACACTAGAGTACCTGAGCCTTCAAAAACTCAAAAAGAGCTGGCACAAGATGAGTAGCCTGTAGGAGTAAAGTCTCAAGTACCACCCCTAAAGCAGGGAGGTTAATACCTACCTTGCAGGGTGCTTTGCTTCTCTTGCCCCTATTCTCCCACTCCCACAATCATTATTGATTAAGTGCCTAGGGCCAGGCACTGGGTGTGGGGATCCCACCCTTATGAAACTTGAGACCTCAACAGTAAATAAATAAGCACATCCCCCCAATGGCAGAAAAGCTCTAACTAAGGGGACAGGGGCTATGGGATGGGGGCCGGGAAAGCTCTCTGAGGAAAGGGATCACCTGAAACCAGAGGGTGCAGTATGGGGACAAGGCTCTGAGAAAGGTGGTCTTGGCCCCCTCCAGAAGGCTGAAGGTAAGTGGACCCTGAGAGAGGGCAGGAGATGAGGCTGGGAGCAGCCTCTCAGGCCACAGTCAGTATTCTGAACTTTACTTCAGTGAGCGGCTGATTTGCAGTTTTGAAGTCCCTCAGGCAGCTCTGTGCAGAATGTGCGGTGCTTCAAGAAGAGGCAGGAAGGCCAGGGCACAGGACACTGCAGCTGTCCTCATAACCTTACTGGTGGCTGTGAGAGGGAAAGCAGCGATGGGCCTCGGGTGTCTCTTGAAGGCAGAACCCATGATACCTAGTGATGAACTGGAGGGGAGGAGAGAGCTCCTGAGAGCCCTTGGTCTCTGGCCTGAGTGCTGGGTGAACAGCAGAAATGCAGTTCCCTGAGATGACAGCAGGTGGGGTCAGGCATGGAGATCAGCAGTTTCTTGTGAACTTCCAGGTTCAGCGGTTCCTAAGCATGCCACTTCAGTTCGCTAAGCTCTGACTCTCAGCTATGGGGAAAAGGATGAAACAGATCTTCTTCCCAGGATTCTTGAGAGAATGGAGCAGGCGTGGGGCTTCCCTTAGGCACTTTGAGTTCTACACAAGCCATAAACCCTTGCTGGGCCTGGGACTCTGGGATAGAAAGCAGGCCTCCTCTGCCTGTCTTGGTGGTTCCTTTCACCCTCTTTGGGGCAGGGACAGACCCCTTGATGAGTACAGTTCTTTGCCCTGACCTGGCCTTTGAATTTTCCCAGGAAAGCCACCCCCAAAGCTTCTGACCCTCATGCTCTTAACTCCGGACAGATGGAAAAATCCACTGGCCCACCCAAGCCCAGACTCGAGATCAGCGTTCTCTAGCCCGTGTCACCCTGCCTGATGCCCCAGGTGGGGGTCCAGGGTTACAGGGAGCCTGATGCCCCAGGTGGGAATCTAGAGGAACTACCCATCAGGCCCAGCTCCCTCTAGACACTCTGCAGGGCTAGCAGAGGCCAGACTGGGCCGAACACATGAGTGGCAGAGCCAGGCCACCCTGTCTCCCTCAGGCATCAAAGCAAAGGGTGCAGATGTTTGAAGAGTCAGCCAGCCAAGGACAGTCCACCTATGTGCTCACTACCCAGGGCAGATCCCTGGGTGGATGGAGACCAGCCCAGGCCAGGGGGTAAATCACCACTGGTATAAACCAAGCCCCAAGTCCCTGGAGCAAGTGACCAAGAAGCCAGAGTTGACAGCAGGGGTCATCATGTCAGCTCCTACAGGGCTGCCTTGGTCCAGGAGCATTTAGAATGACAAGGTTTGAAAGACCTGTCTCTAGAAGATTGGCCTGGGCCCCAGCAGCTGCAGCCCAGGCCCAGCAACTTCCTCGCTGCTAGGTCTGCACTGAGGGCTAAATGAGAAGTTGGCTGGAAAGTGTTGGACATATGGGGGGCCCAAGGAATGGCAGCAGTCACTGGGAGCTGCGGGATTTCTGTGGTGCTTGCCCCATGGACAGGGCATTCACAGATGCCAATTCCAAAGCTGATGTCACATCCACCCCGCTGGTCCTCCCTGTTGAAATAGTTCCTCCTGGAACCCCAGCTGTCTCCTCCCTCACCCAAATTCCATGGGCCTTAGTGTCACAAGGATGGATCTTGGAGTCTCCTCTCTGTTGCATTCTGTGGTTCCTATAAGCCCCTTCCCGCTTTCTGGAAAATAGGGTTACCTCAAGTACATCATAGGATGGGTTGCTGAAGGAGCAAATAAGGATGCATGCCAAGAGCTAGCATGATCTGGCTTTACTGGGTTGCTCATATCCCTTCTGATCCTCAGTTTCCCCAGGTGGGAAGTGTCTCAGGCTCATCATCCACACTTGACTACCAGAGCCAGAGCAGGCTCCCTGAAGGCAGGAACCCAGCCTCTCACCTAGGGACCCACAGTGTCTGCTGGCAGGGGACCCCAAGCGGCGTTTGTTGGGAACCTGGGTACTGCCTCAGGGCTCTCTGGAATTGGGGTGTGCCTGGTCCATTGCTGCTGCCCACAGGCCCTCTGGAGAATCACCCCTTGGTGCCCTTATGTGCCAGAGCTGCCATGGTTGGCATCGGGACTTCACTCTTCTCTGCTTGTGTCTCAGGGAAAAGGAAAGAGCCAAGAGAGAAAAAGCCCGAGAGAGTGAGAGCAACATCGCTGCCCGAGAAGTGCGGGGTCTCATGGACACTGTGGGTGAGCCTCCATTCAGCCTCAAGGCAGGCCTGTCCTGGGCCAGGGCAAGACCTGGGCAGGAGGTGGGGACGTCTCCTGGCAACTCCTCTGAGGAAGGCCCTGAGCTCCCACTGTGTTCCTCAGCTCAGTCAGCTGAAGGGCATTCTCCCTGAGCATCTCACCCGAGAGTCCTCACCTGTGCAGGGAGCTGGGGAAGGAGGGGAGTTGCCTGCATGGAGGGCAGTTACTGATGAAAACCAGGTGACTAAAGGATGCCACGTGCTTTCTTGCAGGTTCCCAACAGTATTTCTCATCTGCATTTTCTTCCTTCCTACCACATTGTCCTAGTTTAACCTTATCCTAATATAAAAACCTTTTTTCTTTATGATTAAAAAAAAATACATGTTCACTGAAGACAAACAAAGGAAGGAGAGAAAGAGAAAGTAAAACCTTCCCCTTCACAATGACACCTCTTCTTCTCCGAAGAGTCACCAGCCCCCACCCAACCCACCCCTGGTTAACCCATGTGGCATCCGGCTTCCCACCTGGATAAAGGGGACAGCAGAGCATGTGGCAGGAGCATAGACTTGGAAGCAAGTGGCCCAGATCCCTGCTCAGCTGCTGGCCAGCTTGGTTCTTCAACCTGTCATGACTGAGTTTCCTCACTTGTGAAGCGAGGCTAGGAATGGAAACCACCTCGTGGCCACAGCGTGAAGACTAGCTGAGTTTGAACAATACCCACTATGCAGGAAGTACTATGGAAGTGTTGGTAGCTATCATTTCTGTATGTATTTGCTTCCATAGAACTCTTTTTAAAAAAAACATTCTGTGCATACTATTTAGGAGATTTTTCAGCTTTTAACTAACTGTATATCTGAGGCCTCAGTCCCTCTAGCACTCAGGAATCACTGTCGTCTTTTCTCTTTTTCCTTAAGCCTCTGCCACCCTGACCTGGCTCTCGGGTCCACCTTCTGAGTCGGGCCTCGGTGTGCAGGGGCTGCCTGCCTGTGCTGCCTTTGCCTGAGAGCTCTGAAGGCAGCCTCATCACCTCTGTTGTTGCTCCACAGTTCCTGAGAAGATAAGCACCAGCACCTTTCAAAGGCGAGCAGAACACAAGAGGAGGAGCTACGAGGGCGCTCTGACCAGCTTTGAGGAGGAGATTGCGCAGGTTGGAAAGGTGAGAATCCTCCCTCTCCCTCCTCTTCCCTTCCTGTGCCATTCCAAAGGCGGGTGTGTCATGGCTCCCAGCCTCCCTTCCCCTCTCCAGCAGAGGTCCTCAGGGGCTCACAGAGCCTTAGACAGACATGGAACCGTCTCCTAGTGCCTGAGTGGCTCGTTATGAGTGTTTGTGAGCACAGCTCCCCGTAGTTCTTGGAAAAGCGCTACAGGTCATGTGCTGTTATTATCCTTTTGCAGTGAGGCCCAGAGAGTCTCACCTGACTTGGTGCATAAGGGCCCAAGTCAGAACTGCTCTCCAGGTCTGACACCAAATCTAGCCTTTGGCCTCCCTGCTCAGTCCTTCTGATGAAGGGCAGAATGGCACACCCCCCGCTGACAGCGCAGCTCTGCTGGGCTCTTATGGACTGCCCCCCATTCAGCTCTCATTCCTCTCCGGAGACCTCATCTCCAGACACACTGGTGTCTGGAATGTTCCCTAAATGAGACCAGCCTTTGCCCTTCTGGATTTCCCTGAGCCCCAGATTTCTACTTGTCCCCTTCTCCCTGAGTCTTCTCTGACCTGTGTTGCCCTGCCCTGGATTCCTGGAGCTGGCTCTGTGCCCAAAGCCCCAAGAACAGGCTCTCTAGCCATGTTTCTTCATACGTTCCCAACTGGATACCAGGTCTGCTTTCACCCTTGAGCTCTGTGGCTTTGGTGAAGCCATCTGCCTGAGCCTCAGTTTCCTCATCTGAAGTAAACTTGGCATTCTTTCATTTGGCCACTTCTTTAATGAATATTTGTTGAGTGCCAACCATAGGCTAGGCCCGATGTCAGCAGCCAATTTGAAGACTGTGATGACGATCAAATGAGCCAAGAAGGAGGGCTCAGTGCAGAGTGTGTGGCATGGCTGTGAGCTGACTAGTGAGCCTCAACTCCTTAGGTGTAGGTAACGATCATCATTTTTGAGATGGGACCATGCCTGGCACTTCGCCTATGACAGGGAGGGCTCTCTCCTTCCTGGGGGTTCTGATGCTGTGGCCATCATCCCCCTGGCCTGTTGCAGGAAATGGAAGCTCTCATTGTGGACACAGCGGGACTTTTTTTGAAGAAGCTGACCGAGTCTGATGAAGAAATGAACCGTCTCTTCCTAAAGGTGGAAAACGACACCAACCTTGAGGACTACACCATCCAAGTAGGGGTCCCTTCATGGCTGGGCCTGCCCCACCCGGGTCCTGCTTCTTCCCTCCCTCCCACCGGCTCCTAACCTGACCCAGACCTCTGCATAGGCCCTGCTAGAGCTGTGGGATAAGGTGGCCAGGCGGTTCCTGCTCCAGAAGCAGGAGATTAAGGAGCTGGATGAGGCCCTGCACTCGCTGGAGTTCTCTCGAGTCAATAAAGTAAGTCGGCTGCAGGTGGGCTCTGTGGTGACTGTCACTTGCCAGGTTTATTAGGCATCCTTCTGTTTCCTTTTAGTTCTCCAGGAAATGAGTCACTAAGTATGGTACCTTGTCATTTCTAGCTAAAAGGTGTGTTGAAGAAATATGCTGAAGTCATAGAGAAAACTTCATACCTCGTGCGGCCCGATGTGTACAAGCTGATAAATAAAGAAGCCATGGTGAGTGGTTTTCCTGTGCAGGGATCAGCCCATGGGAGAAGGGGCAGGACCAGGAACCTGGGACACCCCGAACCTGGTGTCTGGTGTCTTGGGAATGGTGGGCTTCTCATCTATTACGTTTCTAAGGGGCCCAGGTGGGTCTCTTAGGTAGAGAAGCAGAGTCCTTGCTATTGTAAGCATTTTTCAATAGAGATCTTTCTAAAGTACATTTCATATTTCCCTGACATCTTGAACCAGGCATACCTCATATAGGGCTATCGTCTGGAGCGCTGGCGATGTTACTGAGCACCTACTAGGTCATGTCTCAGCAACTGTGTGCAATGCAATAGGTGCTACACTATAGACTCATCGTTGGGGGACTACGGTGGTCTCAGGGTGGTTTCCACCTTCGAGTGACCTGCTTTGCCTGCTGTGTCTGGCTTTTCTGCCTCTTCTTGCCTCTCTTCCTACCAGTGGTCTGTGCCCATTGCTGAGCCTGCCTCTTGGTTCTGTCCCCACTGCTTTCCCCTGTCGGTGCCCCCAGCACCCCTCCCCCCGGCTGCTTTCCTTGGGGTGGAAAGCACAAAATTCAAGGTTGTTCATGATGTCTCCGAAGTCAGAGCAAAGTCTGACTCCTCTGCTGCGAGAGAGGACTCCTCTTTTGGCTGCCCAAAGGCACATTGTGGGTTTCCTGGTCTTGTGCAGTGAGCTGAGCTTGCTGGATAAGAGGCCTCCTGGCAACACAGTAGGCTGAAAAGAGGACGGGTGTTTAGAATCACAGACAGGTCCAGCCCACGTTAGCACCGTGGCGACTTGGATAAAGCACAGGCAAGGAGTGAGCACAGACCTTCTCAACTGTCCGGATGTGGAAGCTTCTGAAATGACTCAGCCCAAGCCTGGAGCTTGCTGAGTCATTAAATGAAGATAATATGGATGTTCCTCCACTTACGATAGGGTCACATCCCAATATACTCATCATAAGTAAAAAGTATAGAAAGTCAAAAATGCATTTAACACCTTCATAAACCCATCATAAAGTTGAAAAATCATGTCAAGCCATCGTAAGACTGCCTATAATACATGTCAGGATTTGTTGGGAGGATAATAAAAGAGGGTCCAGCTGTGGTAGCTGTCTTCTGAGATCAGGGAGGGCTCCTAAGTTGTGCACGTTTTATCCAATAGGAGAGTCAAGGATTTCAGTGTCCCGGATGTGTTTCACTGCTTCCCTTCCCTATGCTTCACTCATTATTACAACTTGCATTTGCTACTTGCTCTACCTGTGTTTTTCTCATTTATTGTCACAAAATCCCTATGCTATAAGTAGCATGAACCCCATTTTATGGCTGCGGATCTGTAGGTTGAGGAAATACTCGCCAGTGCCACCCAGCTAGGAAGTACAGCTGACATCAAGCCTCAGGCTCCACTGAAAAGCATTACTGGAATTTCTAGCCTCTGAGCTTGGCAGGGTTCTCACCCACTGCCCCAGCATACTGCCACCTCCCTGGAGGACTTTGGGAAATGTGTGGAGGCATTTGGAACCAGGGAGGATGGGGGAAGTTACTCCCATCTAAGCAGGGGCAAGGATGCTAAAGGGCAAAATAGTGCCATGCAATAGAGGATCATCCCCATGCCCATGCCAAGGGTGCCCAGTTGAGAAGCCATGGGAGGACTGTTGAAGAATGTTCTAGCTCTGGCCTCATCTTGCCATTGGGTCTCGGTTCTCCTAACAAGCATATGTGGCTCGTCCCTGATGGCACAAGTACTCTGCTTTTGGAAGAAATTTATAAAAAAGAGTAAACACTTAGAGCTCACTGAGTGCCTACCTCCTTTCACCTTCTTTAACAAACATCTGAAGTGACCTTGGAGCTGCTATGAAGCTCATGCAGTCAGGGTCTATGGTTAAACCTTCAAGGAAGACCCTGGTCCATGGCTACTCAGTGCCAGGAAGCTTCTTTGAGTGCCCACTGACCCCTCAGTCCCCCTCAGGCCCTGCGACCACCGCACTCAGCCCTCAGCCTGCACCTCCCCTCTCCAGCCTCCCACTGGTCCTCTCTACCTGAGACTCGCCCTGACCCAAGAGAGACCCTGTCCTGTCTAGAGCCCTGTCCATCTGTGACCACAGGTCATGAACTATGCCCTGCTGGGCAACCGGAAGGCCCTCGCCCAGCTGTTCGTCAACCTGATGGAGTCCACCCTGCAGCAGGAGCTGGACAGCCGCCACCGCTGGCAGGGCTTGGTGGACACCTGGAAGGATCTCAAGAAGGAGGCCCTGCTGCAGAGTTTCAGGTCAGCGCCACCTACACCACACACAGCTCCTTCTCCAGCCCACCAGGGGCTGGCAGAGGCTAGGGCTGGCATTCTCCCTCACTTTTTGCCATTACTTAAAAATGCTGCTGTTTCTCTCTGCTCTTTTTAAAGTTAAAAATAGATAAAGGTATAAAGAATAAATTAAAAATCACCACTAATCTCTCCCCACAGTGAGAAGCATGGCAAATATTTTGGTATATTTTCTCCCAGGCTCTTTTAGATCCATACAGTATATGCGGTTTCATATTTTTTTCATGAACCTTGCTTCATGACCATTCTCTGAGCTCCATACAGCTGGAAAGCATTCATCCAATTATCTGTATAATTTCCACTCTTTGTTATCACTCATAACCCTGTGGACACTGGGCGTGAACAAATGGACATCCTTCAGGCAAGCACTTCCCTCCCTTGGGGAGTGTGTTTCCTCCCTCCCATGGGAGGGGCGTGAAAAGAGGTCCCTTCTCCATGCTTCCTCTGCCAGGTGGCACTTTTGCTGTGGATGAAGGAAAAGTGTACGAAGGCCTACCTCCGTGTTGCCTTTCCATGTGACCTTGACCAAGCCCTTGAACATTCGGAATCTGTCTCTTCCTATACAAAACAGGCATCCTAACGGACCTGTGATAGAGTTTCAGTGATCCAACCAGATACTGCATGGAAAGTACCTATCTGGGCCTGGCACTGGGAAGCTATTATAAATGCCAAACATCATCAACAGTGATAGCAATGGCTGCCGTTTACTGGGCATTTCCCATGAGCCAAGCACAGTGCTAGGGGCCTTGCTTGCATCATTTTACTGAGTGCCCACAAGTGCCAATGAGAAAGGCACCATCATGAGTTCCATTTTACAGAAGAAGGAACTGCAGCTCACAGTAGGAGAAGGACTTGACCAAAGTTACAGAGCAGGCAGGAGGCGGTCAGGAGCCCACCAAATCTGAGCCTGCTGGTCTCATGCTGTTGGTGCCAGAGCTCCACTGACCTGACTGTCCCTCCATTCTTTCCTCCATTTCTCCCTCCCCCATTTCTCCCTCCCACCCTCTCCCTCTCCTTTCTTTAGGGTCCTAGAGGAGAGGCAAAGGCTGGGGAGGAAGGGGCTGGGGTGGTGTTAGGGAAGGAGTGCTGGGGCTCTGAATGCTCTCACCATGGTTCTCTTCCCTCTCTCACTCCTGCCCTGCTCCTCCTCTCCCCTTTATGGTGCCAAAATGTCTGACCACCAGTGAGTTCATGGCCAGTGAGAGTATCCATACTCCCCTGGCTGTGGTGAAGGAGCTAGAGGTCATGCTGAAGACCCAGAACGTCCTGCAGCAAAGGCGGCTGAAGCACCTCTGCACCATCTGGTATGGGCAGGAGGGGTGGCCCGGGAGGGGTGCTTCTTGGGGTTCAGTGGGGGAGGCAGAAGTGGCCTACAACCTGTCCCCCAAGGCATCGTTCAGACTAAGTAGGCCAACTCCCAGCTCTCTGGCCCTGGGCTGGCCACCTCTTCAGCCCCACTCACAAGAAAGGGCATGGCCCATTTGCTGCAGGAAGAAGCTTGGTGTAGCTGCCAAACAGCTTGAAAGAAGCAATGAATGGGGGTGAGGGAGGAGGAGGCACAGATCGGAGCACGCAGGGCCTGTGGCCAGGTGGAGGGGTTTGGACCTTTTTCTGAGGGCACTGGGGAGCGGAGTGGCTCCATGAGCTTTGCAGTTTGGAGGTGTGTATCAGGCATCTGACACTGGAGGCTGGAGGCAACTGTCAGAGGCTGTGGAAGCTCTCCTCAGATGTGGGTCCACCCAGCCCTGATTTCAATTTCATGAGAAAGCTATTCAGTGGGGTGCCCACTGAGTGTTCTAGATCCTGGAATCCACTGTCCAGGGAGTTCGTAGCCTCCACTCTCAGAAGCAGGATGGAGCTTGCCTGGTACTGCAAAGTGGAAGTACCATGTGTTGTGGAAATGCTCTCTAGTAACCTGGGACACAGATTCTTCTCATCTCCGCACCCCCAGGTCCTAACTTCTCCTAGGATGTAAAAGACTAGTAAAGCTCCACATGGCTTGAGCTAGAGGGCCTGCCCCTAGGCAGGCACCTCCTACCCCATGGACAGTTAATTTCTTTTTTTTGAGACAGGGTCTCACTCCGTTGCCTAGGCTGGAGTGCAGTGGTGCACTCTCGGCTCACTGTAACCTCTGCCTCCTGGCTTAAGTGATCCTCCCATCTCAGCCTCCAGAGTAACTGGGACTACAGTCATGAGCCACCACACCCAGTTAATTTTTGAAGTTTTAGTAGACGTGGGCTTTCTTCATGTTGGCCAGAGTGGCCTCAAACTCGTGAGCTCAAGCAATCCACCCACTTCGGTCTCCCAGAGTGCTGGGATTACAGGTGTGTGCCACTGCACCCGGCCCAGTTTTTCTCCTTGTGTTTGACATTTTGGACAGTTACATTTTGATCCAGGTGTAAAATTAACAAGATGGATACACATCTCAGAACAGGGAAAGTACTTGTGTTCTCTTCTGTAATTCAACTTATTTCCGACTCTGAGCCCCTGTTCTTTAAGTTGGATAGAACTTGGTCTTTCTGGGAGTCATGTCCCTTGAGGCAAAGTTCTAGAATTTCATGCAATGCCAGGGCTGCTGTTGGGATGTCTGGTTCTCAGTTATAGTTCACCTCAATGCCCCTGGGCTCCTACTGCCTCCAGACAAGTAGACATAGGAACCTCCTCAAGGAGGCTGCTCTGAGCCCCTGAGTCTTCACGCACAGGCAGTGGTTTCTCTCCAGGGCCCTAGCTCTTGCAGATGCTCCCCTAGTGCCATCAGGAAGCAGAATCCAGGTTGCCACTGCCAGGCAGCTGCCTGTCCTGCTCTGTTTGCGTTTCCCCCACAGCCTCTTTGTATAGGGGTTGAGGAAATACCTGGTCCCCTGGGCTCTTAGCCTGCTGCCACAAACACTTTCTCACCAATGCACGAGACTCTCCCAAGAAATTAGGCTTTTGAGAATGAAAGCCAGAAAAATTTCTGGGCTGCCCTGCCACATCCCTCTCTCAGGATGTCAATGCGGGTTGGCTTGTCACCTGTCTGAATGGAAGAGAGGGACAGGATCAAACACAAGGAGAAAAAAATGTACCCATAGACGTTTCTGGCCACAGCTTGGAGACACTGTGCAATGGCAGTGTCTGCAGGGGGAGCAGGCAGGCCATTAGACCTGGCCTGGAGGAAGGTGGGACAACTCTGCAAATCAGGGGGAGAGTGGGTGTTGGCAGGACCACGAAACTCCTTTGCAGTGGAAGTATGTAGAGAGGTGAGGTCAGGACACAATTCCGGCATCCAGAAGTGTGTCCTGTGAACACAAGTCTGGAGCACACAGGTCTAAAGGTAAAGTTGCAAAACCTTGGTGATAGATTCAAGTGAACATCAGTAGAGAAGGCTGGGTCTTGGGGCCTTGACAGCACCCAGAAAACCCACTGCGTAGATGACCCTCTCTTCCTCCCTGACCTGTCAGGCAGTGAAGAGCCTTCTAATCAAGCTCGAGGAGCTGTCCCAAGGGGACTGCCTCATAGGGCAGTGTGGGGATCCCACACCCCATCCTGGCCCACAGTTTCAGACCCTTCTTCTGGAGCCCCCTAATCTCCAGAAACTTGGTGGGGATCCTTGCTACTCAAACACAGGGTCTGCTGGGAGCATGTGGTAGTGATAGCAGAAGGGAAAGTCTAGCTAACATTCCCCAAGGCCTTGACAGGGAGATATCCAAACACCTGGGAGGATTCCCATGAGTTTTCTTGGCCCCAATAAGTATATGTGCATATGATTTAAAAAATTTTTTTTTCAAAAAATAAAATTTGTATTTTGGAGTTATGTTCAATTTCTAGAAAAGTTACAAAGATAGCACACAGAATTCCTAACCCTAACTCTTTACCCAGTTTCCCTTAATGCTGCCATTCTATATACCACTGGACATTCATCAAAAGTGACAAATTCATTTTGATGCATTTCTGTTAACTAAACACCAGGTTTAATCTGCATTTCACCTGTTTTTCCACTGGTGTCCTTCTTCTGTTCCAGGAGACCACATTACATTTAGTGTAATGCTTAGAGTGGAGATCGTGCTATGCATACTCTTGTACCTACCTTTTGCTCTTTACTGTCCAGTTACGAGTAGGGTTACCTGAATCCCTGTTTGCCCAAGACCATACTGGGTGACACATCTTGTTCTGGCATAATCATTCATAGTGACCTCTTTCACTGTCAAAAATGTCCTGGTTTAGATAATAAATCATATGATCCCTCTAGCAATACACCTCTTCCACACCATTAAACATCATCCAATTTTTAGCGTCTTTAAACAACAATCATGTCTAGTTTCTCATAATTCTGTAAGTCAGCTGGGTGGTTCCCCCTGTGTGGGCTGGCTTGGCCAGGGCTGGAAGGTCTAGGATGGCCTCACCTGTGTATCTGGAGTCTCTGCTGGGTCAGCTGGGTCCTCTCTCCATATACTTTCTTAGCTTCCAGGAGGCCAACCTGGGATCCTACACACAGAGGGTGGCAGAAGGTCCCTGCAGCAGGAGAGGACAAACCCATGCACAGCCCTTCCCAAGCCTCTGCTAGGTTGTATTTGCTAATGTCCCATTGGCTAAGGCCAGTTACATAGCCACACCCAGATTACAGGACTGGAGAAATAGACTCCACCTCCCCCATGGGAGGGAGCTGACCATTTTTTAATCTGCCACACTATTTTTTTTTAACTTAGATGTCTAATCAGATAAAGAAAATGTGGTACATATACGCCATGAAATACGATACAACCATGAAAAAATGAGATCATGTCCTTTGTAGGGTCTTGGATGGAGCTGGAAGCCATTATCCTCAGCAAACTAACACAGGAACAGAAAACCAAATGCCGCGTGTTCTCACTTAAAAGTGGGAGCTGAACGATGAGAACACATGGACACAGGGAAGGGAACAACACACACTGGGGCCTGTTGGGGGTGAGGTAGGGGGAAGGAGCGCATTAGGAAATATAGCTAATGCATGCTGGGCTTAATACTTAGGTGATGGGTTAGTAGGTGCAGCAAATCACCGTGGCACACGTTTACCTATGTAACAAACCTGCACATCCTGCACATGTACCCTGGAACTTAAAAACAAAAATTTAAAAAAGAATTCGGTGTCTTTTTCTCAATTTTTATTTTAGATTCAAGGGTACATGTGCAGGTTTGTTACATAGGCAAATCGCGTGTTGTGGGGTTTTGGTGTACAGATTATTCTGTCACCCAGGTAATAAGCATAGTACAAGATAGGTAGCTTCTCCATCCTCTCCCTCCTTCCACCCTCCACCCTCAAGTAGGCCCTGGTGTCTGTTTTCTTCTTTATGCCCATATGTATTCAAAGTTTAGCTCCCACTTGTGAGAACCTGCGGTATTTGGTTTCCTGTTCCTGTGTTAGTTCATGTAGGAGAACAGCCTCCAGCTTCACCCATACTGCTGCAAAGGCCATGATCTCATTCTTTTTTATGACACTATATTTAATGACTTCAGGAGAGGATTTGCTGTACTTTATTTAGACAGTTTTCTACTGTTGATGTGAAGGTTTTTTAATCATCATGTGTGTTTATGAACAGCATTGTTAAGTGAACATCTTAATACATAAACTTTACGTGCATTCTATAATGCCATCTCAGATTAAGTCCCAGAAGGAGGCTTCCTTGGTCAAGGGATGGGAACAGTTTGTTTTTTCCACTGGAAAAATTATGTTCTTTTCTTTTCTAAGTAACAAGTTTGTTACTTAGAATTTGTTAATTAAAAGACCTTTCAACCAGGTCATATTTGAGCACCAGGAAATCCCCAGCAGTTCCCTTTGTTCTTCAGTATTTAAATCGACAATTTTCTGGAGCTATGTTTCTTGAAGATGCTACCCATTTTGGTCAGTAAACTTTTGTTCCTGTGTGGCTTACTTGCCGTATCTTCCTTCCCAGTGACCTCCTGCCCCCCAATTACAGCAAAACTCAGCTGGCTGAGTGGCATTCTTCCCTCAACTCCATGAACAAGGAGCTAGGTGAGTGACGTCTGCAGGACTCCACCTGCGTTTTTCCAAAACTCTGTTCAAGCAGTTGCTTTGCCGAAGCTCATTCAAGTGAGTGGTACGACCATCGTGGGGAGGAGGGATGGGGGTGTGGCAGGAAGAGTGAGCTCTGAGAGCTTAAAAGGCCCCTCCTCCTTTCCAAGACCTCCCTTCCTCACTGCCCAGCCTGCGGCTACACTAGCCACACCCTCTGACCTCTGACTCCTGACCCAAGCATGGAGACAGAGAGATGGCTCTGATGCCCTCCTTGAGGAAGGCCCAGGAGCATGCCCCAAGAGTGTGAGGTGGAGCACATGGTCTTGATGCCCAGCTCTGCTCCTCCTGGGCTGTGTGACCTTGGGAAAATCAGGGCCTCCGGTGGCCTCAATGTCCTCCTCTGTAAAATAGGGATGGCAAGAAGAGTGATAATGGTCCCTGCTTGTGGGGTGGATGGCCAGTGGTAGTCCAGTGCCTGGCTTACACAGAGTCCTCAATCACAAATGGTGATGCTTCAAAATGCTCTATAATAAGGGCAGTCAGGCTGTAAACTGTGTGCTGACTGCTGGTTTTGGAACTAAGTGTTGTTAGACCCCCCAACTGCCTCATTTGTTGACATATTGTCTGGCTGCTTTCACTCTAAATGGCAGAGTTGAATGCAGATGACCACTGACTTAGGATGGTTCAACTTAGGACTTTTCGACTTTACAGTAATGTGAAAGTGGTACACATTCAGCAGAAACTGTACTTCAGATTTTGAATTTTGCTCTTTTCCTGGGGGCTGTGGTGCCTGGATACGTGATGTGATACTCCCTGGCAATGCTGGGCAACGGTGACAAGCTGCAGCTCCCAGTCAGCCCTGTGATCATGAGGGTAAACTAGTGTACTCCGTTGCCAGATGATTTCGCCAAACTGTAGGCTCATGTATGTTTTCTGAGCACATTTAAGATAGACTAGGCTAAGCCATGATATTTGGTAGGTTAGGTATATTAAGTGCATTTTCAACTGAAAATATTTTCAACTTATGGTGGGTTTATTAGGACGTAACCCCATTGTAAATAAAGGAACATCTGTAGTTACAACAGAGACTGTATGACTGCAAAGCTAAAACAGTTTACTCTCTAGCCCTCTATAGAAAAGGTTTGACACGACTTGCTCTAGAAGGTATGTAATAGGTTTTTCAACTCCTTAGAGGATCATAGCAACCTAGTGAGGTCAGTGGTATCATTGTCCTCTTGTAGTAAGAGAAGGGTTTAGTGGCACAGAGAGGTGAAGTATCCTGCCCAAGGTCACACAGCCAATGAAGTGTCACAGCTGGACTTAGCTTGGGTACTTCAGCTAGTAGTACACACCATTGCTTCTAGGGCTCTCAGGTTTATAATAGTAAGGGTGTTTCTGTATGAGCCACAAGACTCTAAATAATAGCAATGGCTACCGTTCATTCAGTGCCTCCTACAGACAGGCATTGTGCTGAGCCCTGGCATTCAGTAGCTGGCTCTGCCCTCGGGCACTTCCAGTCCACAGCAGAAGTCAGAGCAAGCAGGGAATGGACAGGTCCCCAGCCGTGGGAGCCATAGTCAGGGACACAGCTGGTTCAGGATCATGGAAGACATTGACAAGGAAATGATGATGTGGTTGAGAACTGCAAGGGAGGTAAGAGTCAGCCAGGCCAAGAGGGAGAAAGCATTCCAGGCAGGGATATAGTGTAGGGCGCCCTGGAGGCAAGACAGGGCTGGAGCCTTAGGAAACAGGGAGGGGAGGTTGGAAGATGCAAAGCAGCTGGACTCTGCTGGCCATGTGGGCTGCACGTGGAAGTCTGGGCTTTATCCTGAGGGCAGTGGGAACTCAGTGGAAGGTTCTGAGCTGGGGATGATGATGTCAGGGGGTGCAAATGGCCCAGAGGGATGCAGGAGTGGAAGCAGGGGGACCTGGGAGAGCCCATCAAAGCGGCCTCACCGAAGGGTGTGGATACCTTGGCCTAGGAACTAGCCTGGGGACAGGAAGAAGCAGATTTAGAGTTTCTTCTTGTCAGTTCTATCATCTGTCAACCCTCCCAGATATCCTAAATCTACACCCAGCTGCCATCCCCCTGCCCTTCTCCCCAGCCCTGGACAAAGAAAAACCACCACCAAATCTCTGTGTGGTCTTTCAGTTTCTAGAAATTGCCAACAGCACTAAACCAGAGTTGCTTATCCTAGACATCAGAGTCACACTGAGTTTATTATAAGCTTGGAAACTGAAGGGAGGAGAAATAGAGAAAATAAATAAAAAAGCAAGCTTCCGCGCGTTCTGCTAGTGTCTTCAGTTTTTCAGGGATGAACACAGATAGGATCAGTAAATGCTCATTGATCTCCACTCTCATTACTGGTTTACAACTTGGTGCAGCTTCCCAAAAGGAATTTCACCAGCCCTGAAACCGAGTCAAGAGTCAGGGCCAGAATGGATTCAGAACAGATAATGACAAGCTCTTCATTTGAGATCCTTATCTTGGGGTGTCGGGGCCTTTGTAAGGGGACACCAGCCCCTGATCTGAATGGGACCACTGATCTTCACCTAAATAAATGTTGCTCTGGAGGCACTTTGCTCCTTTGCGGAGGGGACACTCCCCTTTCTAATCCTCTCTTCCTTGTGGACTGATTTGCTTTGTTTTCTGCCCATGGAGACACCTACCATGTGGACTGCATGATGCGGATCCGCCTGCTGTATGAGAAGACGTGGCAGGAGTGCCTGATGCTTGTGCAGAATTGTAAGGTGGGCACTCTTCCTGCAGGCCTGAGAAGAGGAATGCCTGGGCGGGACCTGAAGTGCCTTCCCTGGCCCCATCCCCACTACTTTCCCCTCCCCAGCTATGTCCCCACCTCACTCCCACACACCCTTTAGCCTCCATCCAGGCTTTTCTTCCTCACAGAAGAAAATGGAGTGGCTTCCTAGCCCCAATGCCTGGTGCTCACTGGCCTCTGGGCATTCTGAAGCTGTTCCTTCTGCCCAGATCCCCTCCCCAGCTATCCCTGCCATCTCTCAGGTTTTAGCCCATCACCACCTCCAGGAAGCCCATGTAGGGTGAAGTGTGCACTCTCAGATCACCTCAGGCTTCACACTTGAGTCTGTGTCATACACAGCACTGGGCGTTGTTTATGAATGGAGGTTGTGTCCTGGGGGTTATTGCAATGCGCCCCCTTCATAGATAGGCCTGGCCCCACTTTCCCCTCCACCCTGCCCACTGCATAACAGAGTGAGACAGTAAACTCGCTCCCAAACCCAAGCACAACTGTGACTTGTTCTCTAGGATAGGGGAACTATGGAGTCGGAATGTCCCTTCCTGCCTCCTTGGTAAGATTGTAAGCAACACCTCCACCCCCAAAGCTTAACTGTTGTGAAGTGTGTTCGAGCTGAGGGTCCCCCTTGGGGAGCCTCACAAGAGCTCCTGCATGCCTCTCCAGCCAGTTTGCACCCAGCCCTCCATACCCTAAGGGGAACAGAATTCATGGGGTGCAGGGCCCTTCACCTGGAGCTCAGGTCTGACTTGAGCAACACGGAGGCCTGTAGGATGGAGTTGATGCCTGTGGGGACCTCAGTCCTAAACCAGGCTCTGCCTTGTTCCGCACACTCCAGAAGCAGCTGCTGGACTGGAAAGCCTTCACTGAGGAGGAGGCAGAGACCCTGATGAACCAGTTCTTCTTCCAGATGGTGGGAGCACTCCAGGGCAAGGTGGAGGAGGACCTGGAGCTCTTGGACGTGCGTGCTGGGGACTGTTCCACTGGGGAGCTGAGGTGGGGTTGGGGGTCCGTGGGGTGCTGGCTGTAAGAAGAACCCAAGAGCTCCAACTTGCATGTTCCTAGTGTGTCCACTCACCCTTGTCAGGCCCTCTCAGAGCAGCCCCCTTATGCTGGCCACTGCAAGCTCACCCACCTGACTCCTCCCAGCCACCCACTGACATGGGTGCTGCGCAGAACTCCAGGCCATGAGCGCTTCCCGGCCATTGCTGACCCTGGGCACTGAAGGGCTGTGGAGGCACAATAAGCCCTCAGCCCAAGACACATGGTATCTTGAACCGGGGTTGGCTCATGTTTTCTGTGAAGGGCCAGATGGTGACTATTTTAGGCTCTGTGGGCCATCAAGGTCTCTGACGCACCTTGTCAACTTCACCAGTGCCACACAAAAGCAGCCCTAGGCAATGCAGAAACAAATGACATGGCTGTGTTCCAATAACTTTATTGACAGACACTGAAATTGGAATTGTATGTAATTTTCATCTCATTAAATATCTTCTTTTGATTATTTTCCAGCCACTTTAAAACTGAAATATCTGTGTGTAGCTCACAGGATCAAACAAAAACAGGTGGAGGGCCAAATTTAGTCTACAGGCAGCAGCTTGCCCACCCCTCGCCCAGATGAGGGCGTAAGACACATGCCTTTTTTAAAAAGGTGGGTGGTGTGTGAGGATTTCACAGCAGGTGTAGTGTTTGGCCCAGATGCCATGAGTAAGGGGACTCCAGAGAAGGAAAGATGCCCAGGCCAGCATTGCTGTGGCCTTCTGAGTGCCCAGCCTGTTTTTTAGGAATGGCCCACACTCCATCTTCTTCCTGTCAGAGACTTTTGTGGAGCATAGGATATGTCTAGAGATGGGACTCGAGGGTCAACAAGACTAAGGGCAGGGCCTTGGGCAGACCCAAAACACTGTCCCAGGGAGGGAGGACCAAGAGTCCCGTGTAGCCTAAAAGTTGACCTTGAGGGATGGTGTCTGGGCAATGCTGTTCAGTCATTAGAGACAGGGGGTCCCAGAGGTGGGCCCTCTTCCTGGCCCTGGGACTGTCAGCCCTCAAGTCCCTTCTCTGGGCTCTGCCACTGCAGAAATCCTTCGAGACCCTGGCAGATCAGACAGAGTGGCAGAGTTCGAACCTCTTCAGGTTCTTCCAGGAGGCGGTACAACTGTGGGAGGCACACCAGAGCGAGCTGTTGGTGCAGGAGCTGGAGCTGGAGAAGAGGATGGAGCAGCACCAGCAGAAGCACAGCCTGGAGAGCCAGGTGAGGCCCACACCCAGGGCTCCATTTTTCACACCACAAACAGCAATGAACTCAAACAGCTCCTTGATCCAAATGGAGAACCTTTAGCTATGAAATTTGTGCAGATGGGGACATGAAGGCTCACGTTGGTCATGGGATCAGATGAGAGTAGCAGAAATCTGGAACCAAATGTGTCTCTAAGAGTTTGCATGAGAGACAGTCAGATGGTTCAAATAAGGAGATGATTAAAGGATGGTATCACGAAATCACACACTTCATTGCCATTCAAAGAGAATTTTTTCATAGGTTCACAATGCTTAAAGAGGGGGAGAATAACGTGAACCAACCTCAAAAGGAATACATCCACAGGGAGTAAACAAGGTACATTAGGCACTTTGTAAGCTGCAAAGCTATTAAAGTCTAGTTGTTCAATTAGGATGGAAGCAGGCTTCCATGGGAAGTAAAGTCTAATGAAAGCTTCAGGTGTGCCTTTCTATGTGCCGTTTCTCCGGAGAAACTGGCTTGCAAGCTAACACAGTGGACATCTGTGATGGCTCATAGGTCCCTGGAAGCCAAAGGGTAGTGCCAGTGCTGGTGGTGTGGCCTCATAGCCCCAGTGCCTGTCACAGCCTGAGCTCTCTCTCATTCAAAGAAGCCACTGCCAGAGTGAAACCTGCCTCAGCCTAAGCTCGCGAAGTGTCAAACTCTTGAGTATTTTGAAGTCCAGTAGTTAACGTCAGTAACTCACATATGGGGGATTGATAAGGGTGACATCACGTTCCCAAGGTGAAGGGGGAATAGCTCCAAGTTCTCATATATGGGGTCTGATAAGACATCATATTCTGAAAGAAAAAGGGGAAGACACCCCAAGTTCTTATTACAGACAAACGTGTCAGTCACATAGCAAACTGTGCACATGTTGGGAGTCATTTCAATGCTCTATAACTGGGGCAATCTCCTGCCTGCACAGGACGTCAGCTGGCCCCTGCTCTGCCTGCTCTCACACAGTCCAGGAGGTGGGGGGACAAACTCAGCTTCTGATTTCAAGCACGACTGGTGAGAAGGAGAGCGAGGAGCAGGTGTAGTGCAGGCCTGACCAGGTGGGTGGGTGTGAGGGCCCTGTCTCCGGGGGTCCCATCTGAGCTGGTTCCCCCGGGGGGTATGATGTAGGCAGGGAAGAACATTGCAGGCAGAAAAAAGTCTAGAGGCCTATAGTGGAGAGAGGGAGGGCGGTGGCAGATTAGGTACCCCATTTGTAGAAAGGGAGTCCTGGATCTGCCGAGGCACCTGGGCCTCAGTTCCAGCAGCAGGGTCCCTGCAGGTCACTTACACTCGGTGAGCACTGGAGGTCACGTCTGCTTCTCTTGTTTTGGGGTGGCTTCCAGGTCCAGGAGGCCCACCTTGATAGGCTCTTGGACCAACTGAGGCAGCAGAGCGACAAAGAAACACTGGCGTTTCACCTGGAAAAGGTCAAAGATTATCTGAAGAACATGAAATCCAGGTAGGCCAACCAGACTCCAGAAGGCAGGAGGGGATGGTCAGGAATTCATCTTCAAGGTCAAGGGCAGCCTGCCCAAGAGCCCAGGAGCCTACCAGCAGGCTTAAGATGAAAATTGTGCCTCTCACCTTAGAAAGCATTGTGGCCCTCTGCAGCTCTGCTCTCAGCCAATAAAGAAGCTTCCAGGGAGAATTTTTAAAAGTTTGTGGGCTGGGCTCGGTGGCTCAAGCCTGTAATCCCAGCACTTTGGGAGGCCGAGACGGGCGGATCACGAGGTCAGGAGATCGAGACCATCCTGGCTAACACGGTGAAACCCCGTCTCTACTAAAAAATACAAAAAAACTAGCCGGGCGAGGTGGCGGGCGCCTGTAGTCCCAGCTACTTGGGAGGCTGAGGCAGAAGAATGGCATAAACCCGGGAGGCGGAGCTTGCAGTGAGCTGAGATCCGGCCACTGCACTCCAGCCTGGGCGACAGAGCCAGACTCTGTCTCAAAAAAAAAAAAAAAAAAAAAAAAAAAGTTTGTGGAGGGAGGTTTCAAAGCAATGTGGCTTCAGTTCAAGAACATGGGGCCTTCTTTTAAAAATTTAAAGATGTGGGTGGATCACCTGAGGACAGGAGTTCAAGACCAGCCTGGCCAACATGGTGAAACCCCACCTCTACTAAAAATACAAGAATTAGCCAGGCATGGTGGCAGGTGCCTGTAATCCTAGCTACTCGGGAGGCTGAGGCAGGAGAATCACTTGAACCCAGGAGACGGAGGTTGCAGTGAGCGGAGATCATGCCATTGCCCTTCAGCCTGGGTGACAGAGCAAGACTGTCTCAAAAAAAATAAATAAATAAAAAATAAACATGTACATTCTTGTTAAAGGAGGAAAAAGAAGTTAACCACTGAAAACATATAGAGATTTTTTTCCCTCATTCCTGCCCACTTTTCCTTTTTTATGGACATATACATTTATATATATATGAATATATACACATATATAGTGTTTTAAAAATAAAGGTTGGATTATACTATGCAAATTGTTCTATAACTACAGATATACTTCCATTTTTAAATGCCATGTAGCATTCATTAATGTAGATACTTCATAATGGTTTAGCAATCCCTCAATTGATTAGCTGTTTTCTATTGGTTCCAATTTCTCAATATGGGAAGCTGTTCTCTGTGAACTTTCTTCCATCTTTATGACTTCGTACAACTGATTCTATAAGGATTGTTCACAGAAATGGAATGACACTGCCAATTGATTGCAGTACTTAGATTCAGAAGGCAATTCTGATTACTTTAGGCAAATAAGTAACCCCATGAGCCTTGGTATCCTATCTGAGAAACAGAAGTCTGGACCTTGGGGCGTTTGGGAGTTTGATGGGAATGTAGGTATCATCAAGTTCAAGGACAGTGTTAAGACCAAAGACAGGGTTAGGACCCTGGACAGGGAAAGGGAGCTCATGTTACAAGCAGAAAAGTCTCTTGTATGTGTTTTCCAAACTTTCTACAAAAAGTGTGTATTTCTTGTATGATCAGAAAAATAGCATAGCCAAGGACTGCTGCTAGAAAAGAGCAGCCACACAGCAGCTCTACACAGAGCTATGTGCCAGATTGCAGCCCATCTCCTCAGGGTCATGGGTGTGGTCCCTGGCTGGGGTCTCCTGTCTTACCTACCTCCCTCCCAGGTATGAATATTTTCACACCCTCCTGACAAAGGAAGTGATGGAGTACCCAGCAATCATACTGAAAGAACTCAACTCCTACAGCTCCAACCTCAGCCAATACTTCTTTGTGCGTGAAATCTTTGAACAGGTATGGAGAGGGCAATGATACACCCATTCACTCATGAAGAAACTAAGGGAGAGGCTGACTTCTTGTTATGATCTGCCTAGACTTTGAAAGCCATCCCTAACCCTGCAGAGTTCAAATCAATGCAAGAAGAAAGAAGCTGAAAATCTCTAAAGAGACCATCTCTTTCTCAGTATAAAACAGGCTGAGGGGTTCAGAAATCAGAGCTCAAGCCTGAATGGACTTATAATGAAAAGGTTAATTTATATGGTGCTTGGAATTCCATTTATCATACCTACCACTGCCACATAATTCTCCTAAAATATAGCTTTGACCCACCTACTCTCCTGTAAAATCCCTCTCCAACTGTGCAGCCCCCACCAGATCCAACTTATAGTCCCTAGATAACCACAAAGGCCCCACTCTCTCTGCTTTCCACCTTGACTCTCCCTGGTCCAGCAGATTCATCCCTTTTCTGGCATGTGCCCCCTGCCTGCTGCCCTTCCTCATGATGCTCCCTCTGCTGGGGCCCCTCTGTCTCCACATATCCCAAACCCACCCATACCTCCAGTTCACTACCAAGAGAAAGGCTCCCACTCATTCCGCCTGACCCCTCATCTCACCTTGCTTAGCCCCTGCCACCTCTCAGGGCTCTGAACTATTTTTTGCTTGGTTGCTGTCAAATACAGGAGTCTGGAGCACCCAACTATAATGTATTTCTTAAAGGGCAAGTATGCCTTAATTTTTATTCAACTTTGATTGCCATTTGCACAAGGATCTTGCACATAATTCAGACACAATAAATGCTCTCTGGGTAAATGCATGAATACCTGGGATTCCCTGGTTTGAATCCCCCAGTGCTTGGCTCTTTTCCCGCACACCAGCCATAGTCCTGCCTGGCCTGAATGGAAATGCTTGTGGTTGGCACTGAACCTGGCCAAAGGTTTCCCACGTATATAGGACACCTGGCTGCTTCCCTGAGAATCTCTCCTCCCAGAAGAGATTCCTGTTTAGATTGCTACTAGATGATCCCTCTGCCACCTAGGTTGAAGGGGAAGCTCAAGCTATAGGATGGTGAGCTTATTGCCTGCCCTTTGATATCATTTGGGTCACCTGGGTTAAAGGTAGAGGCACTATTATGATCTCCATTTCATGGAGGATAACAATAAGCCCCATAGGGTTTAGAGGACCTGCCCAAGATCACTTAGCTTGTCAGAAGCCAGGAATCAAATCCAGACCCGCAAACTCCACAGCCTACGCTGTTATCCATAACACAGAATATCCAAAACTTTACCCAGAGCCTGTGAAACAGGAAATTTGCAGGGCTTACAAGGGGGCTCTCAAGATCATGTAAATCATGCCCATTGTATCTGTTCCATTTAGCACAGAATGCAGCAGATTTCTGCCCTTCGTTTGCATCCCTCAGTTTATATTTTTCTTGCCCTTTGCTCCAGATCACTACCAAAAAATATATCATAATGAGCTTTTATTCCATGTTTACCCATTGTGTGCTATAAGGGTTTGCTAGCTTTCTTGGAATTAAGAAAAACTGGTTCCCTGGATTGAGAACAACCCAGTTATCCCGGGGAACTAAGTTGGTCAAGGCCTGCATCAGATATTAAAGGGGAGGGATGGGTACTTCTACTTAAAAGAGATGCACTTAAAGTGGCACTCTGGGCTGGGCGCCGTGGCTCATGCCTGTAATCCCAGCACTTTGGGAGGCCAAGGCGGGTGGATCATGAAGTCAGGAGATCAAGACTATCCTGGTTAACACGGTGAAACCCCATCTCTACTAAAAATACAAAAAATTAGCCAGGCATGGTGGCGGATGCCTATAGTCCCAGCTACTAGGGAGGCTGAGGCAGGAGAATTATGTGAACCTGGGAGGTGGAGCTTGCAGTGAGCCGAGATCGTGCCACTGCACTCCAGTGCAAGACTCCTCTCAAAAAAAAAAAAAAAAAAAAGTGCACTCTGAGGAAAGGCAGTGCAGGTCCTTCAGTGACTTGTGGTTTTTTCCTATAGAACTTGGCTGGAGAAGTCATTTTCAAATTCAGGCAACCAGGTAACACTTTTTCAGTTCAAGTCTTATTCTCCCAGACTTCACTTTTATGAGTTTGTGGGTTGGGAGGCCCAATGCAGGCAGCATCAGTAAATTGTCTCTCCTTGTGCTTTGGTGTTTATCATCAACAGAAGCACATGAAAAATCCTTCCAGAAGAGATTGAGGAAACTGAGGAAGAAGCAAGGGTCTAAAGAGGACATGAGCAGAAGTGAGGAAAGCATAAGTAGTGGGACAAGTGCTGCCACATCAGTAGAAGAGATGGAAGAAGAAAATGATCAAGAAATGGAGTCCTTTATAACTGAAGAGGTGCTGGGGCAGCAGAAAAACTCTCCACTGCATGCTGAGATGGATGAGTCCAAAGAAGGCTCTATTCAGGGGTTGGAAGAAATGCAGGTTGAAAGAGAGAGCTCCTTAAACCCATCCCTGAATGAGGAGAATGTGAAGGGTCAAGGAGAAGAGAAGGAGTCACAGGAAGAAGATGAGAAGGAGGAAGAGGAGGAGGAGGTGGAGAAACTGGAGGAAGAGGAGGGGGAGAAGGAGGCACAGGAAGAGCAAGAGAGTTTATCTGTGGGTGAGGTAAGCCAGCAACTGATTCATTCGTGGGCATAGAGAAAGTTTGCTATGCTCATTTTGTGTTTATCCCTAGTGTAAGCTGGGGTCTTCAGTGGCCCAGTCTCCATAGAGGTGCAGAAAGAGATTTACAAAAATATTCATACTTTTAAAAACATTTATTTTAGGTTCAGGGGTACACGTGCAAGTTTGTTATTTAGGTAAATTATGGGTCATGAGGGTTTGATTTACAGATAATTTTGTCAGCAGGGTAATAAGCATAGTACCCAATAGTTTTTTTTTTTTTCTGATCCTCTCCCTGCTCCCCACCTTTACCCTCAAATAGGCCCCAGTATCTGTTGTTCCCCTCCTAGTATCCATGTGTTCTTTGTTTAGCTCCCACTTAAAAGTGAGAACATGCAGTATTTGTTTTCTTTTCCTTTGTTAGTTTGCTTAGGATAATGGCCTCCAGCTCCATCCATGTTGTCTCCATCCATGTTGTTGCAAAGGACATGATCTCATTCTTTTTATGGTTGCATAGTATCCCATGGTTTATATGTACCACATTTTATTTATCCAGTCTATTGTCAATGGGCATTTAGGTTGATTCCATGTCTTAGCTATTGTGAATAGTGCTGCCATGAATATATATGCATGCATGTGTCTTTATGGTAGAATGATTTACATTCCTCTGGGTATATACCCAATAATGGGACTGTGGGGTCAAATGGTAGTTCTGTTTTAAGTTCTTGGAGAAATTGCCACACTGGAATACACTTCCACCAGCAGTGAATAAGCATACCCTTTTCTCTGCAACCTTGCCAGCGTCTGTTGTTTTTTCACTTTTTAATATTCTTTTTGACTGTTATGAGATGGTATCTCATTGTGGTTTTGATTTACATTCTCCAATGATTAGTGATGTTGAGCACCTTTTCATATACTGGTTGGCCACATGTATATCTACTTTTGAAAAGTGTCTGTTTGTGTCCTTTGCCCACTTTTGAATAGGGTTGTTTGGTTTTTGCTTGTTAATTTAAATTCTTTATAGATTCTGGATATTAGACCTTTTCAGATGCATAGTTTGCAATTATTTTCTCCCATTCTGTAGGTTGTCTGTTTACTCTGTTGATAGTTTCTTTTGCTGTGAAGAAGCTCTTTAGTTTAATTAGGTCCATTTGTCGATTTTTGTTTTTGTTGCAATTGCTTTTGGCATCTTCATCATGAAATCTTTGCCAAGTCCTATGTCCAGAATGGTATTTCTCATTTTATCTTCCAGGGTTTTTATAGCTTTGTTTTTATAGCTTTAAGCTTTACATTTAAGTCTTTAATCCATCTTGAGTTGATTTTTGTATGTGGTATAAGGTAGGGGTCCAGTTTCAATCTTCTGCATATGGCTACCCAGTTATCCCAGCACCATTTGTTAAATGGGTAGTCCTTTCCTCATTGCTTATTTTTGTCAGCTTTGTTGAAGATCAGATGGTTTAGGTGTGAGGCATTCTACTCCATTGGTCTGTGTGTCTGTTTTTGTACTTGTATCATGCTGTTTTGATTACTGTAGACCTGTAGTATAGTTTGAAGTCAGGTAACATGATACCTCCAGCTGTGCTCTCTTTATTTAGGATTGCCTTTGCTATTCAGGCTCTTTTTTTGTTGCATATAAATTTTAAAATAGATTTTCTGATTCTGTGAAGAATGTCATTAGTAGTTTGATAGGAACAGCATTGAATCTGTAAATTGCTCTGAGCAGTATGGCCATTTTAAAGATATTGACTCTTCCTATCCATGAACATGGGATGTTTATGGTTTATGGTATATACCCAATAATGGTGTTGCTGGGTCAAATGGTATTTCTAGTTCTAGATCCCTGAGGAATTGCCACACTGTCTTCCACAATGGTTGAACTAATTTACACTCCCACCAACAGTGTAAAAGCATTCCTATTTCTCCACATCCTCTCTAGCATCTGTTGTTTCCCAACTTTTTAATGATCACCATTCTAACTGGTGTGAGATGGTATCTCATTGTGGTTTTGATTTGCATTTCTCTGACGACCAGTGATGATGAGCATTTTTTCATGTGTCTGTCGGCTGCATAAACCTCTTCTTTTGAAAAGTGTCTGTTCATATCCTTTGCCCACTTTTTGATGGGGTTGTTTGATTTTTTTCTTGTAAATTTGTTTAAGTTCTTTGTAGATTCTGGATATTAGCTCTTTGCCAGATGGGTAGGTTGCAAAAATTTTCTCCCATTCTGTGGGTTGCCTGTTCACTCTGATGGTAGTTTCTTTTGCTGTGCAGAAGCTCTTTAGTTTAATTATATCCCATTTGTCTATTTTGACTTTGGTTGCCATTACTTTTGGTGTTTTAGTCATGAAGTCCTTGCCCATGCCTATGTCCTGAATGATATTGCCTAGGTTTTCTTCTAGGGTTTTTATGGTTTTAGGTCTAACACTTAAGTCTTTAATCCATCTTGAATTAATTTTTGTGTAAGGTATAAGGAAGGGATCCAGTTTCAGCTTTCTATATATGACTAGCCAGTTTTCCCAGCATCATTTACTGAATAGGAGATCCTTTCCCCATTACTTGTTTTTGTCAGGTTTATTGAAGATCAGATGGTTGTAGATGTATGGTGTTATTTCTGAGGCCTCTGTTCTGTTCCATTGGTCTATATCTCTGTTTTGGTACAAGTACCATGGTACAACCAAAACCATGCTGTTTTGTTTATGGTAGCCTTGTAGTATAGTTTGAAGTCAGGTAGTGTGATGCCTCCAAGTTTATTCTTTTTGCTTAGGATTGTCTTGGCAATGCAGGCTCTTTTTTGGTTCCATATAAACTTTAAAGTAGTTTTTTCCAGTTCTGTGAAGAAAGTCATTGGTAGCTTGATGGGGATGTCATTGAATCTATAAATTACATTGGGCAGTATGGCCATTTTCACGATATTGATTCTTCCTATCTATGAGCATGGAATGTTCTTCCATTTGTTTGTGTCCTCTTTTATTTCATTGAGCAGTGGTTTGTAGTTCTCCTTGAAGAGGTCCTTCACATCCCGTGTAAGCTGGATTCCTAGGTATTTTATTCTCTATGTAGCAATTGTGAATGGGAGTGTACTCATGATTTGGCTCTCTGTCTGTTATTGGTGTATAATGCTTGTGATTTTTGCACATTGATTTTTTTTTTTTTTTTTTTTTTTTTTTTTTTGAGACGGAGTCTCGCTCTGTCCCCCAGGCTGGAGTGCAGTGGCCGGATCTCAGCTCACTGCAAGCTCTGCCTCCCGGGTTCCCGCCATTCTCCTGCCTCAGGCTCCCGAGTAGCTGGGACTACAGGCGCCGCCACCTCGCCTGGCTAGTTTTTTGTATTTTTTAGTAGAGACGGGGTTTCACCGTGTTAGCCAGGATGGTCTCGATCTCCTGACCTCGTGATCTGCCCGTCTCGGCCTCCCAAAGTGCTGGGATTACAGGCTTGAGCCACCGCGCCCGGCCGATTTTTATCCTGAGACTTTGCTGAAGTTGCTTCTCAGCTTAAGGAGATTTTGGGCTGAGATGATGGGGTTTTCTAAATGTACAATCATGGCATCTGCAAACAGGGACAATTGACTTCCTCTTTTCCTAATTGAATACCCTTTATTTCTTTCTCTTGCCTGATTGCCCTGGCCAGAAATTCCAACACTATGTTGAACAGGAGTGGTGAGAGAGGGCATCCCTGTCTTGTGCCAGTTTTCAAAGGAAATGCTTCCAGTTTTTGCCCTTAAGTATGATACTGGCTGTGGGTTTGTCATAAATAGGTCTTATTATTTTGAAATATGTTCCATCAATACCTATTTTATTGAGAGTTTTTAGCATGAAGGGCTGTTGAATTTTGTCAAAGGCCTTTTCTGCAGCTATTGAGATAATCTTGTGGTTTTTGTCTTTGGTTCTGTTTATGTAATGGATTACGTTTATTGATTTGAGTATGCTGAACCAGCCTTGCATCCCAGGGATGAAGTCAACTTGATTGTGGTGGATAAGCTTTTTGATGTACTGCTGGATTCGGTTTGTCAGTGTTTTATTGAGTATTTTTGCATCAATGTTCATCAGGGATATTGGTCTAAAATTCTCTTTTTTTGTCATGTCTCTGCCAGGCTTTGGTGTCAGGATGATGCTGGCTCGTAAAATGAGTTAGGGAGGATTCCCTGTTTTTCTATTGATTGGAATAGTTTCAGAAGGAATAGTACCAGCTCCTCTTTGTACCTCTGGTAGAATTTGGCTGTGAATCCGTCTGGTCCTGGACTTTTTTTGGTTGGTAGGCTATTAATTATTGCCTTCATTTCAGAGCCTATTATTGGTCTATTCAGAGATTCCATTTCTTCCTGGTTTGGTCTTTGGAGGGTGTATGTGTCCAGGAATTTATCCATTTCTTCTAGATTTTCTAGTTTATTTGCATAGAGGTGTTTATAGTATTCTCTGATGGTAGTTTGTATTTCTGTGGGATCAGTGATGATATCCCCTTTATCATTTTTTTAATTGTGTCTATTTGATTCTTCTCTCTTTTCTTCTTTATTAGTCTTGCTAGCAGTCTATCAATTTTGTTGATCTTTTTCAAAAAGCCAGCTCCTGGATTCATTGATTTTTTGAAGGATTTTTTGGTGTCTCTATCTCCTTCAGTTCTGCTCTGATCTTAGTTATTTCTTGCCTTCTGCTAGCTTTTGAATTTGTTTATTCTTGTTTCTCTAGTTCTTTTAATTGTGATGTTAGGATGTCGGTTTTAGATCTTTCCTGCTTTCTCTTGTGGGCATTTAGTGCTATAAATTTCCCTCTACACACTGCTTTAAATGTGTCCCAGAGATTCTGGTACGTTGTGTCTTTGTTCTCATTGGTTTCAAAGGACATCTTTATTTTTACCTTCATTTCATTATTTACCTGGTAGTCATTAAGGAGCAGGTCGTTCAGTTTCCATGTAGTTGTGTGGTTTTGAGTGAGTTTTTTAATCCTGAGTTCTAATATGATTGCACTGTGGTCTGAGAGACAGTTTGTTGTGATTTCTGTTCTTTTACATTTGCTGAGTGCTTTACTTCCAACGATGTGATTGATTTTGGAATAAGTGTGATGTGGTGCTGAGAAGAATGTATATTCTGTTGATTTGGGGTGAAGAGTTCTATAGATGTCTGTTAGGTCTGCTTGGTGCAGAGCCTTCAATTCCTGGATATCCTTGTTAACTTTCTGTCTCGTTGATCTGTCTAATATTGACAGTGGGGTGTTAAAGTTTCCCATTATTATTGTGTGGGAGTCTAAGTCTCTTTGTAGGTCTCTCAGGACTTGCTTTATGAATCTGGGTGCTCCTGTATTGGGTGCATATATATTTAGGATAGTTAGCTCTTCTTGTTGAATTGATCCCTTTACCATTATGTAGTGACCTTCTTTGTCTCTTTTGATCTTTGTTGGTTTAAAGTCTGTTTTATCAGAGACTAGGATTGCAACCCCTGCTTTTATTTATTTATTTATTTATTTGCTTTCCATTTGCTTGGAAGATCTTCCTCCATCCCTTTATTTTGAGCCTATGTGTATCTCTGCACATGAGATGGATCTCCTGAATACAGCACACTGATGAGTCTTGACTGTATCCAATTTGCCAGTCTGTGTCTTTTAACTGGGGCATTTAGCCCCTTTACATTTAAGGTTAATATTGTTATGTGTGAATTTGATCCTGTCATTATGATGTTAGCTGGTTATTTTGCCCTTTAGTTGATGCAGTTTCTTCTTAGCATCGATAGTCTTTACAATTTGGCATGTTTTTGCAGTGAGTGGTACCAGTTCTTCCTTTCTATGTTTAGTGCTTCCTTCAGGAGCTCTTGTAAGGCAGGCCTGGTGGTGACAAAATCTCTCAGCATTTGCTTGTCTGTAAAGGATTTTATTTCTCCTTCACGTATGAAGCTTAGTTTGGCTGGATATGAAATTCTGAGTTGAAAATTCTTTTCTTTAAGAATGTTGAATATTGGCCCCCACTCTCCTCTGGCTTGCAGGGTTTCTACTAAGAGATCCGCTGTTAGTCTGGTGGGCTTCCCATTGTGGGTAACCCGACCTTTCTCTCTGGTTGCTCTTAGTATTTTTTCCTTTGTTTCAACCTTAGTGAATCTGACAATTGTGTGTCTTGGGGTTGTTCTTCTTGAGGAATATCTTTGTGGTGTTCTCTGTATTTCCTGAATTTGAATGTTGGCCTGCCTTGCTAGGTTGGGGAAGTTATCCTGGATAATATACTGAAGAGTGTTTTCTAGCTTGGTTCCATTCTCCCCGTCACTTTCAGGTACACCAATCAAACGTAGATTTAGTCTTTTCACATAGTCCCATATTTCTTGGAGGCTTTGTTTGTTTCTTTTTACTCTTTTTCTCTCAACTTCTGTTCTCGCTTTATTTTATTAATTTGATCTTCAATCACTGATACCCTTTCTTCCATTGATTGAATCAGCTACTGAAGCTTGTGCATGCGTCACATAGTTCTCATGCCATGGTTTTCAGCTCCATCAGGTCATTTAAGGTCTTCCCTACACTGTTTATTCTAGTTAGCCGTTCATTTAATCTTTTTTCATGGTTTTTAGCTTCCTTGCGATGGGTTCGAACATCCTCCTTTAGCTCAGAGAAGTTTGTTATTACCGACTTTCTGAAGCCTACTTCTGTCAACTCCTCAAAGTCATTCTCCATCCTGCTTTGTTCTGTTGCGGGCAAGGAGCTGTGATCATTTGGAGAAGAAGAGGTGCTCTGGTTTTTAGAATTTTTAGCTTTTCTGCTCTGGTTTCTCCCCATCTTTGTGGTTTTTATCTACCTTTGGTCTTTGATGATGCTGACCTACAGATGGGGTTTTGGTGTGGATGTCCTTTTTGTTGATATTGATGCTATTCCTTTCTGTTTGTTAGTTTCCTTCTAACAGTCAGGTCTCTCAGCTACAGGTCTGTTGGAGTTTGCTGGAGGTCCACTCCAGACCCTGTTTGCCTGGGTTTCACCAGTGAAGGCTGCAAAACAGCAAATATTATAGAACAGCAAATATTGCTGCCTGATCCTTGCTTTGGAAGCTTCATCTCAGAGGGGTACCTGGCTATATGAGGTGTCAGTCAGCCCCTACTGAGAGGTGTCTCCAAGTTAGGCTACACGGGGGTCAGGGACCAACTTGAGGAGGCGGTCTGTCCATTCTCAGAGCTCAAACACTTTGCTGGGAGAACCACTTGTCTCTTCAGAGCTGTCAGACAGGGACGTTTAAGTCTGCAGAAGTTTTTGCTGCCTTTTGTTCAGCTATGCCCTGCCCCCAGAGGTGGAGTCTACAGAGGCAGGCAGGCCTCATTGAACTGAGGTGGGCTCCACCCAGTTTGCTGCTTTGTTTACCTAGTCAATCGTTAGCAATGGCAGACATCCCCCCACCCAGTCAGACTTTCCGCCTCACAGTTTGATTTTGGACTAGCAGTGAGCAAGGCTCCATGGGTGTGGGACCTGCTGAGCCAGGCGTGGGATATATTCTCCTGGTGTGCCATTTGCTAAGACCATTTGAAAAGCTCAGTGTTTAAGTGGCAGTGTCCTGATTTTCCTGGTACAGTCTGTCACCACTTCCCTTGGCTAAGAAAGGGAAATCCCCTGACCCCTTGTGCTTCCCGGGTGAGGTGATGCCCCGCCCTGCTTTGGCTCACCCTCTGTGGGCTGCACCCACTTTCCGACCACTCCCACTGAGATGAACCAGGTACCTCGGTTGGAAATGCAGAAATCACCCATCTTCTGCATCGATCATGCTGGGAGCTGCAGACCGCAGCTCTTCCTATTCGGCCATCTTGGAATCAACCTCTAATTTTTGTATTTTTAGTAGAGACAAGGTTTCACCATGTTGCCCAGGCTGGTCTCAAACTCATCACCTCAAATGATCTGCCACCTCAGCCTCCCAAAGTACTGGGAGTACCGATGTAAGCCACTGCACCCAGCCATAGCAATGCTTTCTAAAATTCACTTTCCTCTCCTCATTTCCCTGCAACCTACTCTAAAGTCACTTTTCAACTGTGTGGCTTTCCTTATCCCGTGCTGATTCTCTCTCCTTCTCAATTCCTCCTTATGGAATAGATCAACTTAGACTCTCTTGTTTCACCTTGGTCTGTTTATTTCTTCTTTCTTCCTATTCTCAAAAGCTCCATATCCAAGCTGGCAGACAGAGCTCTCCTTTGAGTGCAGGGAAGTAACTCTCATAAAGTAAATCTTGTCCTCAAAACACATTCAAAATCACAGAACAATAACTTGAATTTCATAATCATAGAATTGCAGAAGAATCATGTCCTATATTGTTGTGGAAAAATTGGTATCTTAGACTTCTTTTTGAGCAGGAATCCCAAACTCACATTCCTACAGGCATGTAATAGAAAAGAGGGCTGGAGACCAAGTGTAAAATAATGACAAATGATGAAGACTGTGCATCAGATATTACTCAACTCCAACTAAAGATGCCATGTGGGAATGCAGGTTCAGAATTGACATATTTTCTGATATTTTAAAACCCAGATTTTTATGTAGAACTTCCCAATTTTAAAAGCACTGTGTGTTGCAGGGGTGTGGAACCTAGGCAAGATTCAGCCATAATCTTGGCCCAAAATTTGGTTTACAACCTCTGATATCAAGGAACCTGTGGTTGGCATTCCCAAGTCCGTTTGATGATATCAAGTCAACTTTAGTCTTGTTACCTGCTTAGGAAGAAGACAAGGAAGAGGGTCTGGAGGAGATGTACTATGAGGACATGGAGTCCTTCACAATCTCCAGTGGAAACACGTATTTTGTCTTCGTACCCCTGGAAGAAGAAGAGCATTGCAGGAAGTCCCATTCCACCTTCTCAGCCATGTTCATCAGCGACACTTCCAGTGCCAAGTTCATAGAACAAGTGACAATTCCATCGAGACTAATTTTAGAAATTAAGAAACAGTGAGTAAAAAACTACTTTATTCTCATCCTGTTGTTCTGAGTTTTGTTAACAAGGTGAAATGTTAAAAAAAAAAAGAAAAGAAAAGAAAAGAAAAGGATTGGACTGGTATCAGTTGGATAAGGAAAAAATGTAGGTAACTGAAGGAAGGTAGGGGTGAGAAACACAATAAAAAAATGGCAATATCCAGGAATTGTTTGCAGTCACAGATATCTTCTGTGAGAGTGACCCCCTGCACCCACCTCAGGAGGCTGTCTGCTGGCTTGGGCCTTGGACATAAGATACAGTGTTTTCCCTGCCAGATACTTTTGGGTTCTATTTCCTGGTACATCTGTAATCGTAAGGTTTCTTTTCTTTTTCTATTTTAATTCTACAGATATATACCATAAATATAAATATCTCATGTATGGCATTTTGTACTCAATATGTGCAAAATATAAGAATGGAACTGTTCACTCATGGACTATATCCATGTCCATTGCTAGAAGACATGGCCAAAAGATATTACCAAAGAGTTTTGTTGCAGAAAATATAAGAAAAATGAAGAATAGAGAAATGACCCATAACCCCAAGTAAATTTCCACCCAGGGGAATTTACTTCCCCTAACTCCCAAGTTTCTGGGCCTTTGTGTTTGAGTTTGGATCAAATGTGGACATTTGTGTTTGCCTTTTGGATGGCATTCTCATTGTCCTCCTGCCTCTACAATGTCGTAGGAGGACTCATCAGCTAGAGATCTCCTGGTTCGTTCACGTCCCATATGTAACATGGGCAGGAGGCTGGAGATGAGGAATGAAAGGAGTACAATCAGGCCTTTGGGCTTTTTCTCCTACACCTCAGCGGCATCTCACCTTGGAAATGTCTCTTGACTCAAACATCATCCCTCTCAATCTACCAGAGGCCATCATCTGCCCTCTCCATAGCAGATAGGACAAAGGTCAGCAAGGACTATCACAGGAGCTATTATTTACCGAGTGTATTTAATCCCCTTAATAAATGTGAGAGAGGTACCATAATTAACTCCATTTTACAGTTGAAGAAACTGAGGCTCCGAGAGTTAGTCATTTGGCCTAGATCTCCATGACAGAAAGCAGTTTGATCCAAGATATGAATCCAGACAGACCCTGTAACTCTAGAATCTTGCACCAAGCACTATGCTATCTGGCCTTATGACTAACCAGAAAAAAATTATCTGTCCAACTGATTGGGTTTGCATACTGAAGGATAACATGCCTTCATGAAAGTATGAAAGTCATAAGTGCATAGCTCAATGAATTGCCCAAATATGACACAGTTGACACCCAAAGCCCACAAGAAATGGAACAATTACCAACCCTTCAGGAACCCACTTTGTGTACCCATCCCAAGCCACCGCTCTGTCTTCCCCAAAGATAACAAATATTATAACTTCTGAGTTCATTTTGCTTATTTTTTATCTAAATTAAGTCATACAGAACTCACTCTTTTATTATGTTTATGAGACATATATATTATTGAATGTGGCTAGAGTTCAGTTTTTATTTCTGTATAGTGTCCCATTATAAAAAAATATAATCCATTTTATTAATCCATTTTACTGATACACATTTGGTCTTTCCAATATACCAATAATGTTGCTCCAAACACTCTTGTACAAGTCTTCTGGTGAATATATGTATACGTTTCTGTTACATATAGAACTAAGAGTGGAACTGCTGACTCACAGAGTGTGTGTCCATATCCATCTGTAGGAGATACGGCCAAAAGATATTACCAAGGAGTTTTCAAAAGTGGTTTTTAACAGTTTTACAGCTTACAACAGCATATGAGAACTTCAACTGCTCCACAACCTCAGTGGCATTGTTAGTGATTTTTATCTTAGCCATTCTGGTATGGTTACAGTGGTGTTTCATTGTGGTTTTAGTATGTATTCTCCTGATGAGTATGATATTGTATTCTTTTTAAAATACTCGTTGGGCCATTTGGGTATCTTTTTGTGAAATGCCTAGCAAAATCTTTTGCCTATTATTTTTCTGGTTGATTTTCTTTTTTCTTATTAATTTATGGGAATTAATTATGTATTCTATAGCCAGGCGTGGTGGTGTACACTTGTAATTCCAGCTACTCAGGAGACTGAGGCAGGAGAATCGCCTGAAGCTGGGAGGCGGAGGTTACAGTGAACCGAGAGAGTGCTGCTACACTCCAGACTGGGAGACAGAGTGAGACTCCATCTCAAAAAAAAAATTAAATTATATATTCTATATAAGGCTTTGTCAGATAAATAAATGGCAAATATTCATCCCCTCTCTGCGCTTGCCTTTTTTACTCTCTTTCAAGTTATATCTTTTGATGAACAGAAGTTCTTATTTCTAATAAGGTCGAATTCATCAATTTTTTAATTAAGATTAATTTACTTTGTGCCTTACCCCCAAGGACATGGAGATGTTCTCCAATGTTACATATTTAAAATGTGATTGTTTTCAACTTCCATATTAACATCTGAAATCCACCTGGAACTGATTTTTGTTTATGGTGTGAAATAGGGGTCAAGATTCATTTCTTTCCCATATAGATAACCAGTTGATCCTGGGTCATTTAATGAAGAGACTCTCCTCTCCCCCACTGCTCTGCCACGTGTCTTTTCTAGTTCTCTGTGTGTCTATCCAATGACTTCACACTGCTTGATTACTACAGCTTTACACTAAGTCTTAATTAAATCTGATAGTGTAAGTCCTCCAACTTTAGTCTTCTCCCTCCATTATTCTTGGCCCTTTGTATTTCTACATAATTTTTTAAATTAGCTCAAGTTTCCATAAGACGTCTGCTGCAATGTTGTTTCTTGTTATTGCATTAAATCTATAGGTCAGTTTTTGGAAACTGACATCTTAACAATACATGGCCAAAAAAGCATCATAAATTTTAAAAAGGAAGAAATGATAAGCTGAGAAGCAACATTTGCAACTCACATCAAAGTCAATGACCCTCATGTCCCCAGTATATGAGGAGCCCCTAGAAATTGATTTGTAAAAAAGAACCGCTATTCACAACAGAGAATTGGGCAAAAGACATTCATGGACAGTACACAGAAAGAGAAACTAAATACTCTTGGGTTTTTTTGAGGCAGAGTCTCACTCTGTCACCTAGGCTGGAGTTCAGTGGCATGACTCACTGCAGCCTTAGCCTCCTGAGTAGATGGGACCATAGGCACATGTCACCATGACCAGCTAATTTTGTAAATATTTTGTAGAGATGGGGTCTCACCATGTTGCCCAGACTGGTCTCTAACTCCTAGGTTCAAGCAATCCTCCTGCTTCAGTCTCCCAAAGTGCTGGGATCATAAGCATGAGCCACAGTGCCCAGCCTAAATAATCTTAAACACATGAAAATATGCTCAGTCTCAATCATAATATGACAAAATTGTCAAACTTAGACATCTGACAATACACTCTGAGACTGTGAAGAAATAGGAACATCGCTGATGAGAATACAAGTTGACTTCTAGTGGAAACAGTTTGGCCATATCTGCCAAAACCACAAATGTGTTTTAACCTTTGATTCAGCAACTACAGTTCAAGGTCATTTATCCAAAGAAACACTTCTACATCTGACATACGTAATGTCCTCCAGCAGTGGTACGGTTAAACGAGTCATGGTCCATTTACACAATGAAATGCAATGTAGCTGGGAAATGAAATGAGGAAAAGGGGTGAAGGGGGGAAGCCCTTTGGGCTTCATATGGAAAGACCTCTCATAGGACATGATTGCTGGCAGGGCTGACCCTGGCTGGTCTCTCCCTCAGACTTCGAGCTGGCTTCTTCGAGCACCTCGAGAAGTGGTTTGACCAGTGTTCCCTCAACACCCGGGTCACCGTAGCCACCAAAGTCAATGAGCTGGATTCAGAACTGGAGCTGCATCTGCACCTGCACCAGCCAAGAGCCCAGCAGATTGAAAAAGACATCCACAACGTCAGGGCAGGTACAGACACTGCCTGGGAATGTCTGCCCTGCCCCCAGCCCTCCGTCAATGTCTGCTCCACTGTGGCTCCATGTCCATTAGCTGTCCCAGTTTGTACCATGCAATGTTAGCATGTTCTCATCACACCATGGAAGATGTGCAAGAGGGTTCGCACCTCCGAGGCTTGCAGAAGAAGGTGGTACTCAGAATCCTCCTGCGAGATTTTTTTCTCATTTCCATTTTTTTCCAAGAGGGTGTTAGAGTTGAAAACAAAGAGTGTTGTACTGTTTTAGCTCTTGGATGCCAGATCTGCTCATACACCTGTCAGATACACACCTGCATAGTGGATATTCTAGAGGCAAGCCCATAGCTCAGGAATTAGAGCTCTCAGTTTCAACTCCTGTGACCGTGTGACCCTGTACAGGTTACCTGACCTCTCTGACCCCTCTCTCACCTGCAGAAGGGGTTGATGGAGGTGTAAAGGAGGTGGTAATAAACCTTTTTTAAATGGTATAGTAAGGAATCATGAGCACCTGGTACAAGATACAGCCTCCAAAAGTGGTAGCCATTATTTCTACTTTATCATTTATCATACTTAAAACTACATGCATTTCACACCTACGTGGTGGGCTCTGTTAATGTGGCGGGGGGCGGGGGGGATGTTTTCAGTAGGATTCTTCCATGACTGTTGGTTTTTCACTCAAATTATACCCCAGCTCCTTCAAAGCCCTTTAGAGCTATCAGAGAGCCCCGTCACTAACCCACACAAACTCCTATTCCTGGAGCGGGGAAGGAGTTGTGCAAGTTGACAAGTGGCCTTGAATCCCAGTGCTTGCAGGCTCAGGCAACTTGTGTGGCATTTGGAACCTCATTGTTCTCATCTGGAAAATGTATGTGCTAAATGCACTGAGGAATAAAAAGGATTCTACATGCACTGAGTAGAAGCTCCCTGAAGGCTGGCTCCCTTTCCTTCCCAGGCCCCCTGAGCCAATACACAGTGTGGAAAACAAGGCCAGAGAAGCGAAGTCCTAGCATCTCACTAGTCATTTTGGCAGAGCTGGGACCACAGCACTTCCACCACTTCAGATGATAGTGGGGTCAGATGGGAGGTGGTCAGAGTTGGGGGCTCTAGGGACTCTCTGCTCACCTAAAGGCCTATGATGGATCCCTGGAAGCCCAGTCCTTGTTCTTGCCACTCCACCTTGGAAGACAGTTGGAATTCAGGCTCACTGGACATAAGGATCTGCTGATGTTAAGGAGCAAACCCAGACTGCTCAGTGCTGTACTTGCTGTTACCCCCCAGACCCTCTCACCTAGATCTCAGCCCTCCCCAACACCCCCTGCCCATCCTGCCTGCTACTTGGCTGCTCCCCAGACTCTCCATCTTCCTGGCTGTGTTCCCTCTGCTCCGGGCAGGGTGTCTCCACCAACAGGAGCTTCCTGCTCATGGCCAGGCCTCGTCTCCAGCCCAAGCCCTGATGAAGGCAACAGGGGCAGGACAAGGGGCCTTGACCTGAATCGTTCCTGTTCTGCAGCTGGCCCGGGAGAGGCAGCAGACGGGCCTTGTTCCAGGAAAGCAACATGCTGAGGTAAGTCGGGTCCCAGGGACCCCAGCTCTCTTAATGCTTTTTCAGCGGAGCTCTTACTTCATCAAGAGCGGTTGGATAGCCACTGTGCTGGGGTGACTGAGACGCTGAAGAAGGAGCGGCTGATGTTCTGCCAGTTCCAAGAAGAACAAAACGTGAGGAGCAAAAACTTCCGCCTCAAGATCTATGACATGGAACACATCTTCTTGAATGCCACCAGAAGCCAAAAGTAAGGGCTCCTGGGAGTCTCCACCCCAGTCATGTGGCTCTGGAATCTCAGTTTGGCTGGTCCTTTCAAAGGAGCCCCCCTCCCTGTAGACACAAGAGCAGAAGGCACCTCCAGAGCCTTCTTTCAAGTTAAACTCTTCAAGAGAATCAAGTCAAACTCTGTGTGGAATATTGCGTGGGAGGGCAGGGAGTGAGCAGCCAGAGAGCAAAGAACACACACAGGCAGCATGCAAGGGTGTAAACCATTTCAAGTACTATGAAATATCAGTGGTGGGGAAGACCACTTTCCCTCAGGAAAAATCAGGGAGGACTTCCTGCAGGAGGCAGCATTGAATATGAACTCAGAAGAGCCCTGAATGGAGAAAGATGGGAGAGGGTTGCGTTCCACAATCCCTGAAAGAGCACTGGCTCAGCTCAGTGTAGGAGTGTGCTCAGGACAGAGCAAGGGGCTCCAGAGAGGCCATTTGGGGTATGAGATGGAGACCTCAGGCAGGTCGGAGGGAGGAGACTGGCAAGTGTCTACGCAGCCATCAGGCACATAAGGGACAGCTGGTTCTGGTGGACTTGGTTGTAAAGAGGACACTCTCAGGGCACTCTTTTAGGGGATCACAGGTGCAGGAGCCACCTTGCTGGGGGTCAGACACAGCCCACTGGAGCAGAGACAAAGATCCAGTAGGATCTTCTGGGATTCTTTCACCAATTTGATTGCAAGGGTCAGAGAGAGAAGGATGCCCTCTGATCCAGCACACCCAGAGTGTGTCCTACAGACACTGGAATTTTGAACTTCCTTCTACTGCCCCCTTTGCTACCCAGAGAAGCTGGGCAGCTGGGCACAGCTTGTGGAGCCCAAATAGACTCCCAGGATGTCCTCCTTTCAGGCCCAGGCCACCACCCTTCCCTCTCATGCCCCCCAAACTGGTCACCCATCAGCGCTGTGTCCCCAGGAAGGTCACCTATCACCACCTTCCCCTCCCATGTCTTCAGGATGCTCACCATCACCACCTGTCCCTCCTGTGTCCCCAAGCTGGTCATCATCACCACCTGCCCCTCCCACATCCCCTAGGCTGGTCACCATCACCACCTGCCCCTCCCTTGTCCCCCAGGGTTGTCCCCCATCACCGTCCTGTTCCTCCTCTGTCTCCCACAGGCTGGTCATTCTCAGCAACACACTGCACCAGGAGTTGCTTAGCTATGTTGATGTCACCCAGGTGTCCCTGCGCAGCTTCCGGCAGTACTTGGAGGAGAGTCTGGGCAAACTCCGCTACTCAAATATTGAGTTCATCAAACACTGCAGGTGGGAGCCAGTGTCCAGGGCCTGTTCAGGCCACCTGAGTTTCTCTATTGGGATGTGGTCTTGTTTCCCCCTTAATTTTTAGTTTTGACAAAATATACATAACATCAAACTTAACTCTTAACCATTTTTAGGTGCACAGATCAGTGGCATTAAGGATATCATGGTCGATGTGCTACCATCACCACCATTGGTCACCAGAACTTTTTCATCTTCCCAAACTGAAACTCTGTACCATTAAACAAGAACTCCTCATTCCTCCCTCCCCACAGCCCCTGGCAACCACCACCCTACTTTCTGTTTCTATGAATTTGAAACCTCTAGGTACTTCATATAAGTGGAATCATATATTTGTCCTTTTCTTGTCTGGCTCATTCCATTTAGCATATTGTCTTCAAGGTTCATCCATGTATCATGTGTCATGTATCACAAAATCATGTGTCATCCATGTATCATGGTTCATCCATGTATCATGGTTCATCCATGTATCATGTATCATGTGTCACAAAATCATTCCTTTTTAAGGCTGAATAATGTTCCATTGTGTGTATAGATCACATTTTGTTTACCCATTCATCTTTGATGGGCATTTGGGTTGGTTCCATCTTTTGGCTATTGTGAATAATGGTGGTAGGAACATTGGTGTACAAATACCTGTTGAAGGTCCTGGTTTTAATTATTTTGGTTATTTCCTAGAAGTGGAATTGCTGGATTAAACAGTAATTCTATGGTTAACTTTGAGAGGAACCCTCATACTATTTCCACAGCAGCTGCACCATATTCATTCTCACCAGCGATGCACAAGGGTTCCAATTTCTCTACATTATCACCAACGCTTGTTACTTTCTGGTGTTTTTTGTTTTTTATAATAGACCTGTTAATGGGTGTGAGGTGTTTCTATGTTGTGGTTTTGATTTGCATTTCCCTGACAATTAATGATGTTAACCTTTCCATGTGTTTATTGGCCATTCTTTCCCCTTATTTTTACCCCTGCAATCTGAATCCTGGATGAAAGTAATCCTAGATTTAGTCTTTGACATTTTTGAAAGGCTATATTTATTTTTTAAGGCTTATGCTATTTTAAAAATCACAAATCTTTTAATCATTACAGCATTATCAAACACAGATTCTATCTAAAGTACAAAGTGGAAGCCCTCCAAAAATATATTTTCTATGTGCCTGTACTTATGTATACATGAGCAAAACTTTATTAGTTTTGTACAGAAATGGAATACTAGTACACACGCTGACCCACAGCCCCCCACTACCACCATCACCAAATCATGGTGATGTAGGGAGTAAAGGAACTTTCTTTCCACCTCTGAAGTTTCAACAATTTGAGCCAATAAAACAAGGCCAGGCACAGTGGTTCACGCCTGTAATCCCAGCATTTTGGGATTCCGAGGCGGGTGGATCACCTGAGGTCAGGAGTTCAAGACCAGTCTTGCCAACATGGAGAAACCCCGTCTCTACTGAAAATACAACAATTAGCTGGGCGTGGTGGCAGGCGCCTATAATCCCAGCTACTTGGGAGGCTGAGGTAGGAGAATTGCTTGAATCCGGGAGGTGGAGGTTGCTGTGAGCTGAGATCGCACCACTGCACTCCAGCCTGGGAGACAGCGAGACTTCATCTCAAAACAACAACAACATCAACAACAAACAAACAAACAGTAAAACAATAAAGACGATAAACAGATTAATGGGAAAAAGACACACCAATTTATTAACGTGCAAGTGTCACACAAAGTTTGAAACTCAAACAAAGGCCAAGTGGTTGAATCTTAAATATCCTCTTCAAAGGAGAGTGAGAAATGGGAGAGGTAGGAAATTTTAGTGGAAGGGTAAATGATGTTTAGGGGAGATTAATGGACCCAAAGAACAGACAATAGCCTGGGACTAATTCTGTATGGGCTCTGGGTGTGGTGTCAACTCCAGTCTTCCTTCCTACAACTATGCATCAGTTTCTTCTGGTTGATGAGTTATCTGGGGAAGGGATTCACAACAGTTGAGTATCTTCTGGAGGATCCAGCCTTTAGGTAGATAGGTGAACTTTAGAGAAAGCTCTTCCCTGCGTTTGCTGCTCCCCAAGTACTCTCAGTTTTAAGTTCAAAGTAGCACATTTTTGGTATCATTTTCTGAGCCCCAACAGTGGGTACCTTCCGTGTCAGTATCTACAAAGCTTGCATTTGTTTTAAATATTAAGATTTTTCTGATTATAAAAATAGAATTTTAAAAGAAAATTTGGAAAGTATCAAAAACTGGAACTATAATTTGACATGTTAATCATCTCTACCTTGCCTATCTCTGCATCCGTCTTGCATATTTTAGCTTCATTCTAGCTAATTTCTTTGTATTATTTTTCCTAGTCACTGATTCACTCTGTGACTGTGTTGAACCTCCTGCAAATCTGTTCATTGAGTTTTCAATTTTAATTATTATAGCTTCCATTTGTAGATACATACATATATGTGTATATATATGTGTGTGTATATACATATATATATATATATATATTTTTTTTTTTTTTGAGACAGTGTCTTACTCTCTCACCCAGACTGGAGTGCAGTGGCACAGTCCCCACTCACTGCAACCTCCACCTCCTGGGTTCAAGTGATTGTCCTGCCTCAGCATCCCAAGTAGCTGGGACTACAGGCATGTGCCACGATGCCCAGCTAATTTTTGTATTTTTAGTAGAGACAGGGTTTCACCATAGTGGCCAGGCTGGTCTTGAATGCCTGACCTCAAGTGATACACCCGCCTCTGCCTCCCAAAGTGCTGAGATTACAGGTGTGAGCCACCACTGTCTGCCCATTTATAATTATATTTGATACTTTTTCAAAACTGCCTGCTCCTTGTTCATGTTTTGAAGCTACTTTTTATTCCTTTAAACATCTTAAGTCTAGTTATTTTATAGTCTATATCTGATATTTCTAATATCTGAGGGTTTGGGGGAGGTCAGTTTCTGTTCTCTATTGTTTCACTGTTTTTCATGCATGGTATCTTGTATCTTGATTCCTTATCAATTTTTTAAGCTACAAGTCACTCATTTTCCTTGGGACTTTATCTGTGGCATTCTTTGAGGCCTGGACTGGGCATTGCATTCCTTCAGAGAGAATTCTTATTTGTTTCTGCTGGGTAGCCAGGGAGCAGTACCTACCCAGGACCAATTAGAATTCTCTGCTTGAGGTTTTTTGGGTTACTCCAGAGAACATGAATTCATTTTGTAAATGTATATGAAGTCTAGTTTGTATGATTAATTTTCAAGGGAGAGAGATCTTTTCTTTCCTCTTTGCCCTTGGATCTAGACAGGTGAGAGTCCTGGTAGCTGGTGGATTCATTCCTTCCTCAGTCTTATAATGCAAGGGTTGTCCTCTGGATCCAGCTCTAGGCTATCCCTTCACCTGTACAGTCATCAAGACTGAAACTCCAAGGCTCTGGTGCAAAGTCTTGGCTTCTGGTGCTGCCCACATCCCAAGCTCCCTTCTAGTGTCACTTCCTCTGGAATTTTTTATTTTATTTTATTTTTTTGAGGTAGAATCTTACTCTGTCAACCAGGCCGGAGTGCAGTGGCGCAATCTCGGCTCACTGCAACTTCTTCCTCCTAGGCTCAAGAAATCCTTCCACCTCAGCCTCCCAAGTAGCTGGAATCACAGGCACATGCCACCACACCTGGCTAATTTTTTTACTTTTTGTAGAGACAGGGTCATGCTTTGTTTCCCAGGCTAATCTTGAACTCCTGGCCTCAAGTGATTTTCCTGCCTCAGTCTCCCAAAATTCTGGCAATACAGACATGAGCCACCACGCCTGGCAAGTTTATGTGGAATTCTTACCTTTACACAGTTCCAAGAAAGCTATTTTTATTTTGAATTTTGTTTCAGTTGGGTCTGTTAGGGTCTCCAACCTGATGAACTGACAAAAATGGAAATTCTGCACCATTTATGAATCCTACTCCTGTCCTTAAGCTATCTGCATTCATTTTCCCACATCTGGAACTCTAACTGGAAGCCTAGATTAAAAGTGTGTGTCAGCCACAGTATTTGGGATAGATGAGAACTCTCAGGTCTGATCCGTGGCTTTTATTTCTCTCTGATTATTTTCAGATTGTTTTCAGAGGGAGGCAACTTTTCTCCTAAAGAAATCAATTCACTGTGTCACCGACTGGAGAAGGAAGCTGCCCGGATAGAGTTGGTTGACAGTGTCATCATGCTCAACATGGAGAAGATGGAGAATGAGTACCTGGACCAGGTGGGGCCCCCAGCCAGGCCCCAGGCCAACCGGTTCCACAGTATCCCTTGTTCAACTCCCTCTGAAGGGAGGTCTAAGTCCTCCATCCAGCCATTCACTGGGCCTGTCCCCCTCCTCTTTCAGAGTCCAGAAGGTCCAGATTAAGCCCCTGTCCTTTACCCTTTATCTCTCTGTGCAGGCCAATGATGTCATCAACAAGTTTGAAAGCAAATTCCATAACCTGTCTGTGGACCTTATTTTCATAGAGAAAATCCAGCGGTTGCTGACGAATCTGCAAGTGCACATCAAGTGCCAGGTAGGATAGGTTCATTCTTCATCAAGGATCTTTATCACACACATCTGCACACCAGGCACTGTCCCCAGTGCTGGAAGGCCAGTGTGGTCTCTGTCCTGTGCGTGGGACTTGCTCTCCAGCCAGGAAGACAGAAACAATCTTTTTTTTTTTTTTTTTTTGAGACAGGGTCTTGCTTTGTCACCCAGACTGGAGTGCAGTGGTGTGAACACAGCTCACTGTAGCCTCAACTTCCTGGGCTCAAGCAATCCTCCAACCTCAGTCCCACAAGTAGCTGGGACTACAGGCACACGCCACCATGCCCAGCTAATTTTTTCTATTTTTTGTAGCGATGGAGTCTTCCTATGTTGCCCAGGCTGGTCTCGAATTCCTGGGCTCAAGTGATCCTCCTGCCTCAACCTCCCGAAGTGTTGGGATTACAGACATGAGCCACTGTGCCTGGCCAAAAATGAAATCTTAATAACCACTAATGTTTACTAGTTATTGAGCACCATTCATCCTGCTGAGCAACTTGCTTTGATTAGCTGTGTTAGTCCTCACAAGAACTATAGGAGGCAAGTACTGTTTTTATCCCCATTTTAGAGATAAACTGAGGCAGCATTTTAGTGACTTAGGTAGGAATACAGAGCTCTTAAAGGGTAAAGTCAAAATGTGAACCCAGGTCTGACCGACACCAGAGCTTACGGCCTTAACCACAAACAGGCCATGTGTGCAACAGAAGGAGAAGGTGGCTGCATGGGGATTGAGGGGCCAGAGAACTTAACCTGGGCTAAGAAAGTGGGGCTTCCAGAGGCTTGAGGGAGAAGTAGGAACCAGCCAGGTGGGCGGTGAGGAGTGAAGCATTCTGGAGAGATGACGGAGAAAGTCCAGGGGGCTGGAGCCCAGGACTGCAAGAGTGCGAAGGAGAGAGTAGGGAGCTCTGTGGTTGGAGAGCACCAGCGGGGAGGCAGTGGGGGCTTGGGAAGGGTTCAGGTGGGGCTGCGTGCTCGGGGCTAAACTTGGAGGGTGGGGGTCCTGGCTGCTGACCACAGAAAGGCGGGAGGTGGGTAGGAGTGAGGCAGAAGTGCGAGGCTGAGGGAGAGAGGATCATGGCCTGGGCACAATGTCCGCAGGGACACATTCTGATTCCAGAGCTGAGTGGAAGTGGGATGGGAGGGACTTGGGGTACACTGGAAATGAAGGGCCTGGGTTATCGGCATAGGTCAATGCCCATTCGGGGAACAATGTTTGAGGACCCACTAGGGCTAGGACAAGCGGAGATGAGGACAGCCTTGTCTTTTGGGAGTGGCAAGTACAGTTCGATAAAAGAAGGGTTTGCTGGCATCTCGGGCTCTGAGATAGGGACTACAGACCCAACTTCCTGCCCCTTTCGCCCCAAGAAGCATTTAATTCATCCATCTGTGAAATGGGAATCATAAAAGCAATTCCTAATATTATGGCACCAATAAAGGAGCTGATATGTGCTAAACTCATGACATAGTCCCTGGAGCACAGTGAATCCTTAATAAAGGCAGGCTCTGGTGGAGGTCCCAGATGAACCTCTCAGGACTGGCTTCCAGTCATTCCAGAAGGAGCAGGAGGCAGCTGCAGGCAGCAGAGCCCACGGCCCCAGGGCATGTCACCACACTCTTGTTTGAGGAGCATATTCCTAATGGGCCTCCAGCTGGTGCTGGCACTGAGTCTTTTTTCTGAGTTGATATTCGGGGACTGTTCATGGTGTACAGGGGTTGCATTTCAAATATCTAACACCTGTGATAAACAAAATACATTTCCATCATGGACAATACTGGGAATATAGAACAAATACAAAACAGAGAGTAAACCATAATTCTGCCACACAGCATAACCCCTGTTTAAGATTTCAATTTATTTTTTAAGCTTTTTTTCTATACATGAAAAGATGGGGATATGCCAAAATTGGCTGCTTGCCATTTATACCAGTTTTATAAGCTGTATAATCTTTAAATGTTCTGCAAAGACAGTATTTTGATGGCGTCTCTGTCATGGATGTGTTGACATTTTACTTAAGCATTCGTTTCTGGATGAGCATTTGGTGAATTTCGCTTCTTGTTATGAAAGGTGATGCTGTGAGAAGTGCACTTGCCAGGACGGTCTGACCACATCCTTAGGACGCCTCCTGGAAGCCACAGTCCTGGGTCAGAGCATGACCTTTCTATGGCTCTCGAAGCTTTCCGGGGAGTTTTTCCATCCTTGGCCCTGCACTGCTGGAGCAGAGCCTGTGCACTTGCCAGGACAATCTGACTGCATCCTTAGGGCGCCTCCTGGAAGCCACAGTCCTGAATCAGAGCATGACCTTTCTATGGCTCTCGAAGCTTTCCAGGGAGTCTCTACAGTCTTGGCCCTGCACTGCTAAAGCGGAGCCTGCCCTCCCAACTCCCTCACCACACTCTGGGGTGCCAATTTTGCTTGAAGCTTACTTGAGAGAGGAAAAAAATCTTTGTAATTTGTATCAATCTAGTGTCTGGTAAAACTGCATTTTTTCCCCTGATTTCATTTTTTTCCGTGCTTAATCAGTTTCTCAGATGGTATGTTTCAAAGAACATTTCCCAGATCACAATATGTATTCTAGAAACAAAATCTCGGAACCTCTGGTTTTCTAGGTGGCAAAATCCAATTCACAAACAAATGGATTAAATTTCTCTCTGCAACAGCTTCAGAACAAGATAAAAACTTGTCAAGAGTCCAGGGGAGAGAAAACCGTAAGTGTTCAATAGATTCTGCGTGTGAATAATAAAGATATATCATGCTAGAATCATACATGTGAAATAAACTTATATGTGTGTGTAGGCTTTCTCCAGCACAAGGTGGGATGGGGGGACATCTCTGAGCCTTGCTACTTAACCCCTGTTTCATGGAATGAAGAAAGGAACAGAAGAGAAAGCAGCCACTGTTCTCCACCCCCAGCCCCTCCCAGGCAAGCATGGAGCAGTGTCTAGAGTTGGGGGAGGCCTGAGTCTGCCTTCTTCTGACCTCACTCCCTTGGGATGTCACCAGGTGTCCCTTGCTATAAGGAGAACTCAGTCCCAGAAGTATAACAGAAGCAGGGCCCTGCCCCCTGAACAACCACTTTTTGTTTGACTTTCCACTTGTTTTTTTTTTTTGTATTTTTGGTTTTTTTGTTTTTGAGATGAAGTCTCACTCTGTCACCCAGGCTGTAGTGCAGTGGCGCAGTCTCGGCTCACTGCAACCTCTGTCTCCTGGGTTCAAGTGATTCTCCTGCCTCAGCATCCCAAGTAGCTGCGACTACAGGCGCCCACCACCACGCCTGGCTCATTTTTGTATTTTTAGTAGAGACAGGGTTTCACCATGTTGGCCAGGCTGGTCTCAAAACTCCTGACCGCAATTGATCTGCCCACATCAGCCTCCCAAAGTGCTGGGATTTCAGGTGTGAGCCACCGCACCCAGCCTCACTTGCTTCTTTTGATCATAGCACAGAAACTGGTTTTCTCTGTTTAAAGTACGTATTGAAGCAGAGTTTGCGAGGAGTGTGGTTCCAAGCATCTGCCTGGCCCCGATCCTCAGAGCAGGTCTCTGGATGTCTACGTGCCTGTGTTTCTGCCATGAGTGCCCGACTGTGTCCCCGAGTCTGCACAGTGAAGGACAGTGCACCCTTCAATGATAGGGGACATCGGGAGTTCTCTTCCTGAATCTACGGGTTCAACTCCGGGCAAATGACTTAAAGTTGCTCAACTCGATCCTCCCTGGCCTGTTGCCCAGGCCACACCAGGGAACCTTTCCTTAACAGCCCAGCCAGGTGCTCCCAGAACCAGACACCCCAGCCTGAAGGTTCTGCAGTGGGAAGCTTTCTCTTCACCATTCTCTGTCTTTTCTCTACCATTTCAGTGACTCAGAGTTGCAGTTGTATTATTAGCACTGAGAGGACATTTTTCTGTCTTTATTGCTTTTTCTTATAGAGTATATTGCATGACTCTTGAAAGAAACATAAACACCCACAAAGCATAGTTTGCAGAATAAATGTCCCTCTCGCTATTCTCATTTTGCACAGAGGCACTCTAAACCCTGTTATGTATATGCATGCACTTGTTTCCACACATCCACTGAGATTACTTGCCCTGCAGTGCAGATGTGCAGAGCAAAGGTGGCTCCTATATTTTGCCTGTGACTTGCCTGATGTCCCTTATGAGCCCCCTAATGGGAAGCAGGGGGAAGATGAGGTTAATCAGCTGTAACTCTTCAACAGGCTCTTTAAGGCAGCTCCACCTCTCCAGAACAGAAAGATCCAGTCTCTCACATCCTCACCTCCCAACCCCTGCTCTGTCCTCTCCTGTTAGGGTGTTGGGTGGGTGCCAGGGGCTTGCCCAGCCTCCCAGCCCGGTGAGGAGCATGTGGGCATGGGTGTGCGGGCATTCCTGTGTTGACGGAGGAGGCTGGCTGGACAGTCTTCAGAGGGATGATTAGGGGACAAGAGTGTGCCTTGAATGTGTGGCAAGAGGGAAGATCCTCACAGTTGCATTCCTGCACACCTGTGGGGTGCTGCTCCAAGGGAGTGTTAGACATTGCCATGGAGATGGCCAGATCACTCTTCTACACACTCCTGCATGCCCTTGCCACCTGGGTCAAATGTTTCCTTCTAAACATAGAATGTGAGAACCAGAGGAGATCCTAGGGAATATTTTGTGTCCCCATCTTACAGATGGGGAGACCAAGCTGAGCATGTTTAAGTCATTTGCCCAGAGTTGAACCTGTAGATCCAGGAAGAGAACTCCTGATGTCCCCATCAGTGAAGGGTGTGCTGTCCTTCACTGTGAAGTAAAGGCCGCCTAGCAGAGCCAGCCCAGCCTTCCCCAATCCCCAAGGGCCCTCCCTGCATGTGAGGAGCCTCCATCAAGCCAAGAAGCATCCTCACCAGCCCAGCCCCTGTTACCGCACTTCCCGCAGAATCTGTCCACCCTCCTGCAGTCTGCTTCCTTGGGACTTTCTTCCTCCCTGTTCTCACTAGACAGCGACCACAGAAGAACTCCTCGGCTTCGTCCAAACTTGGAAAGAAAAACTGAGCCAGAGGATTCAGTACCTTAACTGCAGCCTCGACAAGGTGTCCATGACTGAACTGGTCTTTACAGTAAGGAATGGGATGGGGTGGCAGGAAAGGGTGGGTAAGCTGTTGTCCGGGCTCCCAGGAGACCTGCAGGGCTCAGCAGGGCTGAAGGGAACAGGGGACTCCTAGGCCTCCGCAGGACATCAGGCTTCCTGAGATGCCATGGAAAGATCACAAGCTGTGAAGTCAGAGCTGGATTTGAGTCCCCAATGGGCCACTTCCTTGCATTGGTCTCAGAGGAGACCCCTCAGCTCCTGGCACTACCTCCCCTGCTCCATCAGGACCCTCACTCACCCTATCCACGGAATCTCAAGCCAGTCCCACCTCTCAGCCTCTTCCTTCCCTCCTGCACCCAGGGGCAGCCCTGGCTTCTCCCCATGGCACCCCCAACACCTCATCCAGACCCCTGCCTCTTGCCTGCCTGATGCCCACATCCTCTCACATCTCCCATGGTCTGTTCCCCGAATATGGCCGGAAGAGGCTGGTCTGACCATGTCACTCCCCTACCCTTGGGGCAAAGTCCAAACCCTTTCACTGGACACAGCAGCCTCTGTGGCTTGTCCTCCATGCCTCTTCATCCCTCTCACTCTGCCTAAGATGTCACTCCCCACCAAGCCTCCTCTCACCCCCTGGTCTGGGTCGGGGTCTCCTAGCCCATAGTACCTTCCACTTCCCCATCAGCCTGCAGACCACGTGGTGGGATCTCCATTTCGGAGGCTGTCTGTCCTGAGACTGCAAGCCTCTATGGGCAGAGCCTGCATCACCCCCATCCCTGCCCACACCTCACATTGGGCTGAGATGCTCAGCCAACTTCCAGGGAAGGGCCCGAGAGCCAATGTCTGCAGAGTAGAGCAATGCTAGGGCCTGCTCTCACCGCCAATCCTTAACCAGCCTTCCTTCCATGGGGAGGCCCTTCCCACCACGCAGCCAGCACCAGGCATCCATCTATCTCTGGTGCAGTGTCCAGCAGCATGAGGCTCCAAGGGTCTAGCATGAAGGTATTGAGTGACTAGGAAACCTTGAGTGAAGGTCTCCCAGGACTTTCACTCAAGGGACTGACAGGCCATTGCTAAGATGAGACTCAGAATGAAAGAGAACAGCCTAGGTGCTCACCACGGGCACCAATTCCACACTTTCTTTGGAGCCTGCTCAAGGGGAGTTAGCCACTCTCAGCCTGGCATTCATTCTCTCATCCATTTGGTCAAAAACATTGACCAGGCACATCTGCAGGTCTAACTTCAATCTCACAGAAGATACTGGAACTTTTCTTTCACCGCACTGGTCCCAGTTTTGGAGAAGCATTTATTGGTATGAGTGCAAGTTAAATGTCTGTCTTTTCTGACTAAACCACAAACTCCGAGACGGGAGGGGTCATATATGGCCTCCTGGCCCCTGTGTTCCTAGAATACGGGCAGAGACTTGTGAAGAGCAGGCACTTGGGAAACATTTCTAAAGGCATGAATAAACGGATGAATGAATTAATGGCTCTGTAAGGGAGATCACTTTACAGAGGAGAAAACAGTGGCTCAATGAGGTCAGTCAGTTTGCCTGCAGCCACTCCACTGAGGCAGGGTGGGAGGGAACATGAATTCGGCCTGCTGCCTCGCTGGCACCTGGGCCGGTCCTTACACACTCAGACCCTTCTCTCTGGCCTGCAGAATACCATCCTGAAGGACCTGGAGCAAGAGAGTGACATCCTGACATCTTCAGAAGCCCTTGAGGAGGAGGCCAAGCCGGATGTGGTCACCCCTGAGTCCTTCGCCCAGTTGAGCCGCATGGGGAAGCCCCTGATTGAAGACCCAGCTGTGGATGTGATCAGGAAGATCCTGCAGTGAGTGGCCCCAGGGTGCACCTGAGGCCCTGCCACCCCTGCCCCTGGCCCTGGACCTTCAGGGATCAGCTTTGGGGCCCCACACACTGGGGTTCCCAAGTGAGTCCACCCCGAGAGCCTGTGACCTCAGGCAAAGGGATTACCCACCCAGAGCCCCAGTTCCTCATCTGAAATGGGGCTCGTGACAGGACTGACTGACGTGGCGCTGAGGACTAACTGGGATGCTGCTCAGAGCCTGGCCTGAGCTGTCCCCATGGTCACCGTAGAAGAGCTCACACCCTTTCCTTTGTTTCAGACTTCCCAACACAAAATGGCCAACCCACCATTGTGACAAAGATCGGTCCCAGACAGGTAGAGGCGCACAGGCCTGTGGGTCTCGGGGCAGCAGTGAAGCGGGGGCTGGTGGTACTGTGTGGCCCATTCTCACCTCCTGTCCTCTGCTCCTGTCCTGGGCCCTCATCACCCAAAGGCTTCAAGCGACATCGGTGCCGGCCAGAAAACTCTGGGAAGAAGGCTGCGCCCAGCGCCAGTGGCACCTCTGCAAGCAGGTAGGACACAGGGCAGCCAGCATCGCCCCTTCCCAGTTCATCCCCCCACACAAAGGCAGGAGACGACCTATGGCTTTCCCAGGCTTTACCTCGGAAGGCACCACAGTGCTCACAGCTCTGGGACTCCACAGGGTGCAGGGAGGGGTGAGCTGTGATGCCGGCTTTAGTCAGGCGCCGTCCTTGGTTTGCTGGTTGTCCATGGTGCTGATGGATCTCAGCCCTGCCACCTTCCACACATGGTCATGGTTAGAAAGACAGGGCAGATGGCTTTCCTGGAGGGACATCATAGAGCAGAAAGAGTTCTGGTCCTTGGCACCCTGCCCACCAAGTCTCAGTGGGGTCGTTAGACTCAAAGTTTACCCCACATGCAGATTTTATGGAAGGTGCATATCAGAAGCCCCATGGCTGAGTAGACTTGCTAGCTCTTTGTGTCAACCTGGTTGACATGGGTTTGTTCCTGATTTTGAGAAGGCAAGGGGAATCCCTGCTTTGCCTTTCCCTCCAGAAGGTCTTTTTGAGCATGCATGCTGTGTGCAATGAGGAAAGAAACAAAGACCAGCCATATGAGAAGAGCAAAGGCTATTGACTCAGAGCTGACAGCAGCAGGGAGTCAGCCACCATCCAGGGCGTTTCAGCAGAGCTCCCAGGGCAGGCAGAGGAGTGGGAAACATTACCCTCCCCTCTAGCTGTGTGCTGGTTAGGGGATGCTGGCATGGGGAAGCTGGAGGCTGCCCACCGAAAGCAGGGCATCCCATGGGATTGGTTAGGGGACATGTTTGGCTTTCTCTGGTTGACCCAAAGTTGGAAATGAGGACAAAAATTAGGGAAGCTGTCATTTATTAAGTCCTGGCCATTTGGGGCCTACTATTATAGGTGATATTGTAGCTTCCTGGACCATCCCCAGGGTTGACAATCTCACTTCCTGCAAATCTGACTTAGAGCAGGCTGACTTCCTGGGTGGTTTCTTGTAGCTAAGGCGGGGCGGCCTCCTGGTTAGGTTGCTGCACATCATGGGACAGAGCTCTGTTTTTTATATGATCCAGCCATGACGTGTTTCCATGTTCAGTCTCTCAGAGGTTACAAAACGAAGTCCATGTCACTAGGGCTGCTAGATAAAAGAGAGGGTGCCCATCTACACTGGAATTTCAGATCAACACCATCTAATATTTTTAGCATAAGTGTGTCCCAAATGCTGCACGTGATACACTAATACTGAAAATTACTGTTTATATGAAATTCAAATTTAAATGGGCGTACTGTATTGTTATGGCTAAATCTAGCAACCCTACCTGTGACTCAATGTTTTTTTCCTTTGGGTCCTCATCACGGGGAAGCAAGAATGCAAATTTCTGGGCCTGAGCACCTCTGCCCCTCGCCTTCTCACAGCAGCTGTGGTTGGCTTTCAGCAGTTAAGGTGGTTAAGGTTTCAACCCATGGTAAGGTAGACTCACAGCTGTTAAGATAGTGTTCATAACGTCTCAAAGGGCTGGGACCTAGAAATGGGAGTCCGGTTGCCCACGGGCAGGCCCCATGTCTCCAGAAACGCAGGCAGGGATCCTACAGGCTCAGACCTGCCTTGCATCTGTCCACGGCCTCCAGACCACCCACCCACCTTTGTCCCACAGCTTCACACGGCACCCCAAGCTCAACAAAATGGAGAGAAAGTACCAGGTGCTTGGGGACAAGCCTCCTCCTGCTGCTGAGTGAGTAACAGCACCTTTCCTTTTGACTACATTTAACCTGTTTTGGGTTGGGAGGGGCAGCAAATGTGACTCAGCTGAGGGGAAAAATCAGAAAGGGGAACGGCAGGTCCAAGCAGAGGAGGGGTGAGGGGGGATAGCAAAGGTCAAGATCAGTTTGTCTCAGCCCATTTCACCTGAATTTGTTGAGAAACATTTTCATCAACATCTCACATTTTCCAAGCTAACAAGCATTCCCTGGTGGTAGGGCAGCAGACCCCGTTCGAGGTCTGAGCTTTTTTTTTTGTACTTTTTTTCAGTACTTTCCCCCATTTCTCTTTTCCTTTATTGTAACTCCAGTGATTACAACAAAAGCAGTTAAACTTAGTATAGCTTCATTGCAAGCAAACAAGCAAAATTCCAAGTTCAGAAAACGAAAAGCCTTCGAAGAAAGTCAAGTTCCACAAAGGAGCTCCCTCTCCTCCTGTATTAGAGATCCCCCCAAACAGTGGCCCCCTCTCATCCGCCCTTTCACCCTGGGACCCTCATCTCTGGGGTCATGAACTTTGCAGAGGATGGCTGTGACATCAGGCAGCCCAGGTCTGGCCTCCAGCTGGCAGGTAGACAGTTCCCTCGTCCCACACCCAAGGACGCTCCTGCACCGTGAATACTTCGGCTCTCTAATTTTTATAGCTCGATGCAGGAGGATGTTCGATCCTGCATGAAGTCCTGTTCATTTGATTACTATTTATGAGTAATCATTCTTTCAGCTAATCGAGGCACTGCCCGGTGCAGGCACTGCAGTGGGGCCGGGGATTCCATGGTGAACAAGTACAGACAGGTCCATGTCCTGTGTCAAAAGATAAACTCAGGCACATTAAAATGTTGGTGAGTTTATTTGAACAGTCAGTAATTCATGAATTGGGCAGTGCCAGACCCCAAGCGATTCAGGGAACACCAGGGGAAACCTTTTATAAGGTGTTCATAGAAGGAAGGCAAAGAAAATATTTGTTTGGTTAAAGTGAGAAGTTCCTAGTTGGCTATTTCTGATTGGTTAAGCTTACATTTCATTTTCCTAAACGATGACCATTCATTCTGAGTTGAGTTTGTTTTCTAGCGAGAAACTCCAGGCACTGGAACCGTTTCAGCCTGATGGCCTCCCGTTTGTGATCTTAAACACCTGGTGGCCTTCACAGTCTGCTGGGAGAGATGGAGGTTAATCAGCCAGTCACATAAATCAATCCCAAATCCACCTGATTGGCATGTGTCATGAGGCTGAGGGGGCATTAATCCAAGATCATTAAAACCAGGTGGTCAGAAATTGCTGCTGAGCTGGGGTCTGAGGAAGGGCAGGAACAAATGCAACCAAGAAGAGAAGAAAGTTAGCTGCTGTTATGGAGTGGAATCAGAGTGTGCAGAGGTCCTGGGGCAGCAGTGAGTAATTTCAAGGAGTGTCATGGCCAAAACAGAGCACTTGGAAAGTTCTGCTCGTTTGGTTTTGTCTATGTTGGTGTGTCTAGACCAGGCCCCTCAGGTATCTGTCTCGTGTGTGTTGCAGGGATTTTAAGGGGATCATCTTGACCCTCCTCTGGGAAAGCAATGAGAACCTGCTGGCGGTTGCAGAGGTGAGGACCACTACCCATGGCCTGTGCCTGCCCTGGAAGCCACCCCTGTCTTCTGCAGTCTGCTGATCGTGGCCACTTGGGGGAAAATGAGAAAGAGAGGATTCCATCCCCGCCATGACCACAGCTCCCCAGCTTCTGTCACCTCGCTATGAGTTTTTTTTTCTTCTAGAAACCAAACCTCATGCATTCATCTAATTGATCACCAAACATTTCTTAAGACACCAACTGCATGTCAGGTACTATGTGTGCCAAGAGGAACAAGCCCACTCTCTGTCCCCAAGGCACCCAGGCCCCGTGGGAAGCTAACAGATGTGGCAGGGACACAGAAGGAGGTGGGGCAGTGGGAGCAGGCACCAGACAAGCTGCCCAGTGCCCTGTTCCTGCACACCCTGCACCGTGGTGTGGGTGAGTTCTCCTTTCTGCCTCCCACGGGTCTGTCTACCTCCTTCAGGGCAGGGTCCCTGGCTCACGCATCTTTGTGGCCTGCAGCCTATACCCAGCTTGGCACTTCCTTGTAAGCTCCCAACCTGGTCACCAATTTGAGATTCCATTGATTTGGATCTTGAAGAATAAATAGGATTCTCACCAGTCACTCAAGAAATAACAAGGGCTGGCCATGGCCCCACTCACTCCAGGTGGGCCCAGGGAGGCAACACGTGCGGACAGGGAAGAAGGAGTGTCTGCCTGTGTCACCTCCACAGGGGAAGCCACGAGCAAAGGCTAGGGAGTGTGGAGGTGAGGGCAGGCTGGTGGATCCCAGGAGCAAGAGCCAGAGTCCCATGGGGTCCTCACGCACACATGGTCACCCTCTCTGGCAGGAGTTCTACCGTAAAGAAAAACGCCCGGTCACCAGGCCTGACTGCATGTATGACACCTTTGACCAGTGCGCTGAGAACATCGGCAAAAAGATCCTGGAGTACCAGAGCCAGGCAAATAAGTACCACAACTCCTGCCTCATAGGTGAGTATAGGCAGCAGGTAGGCATGGAGAGCCGGGCAGGGCGCGAAGCCAGTGATGGAGCTCAGCCTTGGCCTTGTAGCCTGGATCCTCCCCTCTAGGGCAGGCAGAGGAGCTTCCCTGTGAAAAGCTGACCTCTTAAAATTAGGTAAAAACAATAACCAGATTTTACTGGGGAAATGCGACCACGCAAGAAAAAAGTTGACTTTTCTTGAGAAATATGGTGATTTGTACCTCTAAAAATATTTTGTTTCTTCTACAGATATTTTTGACAACTTTATTGAGATACTCGCATACCATAAAATTTACCCACGTAGTATACTCAGTGTGGTTTTTAGTTTATTTACAGTTATGCAGTCACCGCTACCATCAATTTTAGAAACCCCATCTCCCAGCCCCTCCCCAGCCTAAAGCAACCACTAATCTACTTTCTGTCTCTATAGACTTCCTTATTCTTTACTTTTATGAGGATAGAATTGTATAGTATGTAGTCTTTGGGACTGGCTTATCTCATTTTGCATAATATTTCAAGGTTTATGCATGTTGTAGATGGTGCTAGTACTTCATTCCTTTTTATCCATGAATAATATTCCATTGTATGAATCTGTCACACTTTGCTGTGGTCTACTGTGCTGTTTCAGAGGCCCTCTGGGTAGAAGGAGGAGAGTTCAGGGATAGCCAAACCTGGGCCAGGACCCAGCACTGCACTTCCCAGCTGTATTACCTTGGCCAAATGATCTCACCTCTTGAGCCTCAGTTTTCTTTCTTTTTTTTTAGGGAGAGTCTCACTCTGTTGCCCAGGCTGGAGTGCAGTGGCATGATCTGCAATCTTGGCTCACTGCAACCTCCGTCTCCTGGGTTCAAGAGACTCTCCTGCCCCAGCCTCCTGAGTAGCTGGGACTACGGGCACATGTCACCATACCTGGCCAATTTTTGTATTTTTAGTAAAGACAGGGTTTCACCACATTGACCAGGCTGATCTCGAACTCCTGACCTCCAATGGTCTGCCTGCCTTGGCCTCCCAAAGTGCTGGGATTACAGACATGAGCCACTACGCCCAGCCAAAGCCTCAGTTTTCTTGTCTGTGGACTGCAGATGTTAATAACACCCACCACAGAAGGATTAAGTCCCTCACACAGACTTGGCATGTGCAGGAAATTAAGCAGTGATAGTGTTCATAGCTGTGGTTGTTGAATGACTGGAATTGAAACTGCAGGCATTGTTGTGTTTCTCTAGCTCAGAATTTCCCCCATGTGAACTCTGGAGGATCCCATCCTACATGATCGTCCTCAAAACAAGGGTTCCGTGGTCAAATGGGCTTGGAAAATGCTGCAGACTGCATCCCTCTCTGGTAAACTCACAACTAGTGAACACTTCTATTTCCTGCAGCTTGGCAGGCTAATGGGGGATTCATTCTCCCACTAAAAACATGTAAAATGCTGCATAAGATATTTTTGTAATAAAATCTTTTAAATGCATTAGAAAGCTATCTGTAAAGTGAGAAACACACAAAAGCCAAAAATTAAGTGAAAATAGAAACTCCGAGTGAAAAATTGAGTAGTAACCCTGGTTATTGCCCTAGGGGCATTTGCTGACTCCCAGGTGAACTTGAGCCTCTATTTTCATGGCCGCCAGGGTATTGGGAACAAGAGACAAATCCACAGACTTCCAAAGTGGGAAGTCTAAAAGGAGCAAGCCACCTAAAGCTGGAACCCAACAGGGCTTCCAGAGTAAGGCAAATGAGACGGAAACCAAGCTCCTCCCTCTGCCCCTCCAGCAATGAGAAGGAAACTGTTTTATCAAAAACCATGGTACTGGGTGAAGAAAAAAAAAAGCTCCAAAGAGAAATCCAGAACTATATGCCAGTCCCTGTGTGGTTTCTAAATTTATGTTTAGATAATTCACACTTATGTAAACATGAATTCAATTTTGCTTTTGTGGCTCATCCAAAAGATCTCAAGCTAATAACTGAGCTTAAAATGATCTCGAGTTGGTGGTGTTCAGAAGCTTGTTTGTTGGAGATATAACAAATTCTCTCTAGGAAAACTTACCTTCAGTTCAGGCCTCAAAGGATTCCCACAAATAAAATGCCCAGAATAAGAGCTCACAGTAATAAACAAAGAGCAACAAAATCCCCATAAACACAAGAAACAAAATGCCTTGAGAAAGAGGCAGCAGGAGACCAGCAAAGACTTCAGATATTATAAGTATTGGACACAGAACATAAAATAATACACTTCTAGTCAAATAAAAGGGGAATTGGAAACATGAATAAGAAGCAAGAGACTATGAAAGTGACCAAGTAGCTATAAAAGAGAATAAAATAGAACTTTTATGAAGGAAAAATTAAGAGTTGAAATTTTAAAACTATGCACGACTTTACTACCAGGTTACATATAGCTGAAAGTAGAGTTGGTGAACTGGAAGACAAATCCAAAGAAAATAACCAGAATATAACACAGAAAGATAAAGAGATGAAAATATGGGAGAGAGGTAAAGAGACGTGAATGAAAGAGCAGGTCTAACATACAGCCGTTTGGAGATACAGAGAAAGAAGAAGACCTAGAATCAAGGCAATAGTCAAAATAATGGATGAGAACTTGCCAAAAATGCCAAGAGACACCATGCATTTTAAATGAGATGAGAAGTCTGCAGAGTATATAGGAGAAGCCCTTTGAATTTATTTAAGCCTTTATTTTATTTTATTTTATTTTATTTTATTTTATTTTGTTTTATTTTATTTTATTTTTATTTTATTTTAAAGAGAGGGTCTCACTCTGTGGCCCAGGCTACAGTGTGGTGCAATTATAGTTCACCATAGCCTCAAACTCCTGGGCTCAAGCAATCCTCCCACTTTAGCCTCCTGAGTAGCTGGCATGTACCATCATGCCTGGCTAATGTTTAAATTTTTTTTAGAGACAAGGTCTTGCTATGTTGCCCAAGCTGGTCTTAAACTCCTGGTCTCTAGCAATCCTCCCACCTCAGCCTCCCAAAGTGCTGGGATTACAGGTGTAAGCCACTGCAACTGACTAACCCTGTATTTTCTATACTGGTTTGACCTCAGGACCCCTTTCGATGGAATAGCTGTTACCACATTGGAGACCAATATTTTGTCTTTGGGAAGCTGCTTTGGGCCTCGTTGTAGAGATCACCTCTGCAACTTGATTCTAATCTGTTCCCTCCCTTGGCCTCTTACCCGCAATTCTGGCAGAATTACGGATCCAGATGAGGAGATTTGAGGAGCTGTTGCCCCAAGTGTGTTGGCTGGTGATGGAGAATTTCAAGGAACACCACTGGAAAATGTTTTGCACCTCCGTAAAGGAGATCCGAGGACAGTTTGAGGGACAGCAGAAGCAGCTGGAGAAAAGAAAGGTGAGGGCCTTAGGACGAGCCCTTCCACTCCAGGACCAGGGGAACTGGGAGTTCAGAAATGGTGGCAGGTTGTGGGAAGGGCCAAGTCCAAGGGAAGAAGGTGAGCTGGGCTTGGGATTTTTGGATGGGGTCTGAGGGACAGGAGCCATTGGCAAAATAAGAACTGAGCCAACAGCTTCTACATAGAAGGTGTTCAGTAAACTCCTTGTTGGCTATAGTGGGTGGGTGTGCTGGGTTCCATGGGGCTGCACTCATTGAGATAACAATAATTGTCCACACTGGTCTTTGGAGCTGTGGAACATGGGTGCTGCTGATTTCACTGGACTAAAGCTCTGATTGTGCTGGACAGATGCTCAGCCTTTTCTCTTCCAAACCCCTTGAGTCAGCTCCAGCCATGCCCTCCTCTTAACCCTTCTGCCACTCTTCTGCCCACTCATCACCCCCACACACCCAGGTCAGAGGACACATGAGTCTGGCCATAATCATAATTGACAGAAGACATAGGTCAGTGACTTTTGGTGGGTTAACATCACCGCTGAATTCTGGATTGTTTGATTAAAGGACAAAAATGCCCAGAAGCTCCATCTAAATCTTGGACACCCCATACATTTCCAAGAAATGGAGTCTCTACACTTAAGTGAAGACAAAAGGCAGGAAGAGCTGGACAGCATGATTAGGATGAACAGGGAGAAGCTGGAGGTCAGTGATACTATTGATTTCCCAGTCCAGGCACGCTCCAAAAATAGCCCAATGGACAGCCACTGATAGCACCAGGTGCAGCCCTTTGTTGATACTTGGCCAAAGCAGGCATGATCGTGGTTAGGTTTTGTAGGTAAAAATGGCCATTTTTGGCGTTTTAACTTGTATCCTTTTTGACTTCTAAATTAATTAATTATAAAATTACTAATGATAACTTTTATTTTGTGATCCATGTCTAGTTTTATTTCCTCATCTGTGAATTGTCTGTGTCCCTTGTCCATTTCTGAATCATTTCTTATGTTTAAACCAGATCACGTCTTGGGAGAGGCCTCCTGGCTGAGGGCCAGATGCTGGTTACTTGGACACAGTGGCTATAATGGCTTGGGTCCCCAGATCTCCCTGCAGAGTTCACCCATCCCCTCTTCAGCTGGCCTTGGAGGGATGATCCTCTCCCAGCAGCACTGTTCTCACCATGTTTTTTCCAGGAATGTACCAGAAGGAATGGCCAGGTTTTCATAACCAACTTGGCTGCCTTCACCGAGAAGTTCCTACTGCAGTTGGATGAGGTGGTCACCATTGACGACGTCCAGGTTGCAAGTAAGAGGCACCACCAGCCTTGTGTCCTGGCCCCGGGGGGCTAGTGAGGGCTAGGTTGGGCAGGGGTCTGCTTTCCCCAACTCTATCAGAGTGAAAACAGGTGATCCATTGAGGGAACTGATTAATTTTTGTTTTTCTTAAAAATAATTTTTTGATTAAAAAGCAAATGCCACATGGCCCAATGTTTATATATAAAAAATGAAACCCTATTGAGTAAACATTTCCATACTCTTGGGGTTAGGGACAGCTTTTCTAAGTATGACAGGAGAGCTAGAAGCCATAGAGGGAATGGCTGGCTCTTTGTAGCCAAAACAAAAACAGAAACATGTCAATAGATGGAAAGATAAACCACAAGCTGGAAAAGTATTCCTCACAACTTATAGATCCGAGAAAGGGTTAATATCCCTATGGTACAAAGAACTCTCACAGGTCAAATTTTTAAAGAGACAAAGGACAAACCCATGCTCTTCAAAAGAGAAGCAGTTCATATGGCTAGTCACTGTAAAAGATGGTCAACTTCACTGATGATGAAAAATGAAAATCTAAGTATTATTTAGATATCATTTCTCACCAATAGCCTGGCAGAGTTTTTACATTTGGTAACAACGTAAAAGAATGTCAAGAAACAGAGACTCCGCAGAGGCTCTTGGTAGAGCATACAAGGATACCGCTGTCATAGAGAACAATTTGTCGGTCCCTGTCAAAATTCTGAGCGTTTAGACACTTGGCCTAGCATGTCTAATTCTAGGAATTTATCTGAAAGAAATACTTGGATACTTTTTCAAAGGTGTATGTTCAAAAATATTCACAGCACTGTTTGAAATGGCAAAGAATTGGAAGCAACACTAACATCGATATACAGAAAATTCAATGGGCCAGGCACAGTGACCCACACCTGCAGTCCCAGCACTTGAGAGGCTGAGGCGGGTGGATCTCTTGAGCCCAGGAGTTTGAGACAAGCCAGGGCAACATGGCAAAACCCCATCTCTACTAAAAATTTAAAGATTAGCTCGGTGTGGTGGTGTGCACGTGTGGTTCCAGCTCCAGCTCCTGGAGGTGGAGGGCGGTTGGGAGGGTGCTGAGGTGGGAAGATTGCTTAAGTCTGGGAAGTCAAGGCTGCCGTGAGCCTTGATCACACCACTGCACTCCAGCCTGGTGACAGAGTGAGACCCTGACTCAAAAAAAAAAAAAAAGAAAGAAAGAAAATTGGATGCATAAATGAAGGTGCCAGATGTGCAGGTAAATACCATGCAGCTGTTAAACTAGGTCTGCATGTGCTGACACAGAAAGACATGAAGGAGGGCTGTTGTGTGAAAAAACAAATGGACAAACAGAACATGTCTATGATCCCATCTTTTAAAACACATGCATGATATCAACATGCATACTCACATCTGTTTAAATGAATCTGTGTGAGAGACAGAGACAGAGACTGGTACCAAACTGCTGATGATCACCTCTACTGGGTGGGATTGAGAGAGATCCCTAAAACCTTTTTTTTTCCATCATGAAGTGATGTTTATGTTTTTAATAATGTACATATTACTTTTATAGCTATAAGATTAAAATCATACATTAAATGTTATCCATTTATCACTGATCTATAAAGTAATTAAAATATATCCTTTTATTTGTAAAGGTTTTTATTACAAAAACAATAAACGTTCATTCCAGTAAAACAAGAAAATCAGTATGAACCAAGAAGCAAGTGAAGAACACAGTCCTTCCGCCCTGAAAGCAGCGCCCTTTGCACTTGCTCTTCATTCTGCCAGACCTTTCCCTTTGGGCACAGGCCTGTGTGTCAGGGTAGCTGGGGAAGATTACAGGACTTGGACACTTTTGTGACCTGATTTCCCTGCAGGTGAACCTTGACCCGGCTGGCCAGTCAACACTTCTCTTCTTCAGCGTTTTCAGTTGTTGCACACCATAATTTAATAAGCACTGTAACTTACTAATTAGTCCCTTTGCTATTGAACTTTGAACCATTTCCAGTTTCCCACCCCTGTAATTATGCTGAAGAGAATCTCTGCATCCATGCATCTCTAGGGCAACAGACTCCTAGAAGTGCGGCATCTGGATCAAAGTGTGTACACATTTTTGAAGTGTTGGTCACTTTTCTATATCAGAGGTCTCTGTCAAGGGTGAGCCTCGTTTGGGAAATCAGGGCCTTGCAGAGATGCTGGGGTCCGAGACCCCAGGGAGAACAGGCAGGTGAGCTGGTAGTGGAGCCGATCACAGTCCCTTGCAAGGAACCCCTGAGCCAGGAAGACTCCCTGCACCAGGCGCTAGGAGGTCTCTGCCTGCTCTGTAACTCAGCTTCTGAGCCAGGCCACCGGGCCTTGCCATTCATGGCAGAGGAGTGTACAGGTTGCCTGCTGGTTCTCTGCGCACAGAGCCCCGCACCCTCTCACCCCCTGATCTAGAAAGAACATCAGAGCATCAAAGATTGGCTTATTGAGCTAGATAGTCAAGGGACAACCTTGAACGTGTTTGTTCCAGGGGAGGTTCTTAGTTTGGAACCCGTATGAGCTAGCCTAAGCCAAAGAAGGCTCTATGAAGCATATCCTGGGACTCATGGAAACTGCAGGAAGGTCAGAGCATCAAGCTCGGGTTTGGAGCTGGGAACAGCACTCACACCACTGCTCAGATTCCTCCAGCCATGACCCCCTGCCTCTGCCACCACCCTGAGCTGTGTGGCTGGTGCATTCAGCTTCTCCATGGAGAGGGCTCAGCCTGCCATAACTCCGAGTGGGGAGGAAGGGCGTCAGTCCTCCCACCTCTAAGTGTAATGCCAGGAAATCCCTCGATCTCAGGCTGTCGGTGTGGCTGCAGTCATTATCCTGCCTCTTGCCTCTAGGGATGGAGCCCCCCAAACAGAAAATATCAATGCTCATACGAAGGAAACTCGCTGGGCTCTCCCTGAAGGAAGAGAGTGAGAAACCCCTGATTGAACGTGGAAGCAGGTGAGAGCCAAGAGCAGCAAGGACTACTGTAAATGGCTGTATCTGCTGGGGGGTGGTGCAGTGTAATGGTTAGGGGCTTGGGCTCTGAAGTCAGACAGACCTGGGAAAGGCATTGTGTTCTGAGCCTTAGGTTTCCTCATCTATGAAATGGGCATGGCCACCTACCTTGATCAAGAGAAAGTTAAATGAGGTAGTACATGAGGTGCCCCAGCACATATGAACAGCTCAACAGCTATTAGTTCACATGATAAGGACCCATCAAAGGGATGAAAGGGAGGCCTGGCTCAGTGGGAGACATATTCTCGGGTCACTGCTGGCATTGTGAGCCCCTCCAGCTGTCGTGAGTGAAGAGAGTTGGCAAAGTGCCTGTACCCTGTGCCCAAGAGTGTGACTCTGCAAGAAGAAGCAGAGCAGTGATATGCCCAGCTATTTCTCAGAAGTGGTCTTTAGAGCATCATAGGAAAAGCATACCAGGCACTGGTGGCCACCACCTGGCTGGCAGATCAGTGAGTAAACTGAGGCTCAGAAAGGGGAAGCAACTTGAGCTGTGGCCCTCCCCTTCCCCACCAGAACCCCAGACCGTGCACAGCGATGAGACCAATGTGGGCTAATATGAAACAGCTTGAACAAGTGCAGCGTTCGCACTCAGTATGTTTTTTATTTTCATTAAGATATTTAAAGCCATGATAATTTTCTCAAAGAAATGCTAAGCTTTTCCAACAGGGATGGTAGGTGGATTATGAAAGATGAAGACAAATCTGTGAGATTTTCACACATTTGTTTGTAGGAAGTGGCCAGGAATCAAACCCACCGAAGTCACCATCCAAAACAAGATTCTTCTCCGGCCAACATCATCGATATCCACCACCAAAACTACCCTGGGCCACCTGGCAGCCGTGGAAGCCCGAGATGCTGTGTACCTGGTGAGATGGGGTGGAGTGGGTGTGTCCCACGGAGCACAGCTCAGGTTGGCTGCCTTGGGAAGGGGGAGCTTCCCATTACCCAGCACCCCAACATTTGGTTGGTACAGCAGGCAACACATGTCAGTGCACCCCAGAGTTGCAGGTCTCAACACTCAGGACGGTCGCTGTTCACAGGCACGAGGACGCTGCCGCTGTGGGTCATCTCCCATCCCCGTGCGAGTGTGGGTCTGAGGCATGATCCCAATGCTGCAGGAGCCCAGCTGAGGGACATCCCACCCAGACTGGGGGTGAAGAAAGGCTTTCCAAAGGCACAGTGGGGTCACAGCTAGGGAATGTTGTCATCAGGCACGGAAGTAATGGTGGCAGTAGGCTCAGAGAGGGCACAGCAGCAGGAGCGGTCACAGCTCCTGAGAACTCACTGGGAAGTGCTTACTGGGAGCTGCTTCTCTTGACATGAATCCTCCTAACACCTCCACAAGGGAGGTAAAATTATTATCCTCATTTCACTGATGAGGACACTGAGGCTTAAAGAAACTTGTCCCCTCTATGCCACTACAGAGTGGCAGAGCCAGGATTTGATCGCAGTGCCTGTCAGACCCCCTGGGGACAGCCTGATGAGGGGCTACACCCAGATGCCACCTGAGGAACCTCTTGGCTCTGAAGATCTGTGGACCTTTGGTCCTGATGCCCAGAGAGAAACCTTGTCCTGCCCAGAGACCAGCTGGCCCCCTTATTGGGAGAGGCTGAAGTGCCCAGGGTCAGCCCTCCCCAGGCTTCCCTCCAAGCTGCAGGCAGAGGGTACAGCTCGGCCTGCTGAGTTCAGTGAGGGCGGGAGGCCTGGGTGGTCCAGCCTACCCAAAAACCGGGAGCCCTGAGCTCCCGAGAGGCCACAGTGTGGGACAGAGCTCAGGAAGGAGTGCTGAGCCTAGAGTCAGATAGGCACAGGTCCTAGTCCTTGATCAGCCTCCTTCTAGCTGGGTGACCCCAGGCCAGGCTCTGAGCCTCAGTTTCCCTGTCTTGTAAAATGGGGGAAACAACTAGGCCTACCTGGTTTCTACCTGAGAAGTGACTTGGCGAACTCTTGCCAGTGCCTGGAATGGGTTAAAAGTCACCTGCCAGCAAGTTATAGCATTGCCCTAGGGGAGAGGGTCCAGATGTCTCTCCTCATGTGGACCCCTCCTGCTACCTTCCTTCTAGAAATATTTAGCATCATTTGAGGAGGAGCTGAAGAGGATCCAGGATGACTGCACATTTCAGATGAAGGAGGCTCAGCGCTGGAAGGACAGCTGGAAGCAGTCCCTGCACACCATCCAGGGCCTGTATGTGTGACCCTCCACCCCACCATGAATAAATGCTTTCTTATGCAGACTCCTTCCCTGTCCATCTACCTGCCTACCTACTTTCCATTCATCCCTCCTTCCCTTCATCCCTCCACCCCGCTCTGTGCCGGACACTGTAGCTTTACCAGCAAACAGGGCATAGCATGGTCCCTGCCCACATGGAGCCCACTTCCCACGAGGAAGGCAAGCATGAAAGGGGAGGTCCACGTGGTTAGCAAGGAGGGTAAGTACCAGGAATCAGTCACTTAAAGTAGACACCAGAACTTCAAAGGACATCACCTCCAAATAGCATGCTGGGCAGGACACACCATGTTGAAAAATGAAATAATTCAAGGTCATGGGAAAACGTTATTTTAATTTAACAGATTAAACAAGTATGGGTTATAACTGGAACTCTGCACTGGTTCCTAGACCCAACAAAGAACTAATCCAATGTTGATTGGTATTTGTGCCACAATTTGCCTAAGCAAATTGCAATATTTTGGAAAAAAAAAAAAAAAAAACAATCTTCTAGACCTCTTTAGTCCTGTGATGCTCAGATCATTCTCTTGGAGTCCTCCAGCCTGCCGGCATCTTGCTCATCAACTTTCTCTTCTTTGATTACATGGCCTGAGCGTACAGGTTTCATTTGTCAGTAGCTCTGTGTGTCATCTGGACAGGCTTCCTCAGCCACAGGCTTAGGAGGCCCCAGCCCCTAAATTTCCAGCCCCTGACAGCTGTATGACCCTCTGAGTGCAGTTCCCTCACCTGGGGACACTCACCCTGCTCTCCTGGTCTGCGCCACCCAGTGAGACCCTGCTTCGTTAGCTTGGTAGCCTTTGTGCACTGAAGCCAGGAGAATGAGGAGTCCCCTTCCATTAAGGCAAAAGCAATCTCCTGTTCTTTTCTGTGCTCCCCCCACCCCCACCCCAATGTGCTACCTTTCATTGCTTATTATTCCAAAAGGAATATATGCACATTGTAGAAAAAAGAATTTATGAAAGCAGCAACAGGATAACTTTAAAATCCTGAGCCGGCACAGTGGCTCATGCCTGTAATCCTAGCACTTTGGGAGGCCAAGGCGAGCAGATCACTTGAGCTCAGGAGTTTGGGACCAGCCGAGGCAACATGGTGAAACCCCATATCTACTAAAAGTACAAAAAGTTAGCCAGGCATGGTGGCGCACATCTGTAATCCCAGCTACTGGGGAGGCTGAGGCATGAGAATCACTTGAACCCAGGAGGTGGCAGTTGCAGTGAGCCAAGATCATGCCACTTCACTCTGGCCTGGGCAACAGAATGAGACTCTGTCTCAAATAAACAAATAAATAAACAATAAAATCCTGGTATCTAGAGAGAGCCACTATCCATAGCATCTTTCCATGTATGTGAGTTATTTTTACAAAATGGAATCATAACGTGCATTAGGTTGCATAGACTGCTTGGTAAATTTTAACTAGATAAACCCTATGCCATATCCTTAAGGATTTATTTACACCATTGGTTTTCATACTTTTCTGCCTCTGAACCACTGTATAAACATGTTCTAAACACAGGGTCCTTGCACACATACACAACTTGGGACCAACAGGTCACAGGACAGTACTTAACGTTACTAGGAAGACTGCTTTCTAATATTTTCTCCCTGCTTTTTAAATCCTAGCCCGGTCCACTAACTCAGTTCATGGCCCATGAAGGGGCCTTGATTGCAGTGTGGGACACTATCATTTAAACAGCTGCAGAGTGCTCCCACTGCCCGGGGAACCAGATCGCCTCTGTCGGACAAGGGTGAGGATGTCCCATGCAAGGCTTCTACAAAGAAGGCAGAGATGACATCCTCCCACACTAGCTCTTTGTACACATCTGGAATCATTCCTTAATCAGAGGGTGGCAGCTGTGGACATGGTGTGAAGTCACCCTCCAGGGAAACAGGCCACCCCCTCCCACCACTAAGCAATACCCATTGCCCAATTTCCTCATCCACACCAAGGATTCTAGTTTCAGCATTTGGGGGACATTTTTTGCTGGTTTGGTTGGTGAGAAAACATATCTAAATCACTTTTCTAATAGTGAGTGAGACTGGACTCTAATCACCCCTATACCCATACTCCAGGGACCCCTTTAGAGGCCCAGCTTGACAAGTACTGAAGGAACCCAATGCCACTTTGTCTACCTTTTGGCTACTATAGATCCACACAAAAACATGTTCATGACTGCCCATAGCAGCACTGAAAAATAGTGCTGTTATATCTAAGACTCCATTGCCTAAAAATTAGTGCTGCTATGAGCAGTCATGAACAAGGTTTTGTGTGGATGCATATTTTCATTTCTCTTGGGTATATACCAATTACTAGGTCAAAAAGTAACTCTAGGCTGGGCACAGTGGCTCACACTTGTCATCCCAGCACTTTGGGAGGTGGGTGGATTGTTTGAGATCAGGAGTTAAGAGACCAGCCTGGCCAACATGGTGAAACCTGTCAAATGAAAATACACAAATTAGCCAGGGGTGGTGGCACACACCTGTAGTCCCAGCTGCTTGGGAGGCTGAGCCATGAAAATTGCTTGAGCCCAGGAATGGGAGGTTGCAGTGAGCCAAGATCATGCCATTGCACTCCAGCCTGGGCAACAGAGCGAGACTCTGTCTCCAAAAAGAAAAAAAAAAAATGTAACTGTATGCTTAACTTTTTGAGAAAGTGCCAGACTGTTTCCCAAAGTAGCTGTATCACTTTATATCAGTCTTGGCAGTATATAAAGGCTCTGATTTCTCCACATCACTTGCCAAAACTTGTTATTATCTGACTTTTGGATGATAACCATCCCAGTGGGTGTGAAGTTGTATCTCATTATAGTCTTAATTTGCATTTGTGGTGACTAATGATGTTGAGTATCTTTTCATATGCTTATTGGTCATTTGAATATCTTCTCTGGAGAAATGTATTCAATTTCTTTATCAAATTTTTAATTAGATTACTTTTATTATTGAGTTGTTAGAGTTCTTTATATATTCAAGCCCCTGGACCCTTATCAGACATTTGCAAACATTTTTGCAAACAGATTTGCAAACATTTTCTCCCAATTGTATGTTGTTTTCACTTAAAAAATTATCTCTAGATCAGTTATAATTCACTTTCTTGATAGTGTCCTTTGATACACAAAAGTTTTTAATTCTGAGGAAGTCCAGTTTATTATTTCTTGGGTTGCTTGTGCTTTTGGTGTTATATCTAAGACTCCATTGCCTAATCCAAAGTCACAAAGATTTACTGCTGTTTTCTAAGAGCTGTATAGTTGTTTTGTTTGTTTGTTTGTTCTTTTTTGAGACAGGGTCTCACTCTCTCACCCAGACTGGAGTGCAGTGGTGCGATCACTGCAACCTCCTCCTCCCTGGTTCAAGCAATTCTCCTGCCTCAGCCTCCTGAGTAGCTGGGACTACAGGCATGCACCACTACTGCCCAGCTAATTTTTGTATTTTTAGTAGAGATGGGATTTCACCATGTTGGCCAGGCTGGTCTCGAACTCCTGACCTCAAATAATCCACCTGCCTCAGCCTCCCAAAGTGCTGGGATTACAGGCGTGAGCCACCACGCCCAGTCTAGAGTTGTATAGTTTTAACTCTTCTACTTAGGTCTTTGATCCATTTTAAGTTAATTTTGTACATAGTGGTAAGTGTTCAACTTTATTCTTTTGCATTTGGCTACCAGTTGTTCCAGCACCACTTCTTGAAAATACTGATCTTTCCCCCATAAAATTTTCTTGGCACCTGTGACATAGTGAAATACATGTTTGGTTTTCTTCCCCAGGTTCTGATGTGCAGCTCCTAAAACCCTTAGAATCTCTGGAGTGATAAGAGTGTCTTTTGTATGCTAATGAGATGGCTGGTGGCTGGGGACCCCTAGACAGCTTCAGGGCAGGGGCTGGTCAACAGGAAGGTCAAGGCATGGTTAGAGGACTGAGACCCTCAGCCCCAGACCCCAAGGAGTTGCTAACTAAGTTATCAACCGATGACCAATGATCAGTTATTCAGTCAATCATGCCTATGTAATGCAGCATCCATAAAACTCCAAAAGCACAGGGTTCTGGGAGTTTTCAGATAGCTGGCCACATGGAGATTCCCAGAGGGAGGCACGCCCAGCAAGATCATGGAAGCTCCGTGCCCCTTCTCCCATTCCTTGCCCTAAAAATTGCCTCCATCTGGTTGTTCATGTGTATCCTTTATTAATAAACAAGTAAATGTAAGTAAAGTGTTTCCCTGAGTTCTGTGAGCTGCTCTAGCAAATGAATAAAACCCGACTAGGAAGTTATGGGAACCCTGATTTGAAGCCAGTTTCTCAAGAATGTTCACCACCGGCATCTAAAGTTTCTCAAGTACTACTTGCTACTGGCATCTGAAAGTGGAGGGCAGTCTTGTGGGACTGGGCCCTCAGCCTGTCTCCAGGTAGACAGTATCAGAATGGAATCGAATTAGAGGACCCCTAATGCCCACTGCAGAGTTGCTTGATGTCTGGGGAAATGACCTTCACACATCCGGTTTTCAGATGTATTGTATTGAGTGCTGTGTGAATAGAGAGAAAAGCCACTTTTTCCCTATATCTTACATATTGGATGCCTTTTCATTTTATTTTCTTGATTAATTGCCCAGGCTAAAACCTTCAGTACAATGTTGAATGAAAGTGTCAAGAGCTGACATCCTTGTCTTGTCCCCGTTATACAAGGAAAACATCTGGTCTTTCACCATTCAGTATCATGTTAGCTGTGGATTTCTTCTGGACGTTCTTTACTATGCCAAGGAAATTCCCTTCTGTTTTTAACTTGTTGAGTTTTTATTGTGAAGTGATATTGGATATTGCCAATTGCCTTTCCTGCATCAACTGTAATGCTTTTTGAAAATGTGATTTTTAGGCCAGGTGTGGTAGCTCATGCCTGTAATCCCAGCACTTTGAGAGGCCGAGGCAGGTGGATCACCTGGGGTCAGGAGTTCAAGACCAGTCTGGCCAACATGGTGAAACCCCATCTCTACTAAAAATACAAAAATTAGCCAGGCATGGTGGTATGTG